CGACCTTAAATACTTCCTAACTGATTCAGTCATACTTGTATGTCATATCTCTGTAATAACTGTCCCACGACCTTATGATACTTCCTAACTGATTCAGTCATACTTGTATGTCATATCTCTGTAACAACTGTCCCACGACCTTATGATACTTCCTAACTGATTCAGTCATACTTGTATGTCATATCTCTGTAATAACTGTCCCGCGACCTTATGATACTTCCTAACTGATTTAGTCATACTTGTATGTCATATCTCTGTAATAACTGTCCCGCGACCTTATGATACTTCCTAACTGATTCAGTCATACTTGTCATATCTCTGTAACAACTGTCCCACGACCTTATGATACTTCCTAACTGATTCAGTCATACTTGTATGTCATATCTCTGTAATAACTGTCCCGCGACCTTATGATACTTCCTAACTGATTTAGTCATACTTGTATGTCATATCTCTGTAATAACTGTCCCGCGACCTTATGATACTTCCTAACTGATTCAGTCATACTTGTCATATCTCTGTAATAACTGTCCCACGACCTTATGATACTTCCTAACTGATTCAGTCATACTTGTATGTCATATCTCTGTAATAACTGTCCTACGACCTTAAATACTTCCTAACTGATTCAGTCATACTTGTATGTCATATCTCTGTAATAACTGTCCCACGACCTTATGATACTTCCTAACTGATTTAGTCATACTTGTATGTCATATCTCTGTAATAACTGTCCCACGACCTTATGATACTTCCTAACTGATTCAGTCATACTTGTATGTCATATCTCTGTAATAACTGTCCCACGACCTTATGATACTTCCTAACTGATTCAGTCATACTTGTCATATCTCTGTAATAACTGTCCCACGACCTTATGATACTTCCTAACTGATTCAGTCATACTTGTCATATCTCTGTAATAACTGTCCCACGACCTTATGATACTTCCTAACTGATTCAGTCATACTTGTATGTCATATCTCTGTAATAACTGTCCCACGACCTTATGATACTTCCTAACTGATTTAGTCATACTTGTATGTCATATCTCTGTAATAACTGTCCCACGACCTTATGATACTTCCTAACTGATTCAGTCATACTTGTATGTCATATCTCTGTAATAACTGTCCCACGACCTTATGATACTTCCTAACTGATTCAGTCATACTTGTATGTCATATCTCTGTAATAACTGTCCCACGACCTTATGATACTTCCTAACTGATTCAGTCATACTTGTATGTCATATCTCTGTAATAACTGTCCCACGACCTTATGATACTTCCTAACTGATTTAGTCAAACTTGTATGTCATATCTCTGTAATAACTGTCCCACGACCTTATGATACTTCCTAACTGATTCAGTCATACTTGTCATATCTCTGTAATAACTGTCCCACGACCTTATGATACTTCTATTTTTTTCAGATTTCTGTTTGCAGTAAATTACAATAAAATATTTGAAACTTAGAATTGTATCATAATGCTAAAACGATATTACAATTTGATTAGTGATTTTGTTTCTGGTATATTGTGCATTACATTCAGTATCTTAATCACAAACTTTCTAAATGGTTGCACCAATATCCTAAGTAATAAGCTTGATTGTTTATTAATACAATTGGCTAGATTAGTCCTCTTACTATGATATTTTTAGCTGAAGAAAGGTTGAGCTGAAACACATAGACAAACCAAATCTTTAATGCATCATTCAAAATTTAAAAACGGGAAACTATTTTACATCTTCTGTATTACTAGTATATCAACAAAGTGTTCCATATGACTATATTTACATTCTATGACATTTGTCACTACAACGACATTGAGTCATTAATTTGAACTGGAGTTTGGTTGCTGTATCAATTTGGAATTGGACGAAGAATGTAATGTAGTATAAGATTATTGTACATTTTATAGAGTCTAACAATTCACCATTTCAAATATATAATGTAACTCTCTACAATGTATTGAAAATAATTTTTGAAAATAATTGTAAACAATACATGAAAAGTGAAAATATGTAATTTCCAGATCTTGTTTGATCTGTAAGGGTGATATTTCTTTTCAGCTTATAATTGGATTGATATATCACTTCTTTTATTTATTTTTATGATGTAAATGCAACAAAAAATACAAAACTTCAATGGTTTCAGTACAGAGTTGGTTCAACACATCTTAACAACAAATTTATACATGTTTAAAATTCAGAGGTACTGAATAACCCACACTGTACATTCTGTAACTTAGAAAAGGAGACAATTAGCCATATTTTGATAGATAAATTATACAGAGGTGAGGTCAAAAATTTTTAGAAAGTGTAGAAGTTTATACAGAGGTGAGGTGAGGCTTGTCTTTTTGAGATTCCATTTTCCTTCAATAAAATAAGTTTTCTGTTTGAGTTTCATTAGAAAGTGTAGAAGTTTTGCTGGAGGCTGTTTTTATTCCATTTTCCTTCAATAAAATAAGTTTTCTGTTTGAGTTTCATTGCTAATAAAAATCAGTTAATCAGTAGCAAACTTGACAATGAAATCTTAATTATCATTAAATATTACATATATAAGATAAATTATACAACACAAAGCCTTAAGTGTATATAGTCTTATTTATTCAGAGGGAATTTTATACCTTTCAGAAATATATCCAATAGTAAACTTGGTGAACAGGCACAGTTAAGTTTATAAGGTGAGGAATGGAGAAAATTGGAGAAAACTTGTGTTTGAGAATTAGCCATATTAAATTAACTTTAAATACATTTACAGATAAATTGTCATGTAGTATGTTTTAGTATTTTAGCCATATTCCCTGATAGATAAATTATACAGAGGTGAGGTGAAGGAGGCCCCTTGTGTTGATAGTATTTATTTATTTATTTATTTACCATATTTTTCAGATAAATTATACAGAGGTGAGGTGAAGCAACTTGTTTTTACTAACCCATATTCCCTCTCTCTCTACCCCCCTCTCTCTCTCTCTCTCTTTCTTTAGCCATATTCCCTGATGATAAATTATATGTGTAGGTGAGGTGAAGGAGACTTGTGTTTGAGAAGTTAGCCATATTCCCTGATAGATAAATTATACAGAGGTGAGGTGAAGGAGACTTGTGTTTGAGAGTTTAGCCATATTCCCTGATAGATAAATTATACAGAGGTGAGGTGAAGGAGACTTGAATGTGACAATGATGAAGAGTGAGATTAGCCATATTCCCTGACAGATAAATTATACAGAGGTGAGGTGAAGGAGTAATGTGTATAATGAGGTGAGGTACTTGTTAGCCATATTCCCTGATAGATAAATTATACAGAGGTGAGGTGAAGGAGACTTGTGTTTGAGAAGTTAGCCATATTCCCTGATAGATAAATTATACAGAGGTGAGGTGAAGGAGACTTGTGTTTGAGAGTTTAGCCATATTGCCTGATAAATAAATTATACAGAGGTGAGGTGAAGGAGACTTGTGTTTGAGAGTTTAGCCATATTCCCTGACAGATAAATTATACAGAGGTGAGGTGAAGGAGACTTGTGTTTGAGAGTTTAGCCATATTCCCTGACAGATAAATTATACAGAGGTGAGGTGAAGGAGACTTGTGTTTGAGAGTTTAGCCATATTCCCTGACAGATAAATTATACAGAGGTGAGGTGAAGGAGACTTGTGTTTGAGAGTTTAGCCATATTCCCTGACAGATAAATTATACAGAGGTGAGGTGAAGGAGACTTGTGTTTGAGAGTTTAGCCATATTCCCTGACAGATAAATTATACAGAGGTGAGGTGAAGGAGACTTGTGTTTGAGAGTTTAGCCATATTCCCTGACAGATAAATTATACTTAGGTGAGGTGAAGGAGACTTGTGTTTGAGAAGTTAGCCATATTCCCTGATAGATAAATTATGATGAGGTGATAAATTATACTTAGGTGAGGTGAAGGAGACTTGTGTTTGAGAAGTTAGCCATATTGCACGATAAATAAATTATACTTAGGTGAGGTGAAGGAGACTTGTGTTTGAGAAGTTAGCCGTATTGCACGATAAATAAATTATACACAGCTGTGTCGAGTATACTTAAACTTATTTCATACATGGATAATGACGATTTACTACATTAAAATATAATAACAAATTTAATAGAAATTACAGCATTTACTCAAAACATACATACTGATTATATGCCGTTTAATAAGAGTTTTTTTTCTTATAGAATTGAACTTGATTTTTCTTTTCTCATAACTGATATCTTCCATCAACCACAAATACTGCTATGGTACTCTTTCAAGTTAAGCTTAATACCAGTACAGAATCACCAAAGACCCTCTACACCGGTCTTAAATATTATACAGACGAGAACAAAAAATAGGAAACAGAATAAAGAGGTTAGTTAAATTGAGTATAAAAAGTGTTTCTGATATAAAGCCAATAAATGAAGGAACTACAATGTGACTAATTGTTATAAGATAGAGAATCTTGGCTTCACTGAAAATGCATTGTTATCAACTGACAGAAATTTTTCTACAAAAAGTTAGATTTTTTTTTGCACTGATTGAGAACATCATTTTTCAATAACATTTTTTGGAGAAAAGAATAAGCAAAACAAACATTTTCATTTCTATTATTATACTACAATTATCTATTTTGCCATAAAATATGGGAAAAAAAACACAAGAAAAACGTAATACACAAATTTCTAATATAAAACTAAAAATATTTATGGTCATTGACCTCTGTACTCTTTTGATTAACAAAGAATTTAACAAAATGGAAATTTAATTTCTCAAAATATTTGCACATGTATTTTTCCTTCCGGATAAACGAAAGCGGTCCGGATAAACGAATGTTGGCGTTGGTCACATTCGAGGAGTTCCGAGTGGCTATCGAAGTAAACGTTCAAGTGACACTGATTTTTCTTTAAAGCGTGTAAGTGACGTTATTTCGAACGATATTGCGGGAAGGGGGCAATTGAAAGGAAGGATAAGCGACACAAGTCGCATTCTACTTAATCGATCAAGGACTTCTTTCATGTGCAACATATTGAAATTTACATCTTTCAGAAGAGTAACGAAGGATCTGTTTCATCAACTGTCAACATGTAAGGAACTCTCAATCTCTAAAGACTGCTCAATAACACTTTCTCTGACCATCCGCTTATATCGACTTCATGTTTTCAACCCGTCGTTGGCCTACACAAACGTAATTTTATAACTTCTTCAAGATGAGTACAATATAATCATATTCATCTAGAGATAATTATACATATCACATTGACATTCAACACCTTTCACAGATTGGGGTGTATAATAGGCATGAACTTCCGCCTGTGGTATAGTAAGTCTAGTCATCTGTTCTAGGCCATTATGGATTTCGGAACGGCCATTTTGTCAAGGTGTATCACGTGCATTATTAACTTGCGCATCGTTATTTATTTTGATTTTTTTCTGTCATCAGAATGTCATTTCCGTTCAAACAATGATTTTATGTAATACATGTGTACTTCTAGGTCACTTTAAGCTATCTTAAGTGTCTCTGAGATTTATTGATATTATCAGAAACATAAGTACAGTCGCATGTCCGATACACCTGTCGTTCATTTCAGGTGAGTGAATTTGAGGTCAGATCTTTATCTTTATTGATATTTTTCAGAAAAATACTGGTGTTTCACTTGGCAGATTTTTTTAGATTGTTTGGTGGTAATTCATTGACATAAGGTAGCTAGCATGAAATAGTTCTAAAGGGCTTTGAATCTAATGTGTCTAGGATATAATCCAGAGTATACTCTTCTCCACTTGTTCACCACCATCCAAAACACAACAATTGCAGAATTCAGATTTGAAACAAAACACAACATATAAGAAGACATTCAAACATAACGGATTATCAAGCTTCTGAATCTCATGATATATAACAGCATAAATATACTTTAAAGTATATTCGATTTATTTCACATGCTGCATAATAATTAATCAAGCTAAGATCTTTTTTATAATAAGTAATTCAACAAATTTGACTTTGGTTCCATCTGATACTTGATCAGGAATATGATATTTCTATCGTTTACATAGTTATGTGACTTTGATATTTCTGCAAGTCTGATTCTTTGTAACAGAGGTGAAAAATGGCAAAGGATGAGGAAGATTCTAAGGAAGTTTGCAGGATGAACTGGGACTTTTCCAGTGTAATTTCTGAACGGGTCAGGGTGGATGTACTGGCGGTAAAAAATGTGGTGGAGATGCTGTCTGCTGGTGATACCATTCCATTCATTGCTAGGTACAGGAAGGAACGCACTGGGGATATGGAGGTGGACAAGATACGGGAGGTAGAGGCAAACATGGAGGAGCTGAGGTAATTTAAAAACTTGTGCAAGTCTACCAGACCTACAGCTATAAAAGAAAGTGCAGATATGTGAGAGTTTCCCTAAACTACATTGCTGATTGCAACCAGTAAAATCTCCATAGTGTACTTTATTTGCCTTGTGTCTGTGATCTTTTTTCTCCCCTTTTATTTCCTTTCCTTTTTAGGTCATCTGACCCGAAGGGTCCGATGACCTATAGTCATCATGCTTCGTCTGTCGTCGTCCGCCGTGCGCCGTCCGCCGAGCGCCGCCCGTAAACTTTTCATTCAAACGACTTCTTCTCAATAATTGGAAGGCCCAGGCAACTAATATTTGGCCTGTAGCTTGCTTTGATGAAGCCCTACCAAGTTTGTTAAAAAGAATGACCTTGACCTTCATTCAAGGTCACAGGGGTCAAATGTCTTAAAATCTTCAAACGACTTCTTCTCAATAACTGGAGGGCCCAGGCAACTAATATTTAGCCTGTAGCTTGCTTTGATGAAGCCCTACCAAGTTTGTTAAAAAGAATGACCTTGACCTTCATTCAAGGTCACAGGGGTCAAATGTCTTAAAATCTTCAAATGACTTCTTCTCAATAACTGGAGGGCCCAGGCAACTAATATTTAGCCTGTAGCTTGCTTTGATGAAACCCTACCAAGTTTGTTCAAATGAATGACCTTGACCTTCATTCAAGGTCACAGGGGTCAAATGTCTTTAAATCTTCAAAGGACTTCTTCTCAGTAATCAAAAGGCCCAGGCAACTAAAATAAGGCCTGTAGCATGCTGGGATGAAGGACTACCAAGTTTGTTCAAATGAATGACCTTGACCCACTTTAAAGGTCACAGGGGTCAAATATGTTAAAATCTTTAAACAACTTCTTCTCAATAACCAAAAGGCTCAGATTGCTGATATTGTGCCTGTGGCATGCTGGGATGAAGGGCTATCAAGTTTGTTTAAATGAATGACCTTGAACAACTTTCAAGGTCACAGGGGTCAAATATGTCAAAATCTTTAAATAACTTCTTCTCAAATACTAGAAGGCCTAGGGGGCTAATACTTGGCCCATAGCATGCTGGCATGGAGCCCTACAAAGTTTGTTCAAATGAATGACCTTGGCCCACTTTCAAGGTCACAGGGGTCAAATATGTTAAAATATACAAAGGACTTCATCTCAATAAGCAAAAGTCTATGAGTGCCGATATTGGGTCTGTAGCATGCTGGGAGGAAAGGGTACCAAGTTTATTTAAATGAATGACCTTGAACAACTTTCAAGGTCGCAGGGGTCAAATATGTCAAAATCTTTAAATAACTTCTTCTCAAATACTAGAAGGCCTAGGGGGCTAATACTTGGCCCATAGCATGCTGGCATGGAGCCCTACAAAGTTTGTTCAAATGAATGACCTTGGCCCACTTTCAAGGTCACAGGGGTCAAATATGTTAAAATATACAAAGGACTTCATCTCAATAAGCAAAAGTCTATGAGTACCGATATTGGGTCTGTAGCATGCTGGCAGGAAAGGCTACCAAGTTTATTCAAATGAATGACCTCAACCCACTTTCAAGGTCACAGGGGTCAAATATGTTAAAATATACAAACGACTTCTTCTCAACAAGCAAAAGTCCATGAGTGCTGATATTGGGCCTGTAAGATGCTTGGAGGAGAGGCTACCAAGTTTGTTCAAATGAATGACCTCAACCCACTTTCTAGGTTTGGCTTGCTTTTTGTCAGATGACCGTTAAGGCCCATGGGCCTCTTGTTTTTTCTGTTTGTTTTGACTTGAGCATCTGGTATGATTTTCCTTTTTGAAGATGGAAACAAAAACAAAGATTGTTCCCAGCTGAGAAGTAGTTCAATTGAAAAGATTTCTATCATATATATAACTATGTGTATTTACAGTGCTTTGAATCAACCCTGGTAAACAGTATAGAGTATTTTTAATTGATATTGATATTGAATTCTGTGCCTTGATATTTCACTCTGGAATATCGAAGTAGCGACCGGCGGCACGAAACTCAAGTCTCTCGGCGTAGTCAATGACGTTCGCTGTTCCCCATGTCGAAGTCAGTGTAAACAATCTATAATTAAGTACCTTTGGATACCGCGGTAGGTACAGATATGGGGACAAGGTATGATTGACACTTTTCAGACAGTTAAAACAACATCATTTTCTGAGCAATAGTACGCGTTCAGCCAACGCCGGGTGTCATCAATCTCCTCATACTCAACGTGTTTGTTACCTGTTAATAACTGTTAATTATCCAAGCCTTTCATGCTTGTTAAGTCAGGCACCTGGGTGAATTTGTTTACATAAGGTAATTAAATATGTTAGGGTCACGATGATTGTGGTTTCCTAATTATCAATGGATCAAACCACATCAACTTTCATCGCGGTAACCAGTAATCAATTAATCTTTCTGTAGAAAACAATTTTTGTTTTTTTTTTAATCTGACCCCAAAAAAGTACCTGTGCACTATACCCGAGTGCGCACTATACCCGCAAATTTACGGTAGTCAACTAATCACACTCAGGAAGACTTCTACTAACCTGGTGATGATAGTGAGCATGTCATCATCATTTTTTCACTTCAAAGTTTTGCATTTCGATCAGGTATGTGTAATTCAGAGAAAATAAAAACCTAGGCCCAGTGGCGACCTCTGAGGCTCTGTGTTTGTGCTTGAGAAAAATTGAAAAATTGGTTTATAAACACAGGAAGGCTAGTTAACTTGAATTTCTTCCCAATAGATTTACAGAGACAGTTTCTTATTCATATATTATAAATCACTCGTTTAGATTTATTGCTCAGAAAGTCAGCTTTCACCGATATAGGTATAAAGTTCCATTACATACTGGACACTTCAGCACATCCATCATTTATAGTTTCTCATGAAGTACAAATACTATTTCAATTAAACCTGGAACTTACATTGTAGTATCAATATATGAGCCTGTCAAATAGGTTATAGGTACAGGAATTTCATTTATTTATTTTTTTGAGACAAAAATGACTACAAAGTCTTTATGGCTTGTTCTCTCTATATCAGATTTAGTTTATAGTCATATTGAAACAAAAATTGTAAAATATCAGACAAGATTTCCCCCTCGCTTTGAAAAGAGTGATATTTATGGGGGTTAAACATTTCTATTTGAGTTAACTTGGATTTTGGATGTGGAAGACTTCAAGTGTATTTTGTAGCTTACTTAAAAATGAACATACTAACAGAGGAGGACAGGTGAGGTATAAATATTTGTTTGTTTGTAGCTCACCATCATCAGATCATTCTCGCATTATTTCTGCAGAAGTGTTCGATGGATCACTCTCAAATTTTATATGTAGGTTTGTCTTGCTGCTTAGTTGGACATATTCCATTTATAGTTCATTTGAAGACTGATCAGAAAAATAAGTTGGCTGACAGGTTGCCATCTTGGTTTTGGACATTCATTGTTAGTTATTGCTGTTTCAGATGAAGTACTTTATTGTCATTTTCAAATTTTATATGTAGGTTCCTCCTTTGGACTGATGGAAACATAAAACAGGCTGACAGGTGGCCATCATGGGTTTTGACAGTCATTGTTATCACTCTTTCTGTGGAAGTACTTGATAGATCTTTCCCAAATTACCTACATTCTCTTTGGTCCATAGTTCTGCCCTTTTGATTTTGGAACTGATAAAAAATTTAAAATGGCCAATAGGCAGCCACCTTGTATTTTGTCTATGAAACTTTGTTATCACTATTTCTTGAGAAGTACTAGATTTGTATTTATATTTTGAGATTGCTTATTCAAATTGTCAAACAATGATAAATCTGTCAAATCTGAGATATATATGACTTATGTTTGGTATACTTATATATAATTATAAAACACTACCCATAACATCATTTGATGGTACTAAGTTTGTCCCTTTTATTTTAGAAAAAACTACAGGCCACAAAAGTTATTTGAGATGACTAACTAAGCTATGTGTACTTAACCTGTTGACATGTAAACTGTGAAGTGATGTCAGCCTCCAGTTGATGGTAATTGATAAATAAATTGTGCCAGTCACTTCCAGCTGTGTAGTGATTGATGAGTTAGCCATCACACAACCATGCAGGGGCCTTCGAGTATTCAATAGAACATGACCCTGCTATTATTTCTAATAAGTCATGTCACTGACAGGGTTATTCAAAACAATTAAAACTTATATTTCCCAGTAGTACAGAATTGTATGATTTTGGAGTCGCAAAGAGGTGAAGAACTTTTCAGTGCTGTAATCATAGACATAAACAGAGCAGATTACTTAACTTCAAATTTGTGTATTAGACAAAGAAGGATAAGGTATGTCACAGCGAGAATAAATCCTATGTGTTTGATTATTTTCTGTTGATTACAAGAATTAAAAAAACCTTTCAGTTTACTGCTGGGTATGAGATGATCTCATCATACCAAGGAAAATGCTTATAATCTATTTTCTGGAAATTGCAAATGATCTAGCAAACATCAATAAGAGATAATTAGTGAACATGGAAGTGAAAGTTGACATTGATAGATGTGTTTTATTAAGTTTGATAATCTACAAACAATGTTAGAGCGAAGCCTCGAGGTAAATAATGATTAGACACAGCTATTGTATGATCATATTTATTAGCCCTGGTTTATTGACAAGGATACAACAGGTGGGCGTGTGTTGTGTTGATCATCACTGACTGTACATGTGCATCACCCACCATTCTTGTACAGGTGTTTGGTTGTAGGAAGTTGGTAGATCTCAGTGTATTTACAGGTGTTTGGTTGTAGGAAGTTGGTAGATCTCAGTGTATTTACAGGTGTTTGGTTGTAGGAAGTTGGTAGATCTCAGTGTATTTACAGGTGTTTGGTTGTAGGAAGTTGGTAGATCTCAGTGTATTTACAGGTGTTTGGTTATAGGAAGTTGGTAGATCTCAGTGTATTTACAGGTGTTTGGTTGTAGGAAGTTGGTAGATCTCAGTGTATTTACAGGTGTTTGGTTATAGGAAGTTGGTAGATCTCTGTGTATTTACAGGTGTTTGGTTGTAGGAACAAAACCACAAAACCAAAAATGATGCCAAAAACATGGTCATACTGATGTAAAGACCACCTCCCCATTTCTTTTTTTTTTTTTGGGGGGGGGGGGATTTTTATTCTTTTACTTTTAGTTTTTGTTTCGGCTACTTGTGAATATTTCTTTCACAATTTTACCAGTGAATTCTTAGTTTTGCCAGTTTTGATATAAATTAATTTTGACACACATTCAGTGGGCTATTTATGGTAGTGGGATACAGTCAGTTTACAACAACAATTTTCATTATGAAATCATCAAATTTTGTGGAAGAAAAATATCAACGTTTAACGTCCTCTTGGTATTGAATATAGAGATATCTCATCCTATAAGACAGGACTTTTAGCAAAGCCTGGTACTAAACCTTAAAAATCTTACCCACAGATTTACACTCATTTGTTTGTATGAAGGAAACAGTTGCTGTTCGTTCATGAAGTGAACTTGACCTTTTCTGATCTTGCTTGATTTGTTGTTTAGAAATATTCTTTGTGCATTAACATTTAACAGTTTCTGCATTGTCTATAAATGGTTTGGATTTTGACAAAATAAATTTGGCAATAATATTTCATACCAAGTAGGGATCAGAATACACAGGACATGTGACTGACCTACTTCAGTTAGTTGTTTGATGTGAGGAACCCAACCCCCTTCCCCAAGAGGTGTAGGTCCAAATTGGATAATAGAATGTAAAATCTTCAGTGGAAGGGCAGAATGAATTTTTAATAGTAACTGTAAAAAAATCAATAGAGGATAAAAGTCATCTTACCTTAGGGCTTCTTATTAGCAGGTGTACATATTACTGATTTTCTTTGTCATCCTTTGTATTTTCATGTTTTTTCCAGAGCTGTTGAGGCCAAGGCAACCTCTGTTTTGAAAAGTGTAAAGAAATTAGGAAAGTTGACACGAGAACTGAAATGTGCCTTGGAAAATTCCATCTTAATATCAGAAGTAGATGCTTTGGTAAGTCATCAGCTGTGAAATTTACTCATGTGTTTGGGAGGTGAAGCCTTATTAAGTAGTGCACTGTAAAATTCCTTCCTATCTCTTTGGGTTGAAATCCAAGTATTGATTATGTATTGATTAAGGGAGTTTATGAAAACCCCGGGAAGTTAAATCATGCTGTCCATATGGTAGGACATAATCCTTGAATTGTTAAACCAGAATGGCTTTAATACTGAATTGTAACTTTTCAGCAGTTTATGGAAAATAGATACAGTTGTGTTGAGTTGTGGAGGTGCAGCAAGATGACAAAGGGTGGTGCAAGGTAGCACTGAGGTCTCAATGGGGAGAAGGGTAGTGCTAGGTAGCACTGAGGGCACAAAGTGGAGTAGGGTGGTGCTAGGTAGCACTGAGGGCACAATGGGGAGTAGGGTAGTGCTAGGTAGCAATGAGGGCACAATGCGGAGTAGGGTGGTGCTAGGTAGTGTTGAGGACATGATGCGGAGAAGGGTGGTGCGAGGTAGCACTGAGGGCAAAAAGTGGAGAAGGGTGGTGCAAGGTAGCATTGAGGTCTCAATGGGGAGAAGGGTAGTGCTAGGTAGCAATGAGGGCACAATGCGGAGTAGGGTGGTGCTAGGTAGTGTTGAGGACATGATGCGGAGAAGGGTGGTGCTAGGTAGCAATGAGGGCACAAAGTGGAGTAGGGTGTTGCAAAAGGTAGCATTGAGGTCTCAATGGGGGGAAGGGTAGTGCTAGGTAGCACTGAGGGCACAATGCGGAGTAGGGTAGTGCTAGGTAGCACTGAGGGCACAATGCGGAGTAGGGTGGTGCTAGGTAGCAATGAGGGCACAATGCGGAGTAGGGTGGTGCTAGGTAGTGTTGAGGACATGATGCGGAGAAGGGTGGTGCTAGGTAGCAATGAGGGCACAATGCGGAGTAGGGTGGTGCTAGGTAGTGTTGAGGACATGATGCGGAGAAGGGTGGTGCGAGGTAGCACTGAGGGCACAAAGTGGAGAAGGGTGGTGCAAGGTAGCATTGAGGTCTCAATGGGGAGAAGGGTAGTGCTAGGTAGCAATGAGGGCACAATGCGGAGTAGGGTGGTGCTAGGTAGTGTTGAGGACATGATGCGGAGAAGGGTGGTGCTAGGTAGCAATGAGGGCACAAAGTGGAGTAGGGTGGTGCTAGGTAGCAATGAGGACATGATGCGGAGAAGGGTGGTGCTAGGTAGCTATGAGGGCACAATGCGGAGTAGGGTGGTGCTAGGTAGCAATGAGGGCACAATGCGGAGTAGGGTGGTGCTAGGTAGCAATGAGGGCACAACGCGAAGTAGGGTGGTGCTAGGTAGCAATGAGGGCACAATGCGGAGTAGGGTGGTGCTAGGTAGCAATGAGGGCACAATGGGGAGTAGGGTAGTGCTAGGTAGCAATGAGGGCACAATGCGGAGTAGGGTGGTGCTAGGTAGCAATGAGGGCACAATGCGGAGTAGGGTGGTGCTAGGTAGCAATGAGGGCACAATGCGGAGTAGGGTGGTGCTAGGTAGCAATGAGGGCACAATACAGAGTAGGGTGGTGCTAGGTAGCGTTGAGGACATGATGCGGAGAAGGGTGGTGCGAGGTAGCACTGAGGGCACAAAGTGGAGAAGGGTGGTGCAAGGTAGCATTGAGGTCTCAATGGGGAGAAGGGTAGTGCTAGGTAGCAATGAGGGCACAATGCGGAGTAGGGTGGTGCTAGGTAGTGTTGAGGACATGATGCGGAGAAGGGTGGTGCTAGGTAGCAATGAGGGCACAAAGTGGAGTAGGGTGTTGCAAAAGGTAGCATTGAGGTCTCAATGGGGGGAAGGGTAGTGCTAGGTAGCACTGAGGGCACAATGCGGAGTAGGGTAGGGCTAGGTAGCAATGAGGGCACAGTGTTAAGTAGTGTGGTGTAAGGTAGCATTGAGGACATGATGCGGAGAAGGGTGGTGCTAGGTAGCAATGAGGGCACAACGCGGAGTAGGGTGGTGCTAGGTAGCAATGAGGGCACAATGCGGAGTAGGGTGGTGCTAGGTAGCAATGAGGGCACAATGCGGAGTAGGGTGGTGCTAGGTAGCAATGAGGGCACAATGCGGAGTAGGGTGGTGTTAGGTAGCGTTGAGGACATGATGCGGAGAAGGGTGGTGCTAGGTAGCAATGAGGGCACAATACGGAGTAGGGTGGTGCTAGGTAGCGTTGAGGACATGATGCGGAGAAGGGTGGTGTTAGGTAGCAATGAGGGCACAATGCGGAGTAGGGTGGTGCTAGGTAGCAATGAGGGCACAATGCGGAGTAGGGTAGTGCTAGGTAGCAATGAGGGCACAGTGTTAAGTAGTGTGGTGTAAGGTAGCATTGAGGGCACAATAGGGAGGAGGGTAGTGCAAGGTAGCATTGAAAGCACAATGCAGAGTAGGGTGGTGAAAGGTAGCGTTGAGGACACAATAGGAAGGAGGATAGTGCAAGGTAGCATTGAAAGCACAATGCAGAGTAGGGTGGTGAAAGGTACCATTGAGGACACAATGTGGAGTAGGGTTGTGAAAGGTAGCGTTGAGAACACAATGTGGAGTAGGGTGGTTCAAGTGTGATGCAAATAGCTGTGCATATGTTTGTTTCAGTATGCCCCATACAAACCAGGCCACAAGGGAACGCTAGCGGAGAGAGCCCGAGCCTTGGGACTAGAACCTCTAGCACTACAGTATATTAACCATCCATGGCGTATAGATACAGAGGCCTACATCAGACCCGACACAAAAGGTGTGTCTAGCCTAAAGGAGGTGGAGGCAGGAATACAGCACATTCTGGCTGACATGATGACCAAAGATAAGGAAGTGATTGACCTGGTCAGAGTGCTGACGGACGACCGGGGAATAACCTTAGAATCGACAGAATCTAAGGGATTGAAGAAAAAACTCAGTGACAAGTCACATGATAAGGAATTAGACAAGGCTTATAATTATGAATCTTATTTCAATTTCCGTCGACTAGTTTCACACATACAGTCTTATCAGGTAAGTTTAAAACTTTTATAAAAATTCTTACCAATGTATTCCTCTGTTTGGGTAAAGAAAAAAAACCAATTAAAAATGTTTTCACTGAAGCAGAAAACTAAAAGAGTATGACCTATGTAATGTAAGGGAGAAATAGAGTAACAGTTGTACATTATTAGGGATTCCACAGGACCAGAAGAAAGAGTTTGTTATAGCCATAATCCGTTATTGGGTTTGAAGCAGTCGATAGTGCAGTTCTCATTAAACAAAAAGTATTAAGTATCAGAATTCTGTAAACAGTCAGACAGATTATAAAATAGCTCTGTTGGTGCATTCTCTCATTAACACACTTTTAAAATCACAAGGCTATTCTTTTCACTGGTATAACATGGCAGATAACACACATGTACTGTCCCATAGACAGAAAATACAACCAGAGAACAAACAATAAAACACTTTTTTATTCTGCCTGATAAATTGATTACCAGGTAACTACATCCTGTGAAATGTATGGTGGATCTCAAAACAGAAGTGAATAATTTTTGCCATAGCTATATAGTGTAAATATACTTACCTGTAAAATCATTTAAGCATAAATTATCGATTTATACATTTATAGCCTAGTGTTCATAGCTGGACTTACCTATATACCTACTGTGCATATTAAATTGTGCATTGTAATGTACCTTTTTAGGGCCCCTACTTTCACTTTCAAAGTGAGGCTACAGACACCATTTTCAGAATTTTGGTATAGGTGCAAGTTTTTTTCGATGATGGAACTAAAATTACACTTTGTATCAATGGGAAATTTGTTATACATTTGCAAATAAGTAATGATAAAAAAGAGCCAAGTCAGGGGATTGAAATTTATGGAAGGAAATTTGTACCAACCCTGTTCATTTTAGGTGAGTTATACTGTTTAACAGATGAATTGGTACATTTATAAAATGCTTCCAACACAGAAAAATCTAGTTTTGAAAAAGATTTGTACTTTCATTCCATTTTGTGTTTTTAGGTGCTGGCTATCAATAGAGGAGAAGAACATAAAATTTTATCTGTTACCATCACATACCCTCAGAACATTAAATACAGGTTTTACCAGTTTCTAAAACGACGCTGGCTTAGGGATGAGCATCGTATGCCTGAAGCTGCAGTTTCCATGGTGAAGAAAGCTACTGAAGATGCATTTGATCGACTTATACAGCCACAAATGACAAGACAAATAAGGTACAGTAACCGCAAATAAGCCAGTGAAAAGATATGGACCAAAAGTAGACTCATTTAGGAGCATCTGTATGTACCTTAGTGTCTGTCATCTTGACCTATATTGTAGAGTACCATACCTTCCCGGTGAATAAAGATGGAAGCTATAAAAGGAATTTTTTTTTCTCCTGACGACTTAAGCAAAAAATATGTGACGGAAGAACGGTCAACCTCCAGGAGTGGTGGTTTCTCATTAATACACTTGATGACTCTTCAATCTGTTAATCTGATAATTGCTGAGGGGTCGAAACATGTCAACAGTATGTCAGCATTAAAGACAACTGCTTCTTGATGCTAAGAATCCTTCTGGCTTCATTCACATATTATGTGAACCATATATTTGGATCTCTACTGTTATACTTTCAGAAACATTTCCATCTCCAGACACTTCGTGTTGGGTCTCTACTTGTTTGCTATTAGATTTAGGATTTGTTGTTGAAACAGTGAATCCCATTATGATGGATACTCAGATAAACATTCTAAACTCCTGTTAAAAAGGGCGTCAGTTATTTTTGTCTTTGAGGCAGATATCTCGTGGGTAAATTGTATGTTGTATGTGTTCTAAAAATACAAGGAGGAAGATATACTTGGATAACTGACATGGCAGATGTCGTCTTTCTTGTTTGAGAATGAATTTTTTAACTTTGTATTTAGGTCAGAGTTGTTGAAAAAAGCAAGGAAATCTTCCATCCAAGTGTTCGCCGAGAACTTGAAGCAGCTGCTTCTGACACAGCCTTGTAAAGGAAAAAATATCATTGGACTTGACCCTGGATTTACAAATGGCTGTAAGACAGCTGTCATTTCAGATACAGGTTAGTTTGCTGTAACAGAACTGTTTATCTCTCAGATAATATATATCTTAAACACTACATTATAAAAACGATTTGTGTGATAGTCTTCTACCAGCCATATCTGGAACAAAATTAATGACTCAAAGGCCTTGTATACCAATTTATTACAGCAATATAGCTGGATCATAATAGTTCATCAATTATTAACCATGGTTATCAGACCTCAGTTTGTATACAGTATTTCCAACACTACAGAGCCACCTATTCATTTGCAGCTGAGTCAACTGCAACTAGCAGAGTAAAGTATCTTGTTCAAGGATAAAAAAAACCACACTACCAGTACACCACACTACAAGTACACCACACTACCAGAACACCACACTACAAGTACACCACACTACCAGAACACCACACTACCAGTACACCACACTACCAGTACACCACACTACAAGTACACCACACTACAAGTACACCACACTACAAGTACACCACACTACCAGTACACCACACTACAAGTACACCACACTACCAGTACACCACACTACACCACACTACCAGTACACCACACTACCAGTACACCACACCACACTACCAGTACACCACTACCAGCACCACACTACCAGTACACCACACTACCAGCATACCACACTACCAGTACACCACACTACAAGTACACCACACTTCAAGTACACCACACTACCAATACCACACTACCAGTACACCAAACTACCAATACCACACTACCAGTACACCACACTACCAGTACACCACACTACAAGTACACCACACTACCAGTACACCACACTACAAGTACACCACACTACCAGTACACCACACTACCAGTACACCACACTACCAGTACACCACACTACCAGTACACCACACTACCAGTACACCACACTACAAGTACACCACACTACCAGTACACCACACTACCAGTACACCACACTACAAGTACACCACACTACCAGTACACCACACTACCAGTACACCACACTACCAATACACCAAACTACCAGCATCACACTACCAGTACACCACACTACCAGTACACCACACTGCCAGCATCACACTACCAGTACACCACACTACCAGTACACCACACTACCAGTACACCACACTACCAGTACACCACACTACCAGTACACCACACTACCAGAACACCACACTACAAGTACACCACACTACCAGAACACCACACTACCACCAGCATCACACTACCAGTACACCACACAGTACACCACACTACACAGTACACCACACTACCAGTACACCACACTACCAGTACTCCACACTACCAGAACACCACACTACCAGTACACCACACTACCAGTACACCACACTACCAGTACACCACACTACCAGTACACCACACTACCATTACACCACACTACCGGTACACCACACTACCGGTATACCACACTACCGGTACACCACACTACCGGTACACCACACTACCAGTACACTACACTACCAGTAAACCACACTACCAGTACACCACACTACCAGTACACCACACTACCAGCATCACACTACCAGCACCACACTACCAGTACACCACACTACCAGTACACTACACTACCAGTACACCACACTACTAGCACCACACTACAAGTACACAACACTACCAGTACACCACACTACCAATACACCAAACTACCAGTACACCACACTACCAGTACCACACTACCACACTACCAGTACACCACACTACCAGTACACCACACACCACTACCAGTACACCACATACACCACACTACACACCATACTACCAGTACACCACACTACCAGTACACCACACTACAAGTACACCAAACTACCAGTACACCACACTACCAGCATCACACTACCAGTACACCACACTACCAGCATCACACTACCAGTACATCACACTACCAGTACACCACACTAGCAGCATCACAGTACACACACACACAGTACACCACACTACCAGTACACCACACAGTACACCACACTACCAGTACACCACACTACCAGCATCACACTACCAGCACCACACTACCAGTACACCACACTACCAGTACACCACACTACCAGTACACCACACTACTAGTACACCATACTACCAGTACACCACACTACCAGTACACCACACTACAAGTACACCACACTACAAGTACACCAAACTACCAGTACACCACACTACCAGCATCACACTACCAGTACACCACACTACCAGTACACCACACTACCAGTACATCACACTACCAGTACACCACACTACCAGCATCACACTACCAGCACCACACTACCAGTACACCACACTACCAGTACACCACACTACAAGTACACCACACTACCAGTACACCACACTACCAGTACACCACACTACCAGCACCACACTACCAGTACAGTATGTCTGAGACATCTATATGATGTGTAACTGATACAGAAACCTAACAGTACTGTTACATCCTTGTTAATTATACAGCCACCAAGATACAATTCTGTATGTCTGAGACATCTGTATGGTGTGTAACTGATACAGAAACCTAACAGTACAGTTACATCCTTGTTAATTATACAGCCACCAAGATACACTTCTGTATGTCTGAGACATCTGTATGGTGTGTAACTGATACAGAAACTTGACAGTACTGTTACATCCTTGTTAATTATACAGCCACCAAGATACACTTCTGTATGTCTGAGACATCTGTATGATATGTAACAGTACTGTTACATCCTTGTTAATTATACAGCCACCAAGATACAATTCTGTATGTCTGAGATATTTGTTTGAGATTACTGTTCATATCTCTAGGTCAAAGGTCAAGGTCTCCATCATCATACATTCTGCACAAAATTATTTTTTTCTTGGAATAACCTTTTTAAAGGTCAGGTGCTCAGAGGTCATGGTCACTGCTACAGTTATCAGAAAATTTGTTTCTTTACTTTGAATTTATTTTTCTCATGCTAATTTAAAGATAAAAAAAAATTCAAGAGGAAAGAAAATCCTTCTATAAATGTTTGCATTCTGTTATTCCCATCTGGATGTTATGACAGACTCTTTTACATCAAGTGCTTTTCTTGATCTTTTCCTGCAACAAAACCAACATGGACAGCTTTCCATCAAACTGTATGATAAAGATGATAATTTCAATTTCCCTATTGTGAATTTTCAATTTCTGGATAGCAATATCCCTGCATTTCCAGCCTATGGTCTTAAGATGTCACAGTTGATTTGATATTCAAGGCCTGGTCCCATTATTACGGTTTGTGAGAAGTTGTTATTTTCATTTTAGAATATGACATTACTTGCATGGATTGACCAAGGTTTACATGGCATGTGTTTTTGATGAAGCAGAATACGCTTACTCTTCCAGAACACCTGGTCTTATTCTCCTTGTACTTTTTTAGGAGTCTCCATGTAAATCTTTCTTTTGTTCAAATTTTGCCCTAGTTTTATGGAATTTGAGCTTGAATTATGATTATGTTGCCATGTTTGTATTTTCTCGAGTTTTTGTGATTTTGATCAAAATTAATGCTGACCGTTAACCGAATAGAATTCTTGTATTGTACTTTGTAATTTGTCATTTGTAGGGAAAGTACTTGAAACAGCAGTGTTATATCTACGGGATCACTCTATGAAATGGAAGATATTAGACCTGGCTAAAAAACACAGGTATGTACAGGAGAGCATTTCACAGGAAAACATGAATAACTTCAGACCTTAGAAAAATGTACATCAAAGGTGTTCTGATTGACATCAGAAAAATGTACATCAAAGGTGTTCTGACTGACATCAGAAAAATGTACATCAAAGGTGTTCTGACTGACATCAGAAAAATGTACATCAAAGGTGTACTGACTGACATCAGAAAAATGTACATCAAAGGTGTTCTGATTGACATCAGAAAAATGTACATCAAAGGTGTACTGACTGACAACAGAAAAATGTACATCAAAGGTGTTCTGACTGACATCAGAAAAATCTACATCAAAGGTGTTCTGACTGACATCAGAAAAATGTACATCAAAGGTGTACTGACTGACATCAGAAAAATCTACATCAAAGGTGTTCTGATTGACATCAGAAAAATGTACATCAAAGGTGTACTGACTGACATCAGAAAAATGTACATCAAAGGTGTACTGACTGACATCAGAAAAATGTAAGCTGTACTGACTGTCATCAGAAAAATGTACATCAAAGGTGTTCTGACTGACATCAGAAAAATATACATCAAAGGTGTTCTGACTGACATCAGAAAAATGTACATCAAAGGTGTACTGACTGACATCAGAAAAATCTACATCAAAGGTGTTCTGATTGACATCAGAAAAATCTACATCAAAGGTGTTTTGATTGACATCAGAAAATCATTTACATTAGATAACAAAGTAAAAAAGAAGTAGCTTGGAATGGTGTTAATGCGAAAAAGTGAATTATGTAATCAATTTACATAGAAAAAGTTGTAATAATAATTGCCTATTAGAACTTGTTTCAGGATTGTCCCTTGCTATAATTATTAATTTTATGGTGTAATGAATTAAGTTGGCACTGTAACCTATATCAATTTCTGTCCTCTGTGTTGTAGGTATAATTGCCTGTGTCTGTTGAGAGGTTGGTGTTTCCTGACTAATCTGTATTAATTTCTGTCCTCTGTGTTGTAGGTATAATTGCCTGTGTCTGTTGAGAGGTTGGTGTTTCCTGACTACAGTTAATCTGTATAAATTACTGTCATCTGAGTTGTAAAGTAAATTGCCTGTGCCTGTTGAGAGGTTGGTGTTTCCTGACTAATCTGTATTAATTTCTGTCCTCTGTGTTGTAGGTATAATTGCCTGTGCCTGTTGAGAGGTTGGTGTTTCCTGACTACCGGTAATCTGTATTAATTTCTGTCCTCTGTGTTGTAGGTATAATTGCCTGTGCCTGTTGAGAGGTTGGTGTTTCCTGACTAATCTGTATTAATTTCTGTCCTCTGTGTTGTAGGTATAATTGCCTGTGTCTGTTAAGAGGTTGGTGTTTCCTGACTACCGGTAATCTGTATTAATTTCTGTCCTCTGTGTTGTAGGTATAATTGCCTGTGTCTGTTGAGAGGTTGGTGTTTCCTGACTACCGGTAATCTGTATTAATTTCTGTCCTCTGTGTTGTAGGTATAATTGCCTGTGTCTGTTGAGAGGTTGGTGTTTCCTGACTAATCTGTATTAATTTCTGTCCTCTGTGTTGTAGGTATAATTGCCTGTGTCTGTTGAGAGGTTGGTGTTTCCTGACTAATCTGTATTAATTTCTGTCCTCTGTGTTGTAGGTATAATTGCCTGTGCCTGTTGAGAGGTTGGTGTTTCCTGACTAATCTGTATTAATTTCTGTCCTCTGTGGTGTAGGTATAATTGCCTGTGCCTGTTGAGAGGTTGGTGTTTCCTGACTAATCTGTATCAATTTCTGTCCTCTGTGTTGTAGGTATAATTGCCTGTGTCTGTTGAGAGGTTGGTGTTTCCTGACTAATCTGTATTAATTTCTGTCCTCTGTGTTGTAGGTATAATTGCCTGTGTCTGTTGAGAGGTTGGTGTTTCCTGACTAATCTGTATTAATTTCTGTCCTCTGTGTTGTAGGTATAATTGCCTGTGCCTGTTGAGAGGTTGGTGTTTCCTGACTACCGGTAATCTGTATTAATTTCTGTCCTCTGTGTTGTAGGTATAATTGCCTGTGTCTGTTGAGAGGTTGGTGTTTCCTGACTAATCTGTATTAATTTCTGTCCTCTGTGTTGTAGGTATAATTGCCTGTGCCTGTTGAGAGGTTGGTGTTTCCTGACTAATCTGTATTAATTTCTGTCCTCTGTGTTGTAGGTATAATTGCCTGTGTCTGTTGAGAGGTTGGTGTTTCCTGACTACCGGTAATCTGTATTAATTTCTGTCCTCTGTGTTGTAGGTATAATTGCCTGCGCCCTGATGAGAGGTTGGTGTTTCCTGACTACCGGTAATCTGTATTAATTTCTGTCCTCTGTGTTGTAGGTGCAGTATCATTGCCATTGGAGACGGATCTGGATGCCGTGAGTCAGAAAAAATGATTTCAGATGCCATCAAAGAAAATCGAGCAAACATCCAATATTGGTATATTTAACTGAGAATTATTATTTTTATCTCCTTAATTGAATCAGTTTGCAGAAGTATTGAGAAGTAAAGAGATCAGGGCCATGTTCATGGAATTTTTCAGTGTTTCCAGACAACTTTTTAAATAATCTTCACCTCAATTTAAGGTTGCTGAAGTTAAATTTATTGAAATCTTTAAATGAGAGATTCTGATGAATGAACATGGTCATCGTGTTTATATTGTCTGTCCAGATCAATAACTTCATCCATCAGGTTATCAGAATAAACAGATACAAACAATTAAAATGACAATATTTTGAAAAATCTGAAAAGTCTGGTATTATGGACATTTGGCCAGTGGCTCACACACTCTGTCCAAGGTAACAGGCTGTCCTAATATTACTTCATATCTAAATCATGAACAAATGTGTTTAAATCCAAAATCAAGAATTTTACATTATATCGTCAGTAATACAACAGTTTGTAATAAGCAGAAATTAATGGTTGTTCAAAATCATGTTTCAAAGTAATAATAAGGCCGTTTAGACTGATACCTATATGTTATAGTATTGTGAGGGAGAGCGGGGCCTCTATATACAGTGTAACAGATGTAGCGAAACAGGAACTACCTAATCTCGAGCCAATGTTAAGGAGTGCAGGTATGTTAAGGATTATACTTGTGATGTATTAACGACTGGATAAACTTAAGGAAAGGGTTTATATTATGTTGTGATCAGGTACTTAGACATCATACTATAGCATGTTGTGACAGATTCTATGAGTGGTGACTTTTCATGCTCCCCAAAAAGTTTTAGGGGGTTGATATAGTTGGTGCCTTGTACGTCCGTCTATCTTTCCATCTGTCCTTTCAATGTATAAACAGTGGGGCTCGGCCTCCCTGGGCCAGATGGAGGGGGCCAGATGGAGGGGGCCCGATGGAGGGGGCCCGATGGAGGGGGCCAGATGGAGGGGGCCAGATGGAGGGGGCCCGATAAGAGAAATCTATGTTTTCCTGTAAATGCATCTTCAGGAATTGCAGGATGTTATCCAGATTTGGTTTTGGTGAAAGGAAATAAGTTTTGTATAAATCTCGGCCATACAGCTACGAACGTATAAATAGATGAAACATAGAAAAACATATAGACAATTACATGTGATTGTGACAACACCCCCGGATTCTGATAAAAAAATTGGAACACCACGGAGCATGACATACCTACATCCTACTTAGATAATCAGCTCCAATATTTTCTGAACCCTTGATGGCATGTATCTTGAAACGATATGGCTTGAGTAGTAGTGCCCCCCTCATAAGTCTCGCATTGGCTGTCTTAGACTTGTTCAGGTAGGGCAATGGCTGGTGATCAGCCTTGAGGAGAAATTCTCAATAACTGCGTAGTTCTGTTCCTGGGGAAGAAGTTTTCGACTGGCGTATGCGATAGGCAACTTCTGATTGTCTTCCTCCTGTAATAACACAGCTCCTAACCAGGTGTTGGACGCATCAGTTCTCAAGATAAAGCCCTGCTCCAAATCTGGCCGTTTCAATTCTGGTTTTGCCGTCAGGAGTTTCCTCAGTGTTGTAAGCACGCTCATGACTGTCCAGCCATTCCTATTTGTTTTGTGAACCCTTCTTTGTAAGGTACACAGGTCTACAGGTAAAAACTACACAACCATTACTCATGGCATACTTTACCTGTCATTCCGCATGTGCACTTCCACCCTAGCCATACTAACATTCGTGCCATACAGCTACGAACATACAAACAGATGAAACAGAAAAACATACGAACAATTACATGCTATCTTGACAATGACCAATAAAGGCTCTCTGGGCCTCTCGTTGAACATAATTTGTTTATCTTCTTTCAGTAATAGATCAAACATGGTTAGAATTATTATTATGAGCCGACAATTTGCATATATTGACCTCGGCTGACCCCCAAAGGTTGAGAGGAGGCTAAAAGTGGATAAAACTGACTGAAGATTCAAAGATGTTCTAGTGTTGTTTGTAGATGATTTGATACTGGAAAGTTCAAATGTTTAGTGTAATTTCTTTTAAATCAAACTTGGTTAGAAGCCTTAGCATGGATCATTAGAAAAAAATTATGCACAATTTACATTTTGTTATATATGTACAATGTAGTTAAAGTTGTCTTACTTTTTTAAGAAAACATGTTTTGACAGATTGTATGAGTGGTGACTTTTTGTGTTACAGTATCCATTGCCAGACGTTTACTGGACCCTCTGGCAGAGTTTGTGAAGGTTGATCCAAAACATCTTGGTGTAGGACAGTACCAGGTAAAAATCTACATGAAACAATTGTACTATTATGTATAAAACTTGTCATAAACAATTGTTTTGTGGCTGTGAACCATGTTACTTATGTCATCTTATACATAAAGAAGCCTGAAGTTATTGATGAAGTCATATTGCTGATAAAGGTTTTTGTGTGTGTAGTTCAGTCCAGCCAAGCGAGAATGTTACTGCACCAATAGTTTACTTTCAGCATGACATGCCCGAGAAACAGATGCAGACTTCGCTTGACTCTGTAGTGGAGGAGTGTGTCAGCTTTGTGGGAGTGGACGTCAACACAGCAAGTGAACATCTTCTGCGGTAGGTTGGGTAGGAAGGCAGACAAGTGAATCATCATCTATATATGTAGGTTACCCTTGGTTCCTTAAGGTATTCATCGTCAGTTTTTGGACTTATTGGAGCACTGGATGAATAATTTAGAAATTTCATATGTAACTTCTTCAACGTCCCTAGTGGCACATTTTAAATTTCATAACGACTTACCAGACAAATGGTCATCTTCGATTTAAACTTGTGAAGATAGGGAGCCTTCCCTCCTGTTTTTGCAAATTAAAACAATTTAGTGTTCATGATCATTATAATATCTTGGTTCCTTTGTTTCCTAGCAGATAGAGCATGTAGCAGCATTGTAATAATTGGCTTTAATTTATATATCATTTACTAGGAGAACAGCTGGACTGACAGCTAGTCGTGCCAAGAACATCGTGGAGTGGAGAGAGAAGAATGGAGCATTCATCAACAGAGACCAGATCCGTCATGTTAAGGGGGTTGGGGCCAAATCCTATGAGCAGTGTGCTGGATTTATCAGAGTACATAGTACATCTGTTGCCCAGGTTACACAGTAAGTAGCTGTATCTATACATCTGTTACCTGTCCAGTGTGTCAGGTTACACAGTAAGTAGCTGTATCTATACATCTGTTACCTGTCCAGTGTGTCAGGTTACACAGTAAGTAGCTGTATCTATACATCTGTTACCTGTCCAGTGTGTCTGGTTACACAGTAAGTAGCTGTATCTATACATCTGTTACCTGTCCAGTGTGTCAGGTTACACAGTAAGTAGCTGTATCTATACATCTGTTACCTGTCCAGTGTGTCAGGTTACACAGTAAGTAGCTGTATCTATACATCTGTTACCTGTCCAGTGTGTCTGGTTACACAGTAAGTAGCTGTATCTATACATCTGTTACCTGTCCAGTGTGTCTTGTTACACAGTAAGTAGCTGTATCTATACATCTGTTACCTGTCCAGTGTGTCAGGTTACACAGTAAGTAGCTGTATCTATACATCTGTTACCTGTCCAGTGTGTCAGGTTACACAGTAAGTAGCTGTATCTATACATCTGTTACCTGTCCAGTGTGTCAGGTTACACAGTAAGTAGCTGTATCTATACATCTGTTACATCTGTTACCTGTCCAGTGTGTCAGTAAGTAGGTTACACAGTAAGTAGCTGTATCTATACATCTGTTACCTGTCCAGTGTGTCAGGTTACACAGTAAGTAGCTGTATCTATACATCTGTTACCTGTCCAGTGTGTCAGGTTACACAGTAAGTAGCTGTATCTATACATCTGTTACCTGTCCAGTGTGTCTGGTTACACAGTAAGTAGCTGTATCTATACATCTGTTACCTGTCCAGTGTGTCAGGTTACACAGTAAGTAGCTGTATCTATACATCTGTTACCTGTCCAGTGTGTCAGGTTACACAGTAAGTGTGTAGTTACACAGTGTATCTATACATCTGTTACCTGTCCAGTGTGTCTGGTTACACAGTAAGTAGATGTATCTATACATCTGTTACCTGTCCAGTGTGTCAGGTTACACAGTAAGTAGCTGTATTTATACATCTGTTACCTGTCCAGTGTGTCAGGTTACACAGTAAGTAGCTGTATCTTATACATGTTACCTGTCCAGTGTGTCAGGTTACACAGTAAGTAGCTGTATCTATACATCTGTTACCTGTCCAGTGTGTCAGGTTACACAGTAAGTAGCTGTATCTATACATCTGTTACCTGTCCAGTGTGTCAGGTTACACAGTAAGTAGCTGTATCTATACATCTGTTACCTGTCCAGTGTGTCAGGTTACACAGTAAGTAGCTGTATCTATACATCTGTTACCTGTCCAGTGTGTCAGGTTACACAGTAAGTAGCTGTATCTATACATCTGTTACCTGTCCAGTGTGTCAGGTTACACAGTAAGTAGCTGTATCTATACATCTGTTACCTGTCCAGTGTGTCAGGTTACACAGTAAGTAGCTGTATCTATACATCTGTTACCTGTCCAGTGTGTCAGGTTACACAGTAAGTAGCTGTATCTTATACATGTTACCTGTCCAGTGTGTCAGGTTACACAGTAAGTAGCTGTATCTATACATCTGTTACCTGTCCAGTGTGTCAGGTTACACAGTAAGTAGCTGTATCTATACATCTGTTACCTGTCCAGTGTGTCAGGTTACACAGTAAGTAGCTGTATCTTATACATGTTAAGTAGCTGTATCTTTACATCTGTTACCTGTCCAGTGTGTCAGGTTACACAGTAAGTAGCTGTATCTATACATCTGTTACCTGTCCAGTGTGTCAGGTTACACAGTAAGTAGCTGTATCTATACATCTGTTACCTGTCCAGTGTGTCAGGTTACACAGTAAGTAGCTGTATCTTATACATGTTACCTGTCCAGTGTGTCAGGTTACACAGTAAGTAGCTGTATCTATACATCTGTTACCTGTCCAGTGTGTCAGGTTACACAGTAAGTAGCTGTATCTATACATCTGTTACCTGTCCAGTGTGTGTACACAGTAAGTAGGTTACATCTGTTACACAGTAAGTAGCTGTATCTATACATCTGTTACCTGTCCAGTGTGTCAGGTTACACAGTAAGTAGCTGTATCTATACATCTGTTACCTGTCCAGTGTGTGTGTCAGGTTACACAGTAAGTAGCTGTATCACATTGATGTTAGCTGAGCAGTGTGTCTGTTTTCTCAGTAAGTAGCTGTATCTATACATCTGTTACCTGTCCAGTGTGTCAGGTTACACAGTAAGTAGCTGTATCTATACATCTGTTACCTGTCCAGTGTGTCAGGTTACACAGTAAGTAGCTGTATCTATACATCTGTTACCTGTCCAGTGTGTCAGGTTACACAGTAAGTAGCTGTATCTATACATCTGTTACCTGTCCAGTGTGTCAGGTTACACAGTAAGTAGCTGTATCTATACATCTGTTACCTGTCCAGTGTGTCAGGTTACACAGTAAGTAGCTGTATCTATACATCTGTTACCTGTCCAGTGTGTCAGGTTACACAGTAAGTAGCTGTATCTATACATCTGTTACCTGTCCAGTGTGTCAGGTTACACAGTAAGTAGCTGTATCTATACATCTGTTACCTGTCCAGTGTGTCAGGTTACACAGTAAGTAGCTGTATCTATACATCTGTTACCTGTCCAGTGTGTCAGGTTACACAGTAAGTAGCTGTATCTATACATCTGTTACCTGTCCAGTGTGTCTGGTTACACAGTAAGTAGCTGTATCTATACATCTGTTACCTGTCCAGTGTGTCTGGTTACACAGTAAGTAGCTGTATCTATACATCTGTTACCTGTCCAGTGTGTCAGGTTACACAGTAAGTAGCTGTATCTTATACATGTTACCTGTCCAGTGTGTCTGGTTACACAGTAAGTAGCTGTATCTATACATCTGTTACCTGTCCAGTGTGTCTGGTTACACAGTAAGTAGCTGTATCTATACATCTGTTACCTGTCCAGTGTGTCTGGTTACACAGTAAGTAGCTGTATCTATACATCTGTTACCTGTCCAGTGTGTCAGGTTACACAGTAAGTAGCTGTATCTATACATCTGTTACCTGTCCAGTGTGTCTGGTTACACAGTAAGTGTGTCAGTGTGTCTGGTTACACAGTAAGTAGCTGTATCTATACATCTGTTACCTGTCCAGTGTGTCTGGTTACACAGTAAGTAGCTGTATCTATACATCTGTTACCTGTCCAGTGTGTCAGGTTACACAGTAAGTAGCTGTATCTATGCATCTGTTACCTGTCCAGTGTGTCTGGTTACACAGTAAGTAGCTTTATCTATGCATCTGTTACCTGTCCAGTGTGTCTGGTTACACAGTAAGTAGCTGTATCTATGCATCTGTTACCTGTCCAGTGTGTCAGGTTACACAGTAAGTAGATGTATCTATACATCTGTTACCTGTCCAGTGTGTCAGGTTACACAGTAAGTAGCTGTATCTATACATCTGTTACCTGTCCAGTGTGTCAGGTTACACAGTAAGTAGCTGTATCTATACATCTGTTACCTGTCCAGTGTGTCAGGTTACACAGTAAGTAGCTGTATCTATACATCTGTTACCTGTCCAGTGTGTCAGGTTACACAGTAAGTAGCTGTATCTATACATCTGTTACCTGTCCAGTGTGTCAGGTTACACAGTAAGTAGCTGTATCTATACATCTGTTACCTGTCCAGTGTGTCAGGTTACACAGTAAGTAGCTGTATCTATACATCTGTTACCTGTCCAGTGTGTCAGGTTACACAGTAAGTAGCTGTATCTATACATCTGTTACCTGTCCAGTGTGTCAGGTTACACAGTAAGTAGCTGTATCTATACATCTGTTACCTGTCCAGTGTGTCAGGTTACACAGTAAGTAGCTGTATCTATACATCTGTTACCTGTCCAGTGTGTCAGGTTACACAGTAAGTAGCTGTATCTATACATCTGTTACCTGTCCAGTGTGTCAGGTTACACAGTAAGTAGCTGTATCTATACATCTGTTACCTGTCCAGTGTGTCAGGTTACACAGTAAGTAGCATCTGTTACCTGTCCAGTGTGTCAGGTTACACAGTAAGTATATCATACTGTTACCTGTCCAGTGTGTCAGGTTACACAGTAAGTAGCTGTATCTATACATCTGTTACCTGTCCAGTGTGTCAGGTTACACAGTAAGTAGCTGTATCTATACATCTGTTACCTGTCCAGTGTGTCAGGTTACACAGTAAGTAGCTGTATCTATACATCTGTTACCTGTCCAGTGTGTCAGGTTACACAGTAAGTAGCTGTATCTGTACATGTTACCTGTCCAGTGTGTCAGGTTACACAGTAAGTAGCTGTATCTATACATCTGTTACCAAGGTATATGTCCAGTTTGTCAGGCTGTTTTGGAAAAGAAATGACTTTGATCTATAATCAAGGTCATAGAGGTCAAATTTGTTTAAACCTTTGAACAACTTATTTTCATGAACTAAGAGGCCTAGAGGCATGATATTTGGCTGGTATGTTGCTAGGATGAATCCTAACAAAATTGGCGGAAACATTTGATCTTGACTTATATTCAAGGTCACAGGGGTCAAATTTGCTACAGGACTCCAAAAGGTGACATTTGACAATACTTCAATGGATTTAACTACCGTAAATTTGTGGGTATAATGTGCAGGTACTTTTTTGGGATCAGATTAAGAAAAAAAAAAGTTTTTTTCTACTGAAAGATTAATTGATTACTGGTCACCGCGATGAAACAGTTGATGTGGTTTGATCCATTGATAATTAGGAAACCACAATCATCGTGACCCTAACATATTTAATTACCTTATGTAAACAAATTCACACAGGTGCCAGACTTAATAAGCATGAAAGGCTTCTAATTCTTAACAGGTACCACATTGAGTATGAGGAGATTGATGACACCCGGCTTGAGCTGAATGCGTGCTATTGGTCCAAAAACGATGTTGTTTTAAATGTCTGAAAATTTTCAATCCTACCTTGTCTCCAAAAAAATAGGTGATATTTTCAGTACTGGAAGATCTTTCATGGTATCTGTACCCACTGCGGTATCCAAAGTTACTTAATGATAGATTGTTTACACCGACTTCGACATGGGGAAACACAGAACATCGTTTACAGCGACAGAAAAACTGGACGCCATTGACTACACGAGAGACTTGGGTTTCGTGCTGCCGGTCGTCACTTTGACATTCCAGAGTCAAATATCAGAGCATGGAAGAAAAAAGAAGAATGTCTAAAGTCCGAACCACTGACCAAAAGGGCTAACAGAGGTGCAACAGCAAAACACCAAGAGGTTAAGAGAGAGCTGTTCAACTTTGTATGCGATTGCCGAGATGCCGGCATTGCTGTCAGTACAACAGAACTGCGCCTTCGGGCCATGCAGATCAAGAGAGGTCATGGGGACACATGCTGAGGAGAACGATGCAGAAATACAAAATTGACCTGATGAGACCCCTAAGGACTTAGGGACAGGTCCCAAAAGAGGATGTTTAACAATATTTAGCTTCCACATGCTACTCCTCTTTAATGGTTGAGTGGATTTCAACCAAATTTCATTGAGAGTTGAGAATCATTTCTTCAATTCAGAAAGATGATTGAACACCTAGGGACTTTGGGGCGGGGTCCCAAAAGGGGAAGTTAGACAAGATTTTGCTTTAAAATGCTACTCTTTCTTAATACTTGAATGGATTTTAACCAAATTTGGTGTGAAACATCATTGAGAGTGGAGAAACATTTCTTACATCAAGGAAGTTGATTGGACCCCGAGGAATTTGGGGTCAGGTGGAGCCCCAAATAGGATAGTCTGTCAATATTCTACTTCAAAATGCTATATTTTCTGAATGCTTACATGGTTTCAGCCATATTTGGCATGAAACATCATTGAGAATGGAAAATCATTTCTTAGATTCCAGAAGTTGATTTGACCCCTACTTAATATGAATGACCATGATCTGCTTAGGTAAGTAGCATGCTAGGATGTAGGGCTACCAACTTTGTTCATATGAATGACCTTGACCCACTTTCAAGGTCACAGGTATCAAATGTGTTAAAAAGTCAAAATGACCTTCTCAATAATTAAAAGCCCAGGGTGTTGATGTTGGTCAACCTTTCAAGGTCACAAAGATTAAATGTGTGAAAGTGCTTAAGTAACTTCTTTTCAATAACCGAATGCAAAGGGTCTTGATATTGGGCCTATAGCTTGCTTTTTCAACAAGCAACACATGCAGAGTAATGACAGTTGTGATGAACTGACAACGTTCTCAATGTAAGCTGTAGAGTAGTTGAGCAATTCCTTTTCAGCCTATTTGGCCCCTTTCATATGTAGATGTTTATAGTCAGATGACCTGACTAAGATAATGATAAATTGCTGCGGTATCTGATGTGTGGCCTAACATATTAAGAAATTAAACAGGTGAACTAACACTTGTATCATTTGCTCCTGTGCAAAAGTTCTGGATGTTCACAATATTAGAATATTCTATGTCTAAACTGGTACTGAAAAAAAGTTGAAATGATTGACAATAAGTGACTTCATTGTAGAGAAAAAGATGAAGAACCTGAGGCCTGCACGTCAGGAGGTAGGAAAAGGAAAGCTACCACAAAAGTCAGCAAGGCTAAGAAAGCCAAAATGTCCGACCAACCAAACCCACTAGATATGACCTCCATTCACCCAGAAAGTTACCCACAAGCTCAACGGTGAGTATGTAATACTATTTCACAGTTGTTAAACTGATGATCAATGTTTAATACTGATTTCATTTTCTTATCTTACCAGCTTTTAAACCATTTATCAAACAATTTTAACAGCTCAGTGGCAGGAGGAATAGAATCAATATACAGATTATAAAATGCATTCTGTAAAACCTATCATCGGTGAATGGTCTCCATGCTATAGAGACAACCATTGGGACGAAGTTGTCCTTGCCTGTCAATACTTAAACATTCATATACGTTGAAAGGCGAAGATAATCCTCGATGCATAGGATGTGATGAGCCATTCACCATTAAACATTTTTTATTGGACTTCATTGACCATCTGTCTACTTGAGAAAATTTTCATCTTAACATTACAAGTCTTAATACCCATTTTAAAAACTGATTTTTTCTTTTTATGAAATTCTCAAAGATTTTGGTGTATATAATAGGATATGACTTACTACTATTTTAATCTTTTGTGATGATATAACCATATGGGGGTAAATCTGTGATAACCCACTGATTTATTGTGCTATATTTAGACTTCTGAAGAGAATTGGGGGTAAATCTGTGATAACCCACTGATTTATTGTGCTATATTTAGACTTCTGGAGAGAATTGGGGGTAAATCTGTGATAACCCACTGATCTATTGTGCTATATTTAGACTTCTGAAGAGAATTGGGGGTAAATCTGTGATAACCCACTGATTTATTGTGCTATATTTAGACTTCTGAAGAGAATTGGGGTAAATCTGTGATAACCCACTGATTTATTGTGCTATATTTAGACTTCTGAAGAGAATTGGGGTAAATCTGTGATAACCCACTGGTTTATTGTGCTATATTTAGACTTCTGAAGAGAATTGGGGTAAATCTGTGATAACCCACTGATTTATTGTGCTATATTTAGACTTCTGAAGAGAATTGGGGTTAAATCTGTGATAACCCACTGATTTATTGTGTTATAGTAAGACTTCTGGAGAGAATTGGGGGTAAATCTGTGATAACCTACTGATTTTTTGTATTATATTTAGACTTCTGGAAAGAATTGGGGTGAATCCATCACAAGTTGGACAAGCCCATTTTATCAGACAGGTCCAGGACTTCATGAAAAAAACAAGTAAGTTCACTCCCTATCTATCATTCCACTGATGTTGATAAAGCTGTCATTACTAGGAAGTGCTTCTGAGGTTTTGTTCTTTCAAACACACTATTTCATATATTTGTTAATACATGTAGCATTATTCTGTTGGTCAGCTAGCCTTCTGATTGGTCCACATGATCTTACTGGTACTTTGTTTCAATTGATGTTGATGAAGTTTAAAATGTGGAACTTGTTTGAGGATTTCATATGTCTTCTTTGGCTTCTAATGACAGATACTTTTAATGGCTGATGAGGTCAAACTGTGGTGGAAATGACACATCACAGATAGATTTAATGGGAAATCAAATTATCTATTGTGGTTTCTGATTTATTGGACATGATCAATACAGCTCTAATCTTTTTAGTTTGATTTGGTGTGTTATTGGTGTAAAACATTGATGGTACACCTCATTTATATCACACAACTAACTTTTATATTTGTATTTTCATGATGAATACCTTGATTTTCTTTTTTTCACATTCTTTACATCTGCATAGGTGATTTGTGGGACATTACTTACAATTAGGATGTATGTAAACCCAAGTTTTAGTATTTTGTTCTTTAGAGCATTAATAACTATTTTAAATATGGGTTGATTTTTAAGTCCCTGTGTTACAGGTGTAACCCAGCAGGCAGCAGAGTTATCTGTAGGAGAGCCTACATTGGATCTCATTGTCAGTGCTTTACAGCAGCCCCTTAACTATGATTTTCGTGAAGGTAAGGCAAAGAAGGTGACAGACAAGTAATTTATTTGGGATAAATTTTGTCTCATTCAATTTACATTGTCATTAATTTTTAGTTTATTCTTATTCAGAAACAAAACCTTTAAGTCAGATATCAGTTTTTAATATCAGTTTTAAAATCATACACTCTCTAACAAACTAAGGATGTCATTTCCTAAAGACACAAATAATAACGTAGAGTCTGGATGAAGAAATACAATATGAAAGCCATTCTACTTCTCTTCTTCAGGTTTTGACAAGCCTTTATTTCGGTCTAGAACATCTGGGTTTGATGAACTCAAGGTTGGAGAGATACTCACAGGAAAAGTTGAGAATGTAACACACTTCGGGGCATTTGTTGATGTAGGGGTGGGGGAGAGAGGACTGCTCTTTAACAGCGCCATGAAGGGACAGCACATACAGCTAGGTAACCGCCTCGAAGTGAAGGTCCTCTCTCTGGACAGGGGACGTAAACGATTCAGACTAGAATTTGTCAAGTTCGGGTGACTTAACTGCTTTCTGTAACAATGGCTGATCAGAGATGATGATTTACAAATAAGATTGTTGATTTCATAAATGGAAATGATTGCAACCAGAATGGAAAAGTTCAGCTTATGACAGTATATGTCACAAAGTGAAAGCTGCGTTTCATTTGGTGATGTTGTTGATGTTTAAGAATCATGCATTTGCAAACATTTTATGTGATTTTGATGTGATCTTAATACCCCATCCCCCAGTACAAGAATTGTGTTTGATATCAAGTAAATGATAAAAAAAAAAATGTTCTTTTCAGTGCAATTGGTTCCAGCTCGTTTTGGAAGTCATTTAAGTAGATTTTAAGGTCACTGAAGACAAAGTCTCAGGGTGACCTATTGCGATCCCCGTTTGTCAGGCATCGTAAACTATCACATTTTTTACTTCTTCTGGAAAATCCCTGAACCAATTTCAAAGAAATTTTACAAAAAACTTTCATGGCTAAAGGTACACCAAAATTGTAAATTATACAGTTCCCAACACCCAGGGGCCTCAGAGGTGGGACAAGAAATGGTCAAAATTAATTGAAACTTCAAAAATCTCCTCAAATCCCAGGTATAGTAGAATCAGGAATCTTTCATGATAGAAAGGCCTTCAAACACTTTACCAAAATTGTCAATTTCATGACCACAGGGCCTCACATTTCCCCCTGAGGAGGAGGTTTACTCCAGTTTATATAGAAACATTACATTTTTGAGCATTATTTGTTTATTTTCTATTGGAAATTGTTCAAACCTGGTTAGAATTATTAGTTTTAGATGACAGTTTAATAAGATGCACCTCCCCAGGGGCTGTTGGGCAGTGCCAAAAATGGGTCAAATTGACTGAAATTTCAAAGATGTTCTACTCTTCCTGGATTAAAGATTCTATATAGGAAAATTCAAATATTGAGTGGGATTTCTTTTAATTCATACTTTGTTAGAAGCCTTAAAATGGCACAGCAGTTAATGTATACACAGTTTACATTTGCATTCTATGTGTACAACATAGTTAAAGTAATTCTTTTTAACAAAATCATTTCTATACTCAAGGGATAAAAAAAGGCAGGGTAAACTTTGAAGATGATTCTCGGCAAGACATCAAGTATAATGGTATAATGTTCAATTTTTTAAAGTAAGAATGAAGAATAATCCATACAGAGCAAACTGCAAAGTCAATGATTTGTGATTGAGGATTAATTGAAGGGAATTGAAAGAGAACATGCCTGCAGACCAACTTCCAACAATTGTTTCATAACAGTTTGTGCATGGAAGGGTAGATTCAGTGGCAGAAAGGTGCCGATTGATGTTGTGACGTCATGTGCGAGCACCCAGACCTAGGTCTGTTGGCAAACCCACCCAGTTTCACTTAGACCTCTAGCAGTACGTTCTATAGTACGGATATGGACAATGAAATATCTGGCAACCTGTATTTGCCTTTGACCTTGAATAATCATCGCAATGGCCTGACCCCTCTGAACTTCCGTAATGTACCATTGTTTAATGCTATCAGAAATTAATCAAAATATCGGAAAATGATGTATCTCTATGAGGACTACCTAATGGTATGATGAACAGTGTTCCTCAAAGTCACAGCACTACTGTGCTCAAGATTGCTCCATTTCATATTTTCCTCGGAAGAACTTGTGAGGCAATAGAATTATACAACATTTGATACAGGACCACATGCACTGTGACCTAGAGTGTTGCTTGACAGATTTTCATCGTTTTTGAATAATGTGTTCGCAAGATATTGCAAATAATATCACCCTGCGTTTTTTTATCCCTGGAGTATATGACATGTTACAAGAAGTGTTGTGACTCAGGTGACCGTTAAGGCCCTTGGGCCTCTTGTTTGTTGATTTTGTAATAATTTTGATAAATAATGTGAAGAACACATCATTTGATTAAATCCGTTGTAACAATAGGTATGACATTATGTATGTATATGGAAGGATTGTTTGCTGGGTTTACCTCCCCTTGGAACAGCCATAGTTTGGTTGAGGTGGGACCTCCTAGTAGTTGGTGGTGGATTCGGCACTGAAAACGATGGAGGTCCACCACAAACTATCCAAAGAAATCAGAGTGTCTTGCCCAAAGATGCAACCAGGACTGCGGACATTGAGTCATAACTTTCCAATGAAACACCAAACAGAGAAGGGCAGATAGGCTGTGTGTGTTTGTAGATGGGGTGGAGTGAGGAGAGCATAGGCTGTGTGTGTTTGTAGATGGGGTGGAGTGAGGAGAGCATAGGCTGTGTGTGTTTGTAGATGGGGTGGAGTGAGGAGAGCATAGGCTGTGTGTGTTTGTAGATGGGGTGGAGTGAGGAGAGCATAGGCTGTGTGTGTTTGTAGATGGGGTGGAGTGAGGAGAGCATAGGCTGTGTGTGTTTGTAGATGGGGTGGAGTGAGGAGAACATAATCACTTGATTGTGTATAGGACCTTATGTCAGAGATATGTTTGAGATGGATATTTTATTGAGTCTATGTTATAGATTTTACTGATGTTGAGGATTGATATCGGGCTGTGTGTAATAATACTTATAAACCATTGACATCAGAATTAAGGTTATAAACTTGATATAATGGTGAGCCAAGAGAAAAAGGAAATATTTACAGTAGTAAAGTGAAGACTGATGTTGAATTACATTATAGCAGGTTTAATTATCAGTACAACTTGTAATAGATAATTATCCATTCTTTAAAAAAGGTCATTGTATTATTTGAGCCAAATTTAAACCCCAACAAAATTCAGAATGTTAAGTTCTTAAATCTTTAATGTTTTAATGGCATATAATAGTTATTAAAAATCTGAAATCTTCATTTAACATCACAAATTTCTGAAATTTGTGTAAATTCCTGCAGTTAAGCATCCAAAATTGAAAACAAGTAAAGAATTTGGAGGAGAGAAGAAGAGAATAACAGAAAGAAATCTTCATTTAAAGAAATGAGATTGAAACAATTTGATTGAAACAGGGACCAAAAATGGCTCAAATCTAACTCTTTGTGAAGAAAAATGAATTGTTGTATTTTGTGTTCATGAAATAAATGATATCCAGAACTGAAATTGATTTTTGTTTCATAATTTCAGGATTTCATTGATTCTGTTTGACAAAACCTGACTGAACCTGGTTAAACCATTATGAATTTTAAAACTGTTCCAAGGATAATTTTGCACACAAAATAACTATGATATTGTTAGTATGATTCTTCCAGCAATTATCTAATACACAAAATAACGAAAACACTGTATTTATAACTGTTCCAGGAACTTAAAATACAACACTGTTTGTATGACTGTTCCAGGAACTTAAATACAACACTGTATAACTGTTCCAGGAACTTAAATACAACACTGTATTTATAACTGTTCCAGGAACTTAAAATACAACACTGTTTGTATAACTGTTCCAGGAACTTAAATACAACACTGTATAACTGTTCCAGGAACTTAAATACAACACTGTATTTATAACTGTTCCAGGAACTTAAAATACAACACTGTTTGTATAACTGTTCCAGGAACTTAAATACAACACTGTATAACTGTTCCAGGAACTTAAATACAACACTGTATTTATAACTGTTCCAGGAACTTAAATACAACACTGTATAACTGTTCCAGGAACTTAAATACAACACTGTATTTATAACTGTTCCAGGAACTTAAAATACAACACTGTTTGTATAACTGTTCCAGGAACTTAAATACAACACTGTATAACTGTTCCAGGAACTTAAATACAACACTGTATTTATAACTGTTCCAGGAACATAAATACAACACTGTTTGTATAACTGTTCCGGGAACTTAAATACAACAGTTTGTATAACTGTTCCAGGAACTTAAATACAACACTGTTTGTATAACTGTTCCAGGAACTTAAATACAACACTGTATTTATAACTGTTCCAGGAACATAAATACAACACTGTTTGTATAACTGTTCCGGGAACTTAAATACAACAGTTTGTATAACTGTTCCAGGAACTTAAATACAACACTGTTTGTATAACTGTTCCAGGAACTTAAATACAACACTGTATTTATAACTGTTCCAGGAACTTAAATACAACACTGTTTGTATAACTGTTCCAGGAACTTAAATACAACACTGTGTGTATAACTGTTCCAGGAACTTAAATACAACACTGTTTGTATAACTGTTCCAGGAACTTAAATACAACACTGTATTTATAACTGTTCCAGGAACTTAAAATACAACACTGTTTGTATAACTGTTCCAGGAACTTAAATACAACACTGTATTTATAACTGTTCCAGGAACATAAGATAAATACAACACTGTTTGTATAACTGTTCCAGGAACTTAAATACAACACTGTGTGTATAACTGTTCCAGGAACTTAAATACAACACTGTTTGTATAACTGTTCCAGGAACTTAAATACAACACTGTATTTATAACTGTTCCAGGAACTTAAAATACAACACTGTTTGTATAACTGTTCCAGGAACTTAAATACAACACTGTATTTATAACTGTTCCAGGAACATAAGATAAATACAACACTGTTTGTATAACTGTTCCAGGAACTTAAATACAACACTGTATAACTGTTCCAGGAACTTAAATACAACACTGTATAACTGTTCCAGGAACATAAGATAAATACAACACTGTATAACTGTTCCAGGAACATAAGATAAATACAACACTGTTTGTATAACTGTTCCAGGAACATAAGATAAATACAACACTGTATAACTGTTCCAGGAACATAAGATAAATACAACACTGTATAACTGTTCCAGGAACATAAGATAAATACAACACTGTTTGTATAACTGTTCCAGGAACATAAGATAAATACAACACTGTATAACTGTTCCAGGAACATAAATACAACACTGTATAACTGTTCCAGGAACATAAGATAAATACAACACTGTATAACTGTTCCAGGAACATAAGATAAATACAACACTGTATAACTGTTCCAGGAACTTAAATACAACACTGTATTTATAACTGTTCCAGGAACTTAAATACAACACTGTTTGTATAACTGTTCCAGGAACTTAAATACAACACTGTATAACTGTTCCAGGAACTTAAATACAACACTGTATAACTGTTCCAGGAACTTAAATACAACACTGTATAACTGTTCCAGGAACATAAGATAAATACAACACTGTATAACTGTTCCAGGAACATAAGATAAATACAACACTGTTTGTATAACTGTTCCAGGAACTTAAATACAACACTGTATAACTGTTCCAGGAACTTAAATACAACACTGTATAACTGTTCCAGGAACTTAAATACAACACTGTATAACTGTTCCAGGAACATAAGATAAATACAACACTGTATAACTGTTCCAGGAACATAAGATAAATACAACACTGTATAACTGTTCCAGGAACTTAAATACAACACTGTATTTATAACTGTTCCAGGAACTTAAATACAACACTGTTTGTATAACTGTTCCAGGAACTTAAATACAACACTGTATAACTGTTCCAGGAACTTAAATACAACACTGTATAACTGTTCCAGGAACTTAAATACAACACTGTATAACTGTTCCAGGAACATAAGATAAATACAACACTGTATAACTGTTCCAGGAACATAAGATAAATACAACACTGTTTGTATAACTGTTCCAGGAACTTAAATACAACACTGTATAACTGTTCCAGGAACTTAAATACAACACTGTATAACTGTTCCAGGAACTTAAATACAACACTGTATAACTGTTCCAGGAACTTAAATACAACACTGTATAACTGTTCCAGGAACTTAAATACAACACTGTATAACTGTTCCAGGAACTTAAATACAACACTGTATAACTGTTCCAGGAACATAAGATAAATACAACACTGTATAACTGTTCCAGGAACATAAGATAAATACAACACTGTATAACTGTTCCAGGAACATAAGATAAATACAACACTGTTTGTGTAACTGTTCCAGGAACATAAGATAAATACAACACTGTTTGTATAACTGTTCCAGGAACATAAGATAAATACAACACTATTTGTATAACTGTTCCAGGAACATAAGATAAATACAACACTGTTTGTGTAACTGTTCCAGGAACATAAGATAAATACAACACTGTATAACTGTTCCAGGAACATAAGATAAATACAACACTGTGTGTATAACTGTTCCAGGAACTTAAATACAACACTGTTTGTGTAACTGTTCCAGGAACTTAAATACAACACTGTTTGTGTAACTGTTCCAGGAACTTAAATACAACACTGTTTGTGTAACTGTTCCAGGAACTTAAATACAACACTGTTTGTATAACTGTTCCAGGAACATAAGATAAATACAACACTGTATAACTGTTCCAGGAACATAAGATAAATACAACACTGTATAACTGTTCCAGGAACATAAGATAAATACAACACTGTATAACTGTTCCAGGAACTTAAATACAACACTGTTTGTGTAACTGTTCCAGGAACTTAAATACAACACTGTTTGTGTAACTGTTCCAGGAACTTAAATACAACACTGTTTGTATAACTGTTCCAGGAACATAAGATAAATACAACACTGTATAACTGTTCCAGGAACATAAGATAAATACAACACTGTTTGTGTAACTGTTCCAGGAACATAAGATAAATACAACACTGTATAACTGTTCCAGGAACTTAAATACAACACTGTATAACTGTTCCAGGAACATAAGATAAATACAACGCTGTATAACTGTTCCAGGAACTTAAATACAACACTGTATAACTGTTCCAGGAACATAAGATAAATACAACACTGTATAACTGTTCCAGGAACTTAAATACAACACTGTATAACTGTTCCAGGAACATAAGATAAATACAACACTGTATAACTGTTCCAGGAACTTAAATACAACACTGTATAACTGTTCCAGGAACATAAGATAAATACAACACTGTATAACTGTTCCAGGAACTTAAATACAACACTGTTTGTGTAACTGTTCCAGGAACATAAGATAAATACAACACTGTATAACTGTTCCAGGAACATAAGATAAATACAACACTGTATAACTGTTCCAGGAACATAAGATAAATACAACACTGTTTGTGTAACTGTTCCAGGAACATAAGATAAATACAACACTGTTTGTATAACTGTTCCAGGAACATAAGATAAATACAACACTGTATAACTGTTCCAGGAACATAAGATAAATACAACACTGTATAACTGTTCCAGGAACATAAGATAAATACAACACTGTATAACTGTTCCAGGAACTTAAATACAACACTGTTTGTGTAACTGTTCCAGGAACATAAGATAAATACAACACTGTTTGTGTAACTGTTCCAGGAACATAAGATAAATACAACACTGTTTGTATAACTGTTCCAGGAACATAAGATAAATACAACACTGTTTGTATAACTGTTCCAGGAACTTAAATACAACACTGTTTGTATAACTGTTCCAGGAACTTAAATACAACACTGTTTGTATAACTTCCAGGAACATAAGATAAATACAACACTGTTTGTATAACTGTTCCAGGAACTTAAATACAACACTGTTTGTATAACTTCCAGGAACATAAGATAAATACAACACTGTTTGTGTAACTGTTCCAGGAACATAAGATAAATACAACACTGTTTGTGTAACTGTTCCAGGAACATAAGATAAATACAACACTATTTGTATAACTGTTCCAGGAACATAAGATAAATACAACACTGTTTTATGTTAATGCTTTAATGCCCTCTTGGTCAACAATAAATGAAACTTTCAACATGGGTAAATGTGGAGCATATATAACTTCAAAATGTCTGACAGTCGTCTGAAAACCTCCTATCACTGAGTCATTCACAGTCTGCCGCGGGACAGATATTTGATGTTGAGTTCTAGATAACATTACACGACAAGTCACTTGGTTTGCCCAGGTCAGGCCGAGAGCTGGGACATGTTTTCTAGTGTCCTCCGTCTTCATAGAGTCCGTCACCTACAACACCAGTGACATGGTCAAAGTGAGAACAGGTCATCCATCAAACTGTAACATATTTTGTCTTCAGAGTATTAATTCCTGTCTATTGTTTAGGTAAGCAAAACAAGAATGTAATACTGATAACTTATCTGGTTGACACAGACAATAGGGACACCATACTGATAACTAACCTGGTTGACACAGACAATGAGGACACCATACCGATAACTAAAGTGGTTGACACAGACAATAGGGACACCATACTGATAGTTACCTGGTTGACACAGACAATGGGAATGCCATACTGATAACTAACCTGGTTGACACAGACAATGGGGACACCATACTGATAACTACCTGGTTGACACAGACAATTGGGACACCATACTGATGACTACCTGGTTGACACAGACAATTGGGACACCATACTGATGACTACCTGGTTGACACAGACAATTGGGACACCATACTGATAACTACCTGGTTGACACAGACAATGGGGACACCATACTAATGACTAACCTGGTTGACACAGACTATTGGGACACCATACTGATAACTAACCTGGTTGACACAGACTATTGGGACACCATACTGATAACTAACCTGGTTGACACAGACAATTGGGACACCACACTGATGACTAACCTGGTTGACACAGACAATAGGGACACCATACTGAAAACTAACCTGGTTGACACAGACAATAGGGACACCATACTGAAAACTAACCTGGTTGACACAAACAATAGGGACACCACACTGATGACTAACCTGGTTGACACAGACAATTGGGACACCATACTGATGACTAACCTGGTTGACACAAACAATAGGGACACCATACTGATAACTAACCTGGTTTACACAGACAATAGGGACACCATACTGATAACTACCTGGTTGACACAGACAATGGGAATGCCATACATAACCTGACACAGACAATAGGGACACCAACTTACCTGGTTGACACAGACAATGGGACACCATACTGATAACTAACCTGGTTGACACAGACAATTGGGACACCATACTGAAAACTAACCTGGTTGACACAGACAATAGGGACACCATACTGAAAACTAACCTGGTTGACACAAACAATAGGGACACCATACTGAAAACTAACCTGGTTGACACAGACAATAGGGACACCATACTGAAAACTAACCTGGTTGACACAGACAATAGGGACACCATACTGATAACTAACCTGGTTGACACAGACTGGTTTACACAAACAATAGGGACACCATACTGAAAACTAACCTGGTTGACACAAACAATAGGGACACCATACTGAAAACTAACCTGGTTGACACAGACAATAGGGACACAATACTGAAAACTAACCTGGTTGACACAAACAATAGGGACACCATACTGAAAACTAACCTGGTTGACACAAACAATAGGGACACCATACTGAAAACTAACCTGGTTGACACAGACTATAGGGACACCATACTGATGACTAACCTGGTTGACACAGACAATAGGGACACCATACTGATAACTACCTGGTTGACACAGACAATAGGAATGCCATACTGATAACTAACCTGACTGACACAGACAATAGGGACACCATACTGATAGCTACCTGGTTGACACAGACAATAGGGACACCATACTGAAAACTAACCTGGTTTACACAAACAATAGGGACACCACACTGATGACTAACCTGGTTGACACAGACTATTGGGACACCATACTGATGACTAACCTGGTTGACACAGACAATAGGGACACCATACTGATGACTAACCTGGTTTACACAAACAATAGGGACACCATACTGAAAACTAACCTGGTTGACACAAACAATAGGGACACCATACTGAAAACTAACCTGGTTGACACAAACAATGGGGACACCATACTGATAACTAACCTGGTTGACACAAACAATAGGGACACCATACTGAAAACTAACCTGGTTGACACAGACAATTGGGACACCATACTGATGACTACCTGGTTGACACAGACTATTGGGACACCATACTGATAACTAACCTGGTTGACACAGACTATTGGGACACCATACTGAAAACTAACCTGGTTGACACAGACAATAGGGACACCATACTGAAAACTAACCTGGTTGACACAAACAATAGGGACACCATACTGAAAACTTACCTGGTTGACACAGACAATTGGGACACCATACTGAAAACTTACCTGGTTTACACAAACAATAGGGACACCATACTGAAAACTTACCTGGTTGACACAGACAATTGGGACACCATACTGATAACTTACCTGGTTTACACAAACAATAGGGACACCATACTGATGACTAAGCTGGTGAAGATTAGCAGCAAGTGATGTGAGATATTTGGACCGCTTCACCATCTCCCAAGCCTCAAACTCGCAGCGAAATAGTGCAGCCACTGAGTCAACAACGACAAGCTTGATTTTTCCTTTACTCAACAGAGCTGGCAGTTTTCTCTTGACACATTGTGTTAAATCTTCCTGTAACACGAAATTACAGCAGAATGGTAAGATAACTGGATTGATTAAAGGAGACAGGAACATGGATAAATTAAAGGTCAAAAGATGTTGTCATCTATAATCACTCTATGTAAAGTATATTATATTTAATTATTGTTATAACTGATAAGTTGAATCGGCCAAGACCTTACACCTGTGACTTTCCAATGTTACAAAAAAAACTGCAAAATAATTTATAACAGTTAAGAATTTCATTGATATGTGGAAGTGAATGTAAATATATCACAGCTGGGTTAAGAGGATCCTGTCATTTGAAGTAAGTATCAAGTTAACAGTAATAATCTGCACATAAAAAAGGAAACCAGGAAATACAAGTAGATGCTATTATATATATAATAAATGAGTCAATGACTAGCTGCAGTATATTTGGTACTCCTGTCACCCTGGTAAATACTAGCTGCAATACATCGCTCGGCTAGAGGGAAATTCTCATTAGCTTGATCGGTTGAGCGTCAGACTAGTATGCCAGAGGTCTCGAGTTTGAATCCTAACGGAGGCATTTAAACAAATAATGATCTCTGTTACACTCACTATGTCAGATACATGTTCTATAAATATCTGGTCTCCAAAGTTGACTGGACTTGGCAGTTTAAGAGACGTTTTTCTACTGAAGAACTGAATCATTTGATGAAGTCTTTTATTGGGGAAAATATCCTCCGTACATATATAGGCAGCTCCTGTCAAAACAAACAAGACGCACACATAAAGAGAATCTGCACAAAGTAATTAAATTTTACTAAAAATTGGACTTAATATTAATTTTAATCTCAGCTTGAAGAGTTATTGAACAATGAGAACAATTTGTGGTGTTATGAAACAATGAGAACAATTTGTGATGTTATGGAACAATGAGAACAGTTTGTGATATTATGGAACAATGAGAACAGTTTGTGATGTTATGGAGCAATGAGAACAGTTTGTGATGCTATAGAACAATGAGAACATTTTGTGATGTTATGGAACAATGAGAACAGTTTGTGATGTTATGGAACAATGAGAACAGTTTGTGGTGCTATGGAACAATGAGAATGACTCAAAGGTTAGACCTACATACCACCATTGAGTCCCCCGAGGTTCAATGGAAGCTGGACCGTCAGACAAATTTGGAGACATAGCTGAGTTTTCCCACTGGCACTTTCCCCAGCTATTTCTGTAATTCCTTGGGAAAGAATTCCACCTAGATTTAAAGTGAAGAAAAAAGAAAGAAAAGGTAAATAATAATAAAGGTAATAATTTTCCCCTTCTGGACATATTTTGAATTGTGACAAAAAGCGATTCTCTTCCTAATAAAGCTTTGTTATATAATGTTATTGACTGGAAAGATGTGGATAAGAAACCTTTACTTTGTCTAGACTACTGACCAGGCTCCTGTATTTCTGTTAGTCTAGACTACTGACCAGGCTCCTTTATTTCTGTTAGTCTAGACTACTGACCAGGCTCCTGTATTTCTGTTAGTCTAGACTACTGACCAGGCTCCTGTATTTCTGTTAGTCTAGACTACTGACCAGGCTCCTGTATTTCTGTTAGTCTAGACTACTGACCAGGCTCCTGTATTTCTGTTAGTCTAGACTACTGACCAGGCTCCTTTATTTCTGTTAGTCTAGACTACTGACCAGGCTCCTTTATTTCTGTTAGTCTAGACTACTGACCAGGCTCCTTTGTTTCTGTTAGTCTAGACTACTGACCAGGCTCCTTTATTTCTGTAAGTCTAGACTACAGACCAGGCTCCTTTGTTTCTGTTAGTCTAGACTACTGACCGGGCTCCTTTATTTCTGTTAGTCTAGACTACTGACCAGGCTCCTTTATTTCTGTTAGTCTAGACTACTGACCAGGCTCCTTTATTTCTGTTAGTCTAGACTACTGACCAGGCTCCTTTGTTTCTGTTAGTCTAGACTACTGACCAGGCTCCTGTATTTCTGTAAGTCTAGACTACAGACCAGGCTCCTTTGTTTCTGTTAGTCTAGACTACTGACCAGGCTCCTTTGTTTCTGTTAGTCTAGACTACTGACCAGGCTCCTTTATTTCTGTTAGTCTAGACTACTGACCGGGCTCCTCTATTTCTGTAAGTCTAGACTACTGACCAGGCTCCTGTATTTCTGTAAGTCTAGACTACTGACCAGGCTCCTGTATTTCTGTTAGTCTGGACTACTGACCGGGCTCCTTTGTTTCCGTTAGTCTAGACTACTGACCAGGCTCCTGTATTTCTGTTAGTCTAGACTACTGACCAGGCTCCTGTATTTCTGTTAGTCTAGACTACTGACCAGGCTCCTTTGTTTCTGTTAGTCTAGACTACTGACCAGGCTCCTTTGTTTCCGTTAGTCTAGACTACAGACCAGGCTCCTTTACTTCTGTTAGTCTAGACTACTGACCAGGCTCCTGTATTTCTGTTAGTCTAGACTACTGACCAGGCTCCTGTATTTCTGTTAGTCTAGACTACTGACCAGGCTCCTGTATTTCTGTAAGTCTAGACTACTGACCAGGCTCCTGTATTTCTGTTAGTCTAGACTACTGACCAGGCTCCTGTATTTCTGTTAGTCTAGACTACTGACCAGGTTCCTTTGTTTCTGTTAGTCTAGACTACTGACCAGGCTCCTGTATTTCTGTAAGTCTAGACTACTGACCAGGCTCCTTTATTTCTGTTAGTCTAGACTACTGACCAGGCTCCTTTGTTTCTGTAAGTCTAGACTACTGACCAGGCTCCTCTGTTTCTGTTAGTCTAGACTACTGACCAGGCTCCTGTATTTCTGTAAGTCTAGACTACTGACCAGGCTCCTGTATTTCTGTAAGTCTAGACTACAGACCAGGCTCCTTTATTTCTGTTAGTCTAGACTACAGACCAGGCTCCTTTGTTTCTGTTAGTCTAGACTCCTTTGTTTCTGTTAGTCTAGACTACTGACCAGGCTCCTCTGTTTCTGTTAGTCTAGACTACTGACCAGGCTCCTGTATTTCTGTAAGTCTAGACTACAGACCAGGCTCCTTTGTTTCTGTTAGTCTAGACTACTGACCAGGCTCCTTTGTTTCTGTTAGTCTAGACTACTGACCAGGCTCCTTTATTTCTGTTAGTCTAGACTACTGACCAGGCTCCTTTATTTCTGTTAGTCTAGACTACTGACCAGGCTCCTGTATTTCTGTTAGTCTAGACTACTGACCAGGCTCCTGTATTTCTGTTAGTTTTATATTTTCACTTTGATAAATATAAGTTACTTTATTATATACTATGCTAAGAACACATACCCCTCAGTGCTTTGTCTATGATCTCACATCCTGTGGTTAGTTTGGATACTACAAGAGTCTCTGGACAGTCTCGGTGCAGAATGTCTAACGCTGTGAAGATTTCAATGACACAAGATAAAACAGGTAATTTCTTTATGGAAGTGAGTTATTTATCATGAAGGAATCTAATGTTCAGGCCATAGATAAGACTTCAAGGAGACAGGCTGGTACTTAATATGAGACACATTTTAGGGCAGTATTCCTGATGCATTATTTAGTGTGAAAAGGAATGTAAAATATCATTTTTATCCTGAAACAACTGGTGCTGACAGTTATCTTAATCAACAGACTTTTGATGTTACCTTATTTAACTGAAATAACATTGAGTTTGAGAATGGCTGTCCTACCTGAGACAACTGGAAGTTTAGGGACTGCCTGTGCTACTGCTGTCTTCAAGATAAGGACATCACTGGAGCTCAGATTTGTAGATCTTTCAATATCTGGTGTTGATAAACTCAGTATGGATTCAAATGTTTTCAGACCAGCTGAAATATGATAATCAGAGTCAGAGTATTAATCGAGATAAAATCATCTTTTCATGTTTCTCACTTTCTTCATAAAACTGTCAAAGGAGTAGATAGGTCTGGCTTACAAAGTGTTAGATAAAATATATATTTTAATCTACTTTTGGCTCAGTTGGTAGGGATGTAGTCTGAAAGGTTAATTTTCGCCTTGGTCTTGGTTGACACAAAAATAAAATTGTGCAGATAGTCAGAATCTTTCTTAATAATAATAATAATCTCTTTATGGGTGCTTAGCAGGTGTTTTCATTCTTTACATGGGTTGCAGAATTTGTGTCTCGTGTTGAGATTTACAAAACCTCAAGAAAAACTGAGGGAGTATTGTAAAATAAAAGAGGATTGATAGCCTGTTCTGAAACATTTATATATGTGATAAACTTTGTCAGTGCTAATCTAAATACAAAGTAAGATTATCGAGTTCCTCCATATAAATATACAACTCCGACCCCTGCCAAATAAACAAAAACGTTCACAGCTTTACGTTGTCATAAGCTCTGCTTTACGTTAAGTAGGAGGTTGTATTTAAGACACGCTGTGCTTTCAGACTGCATTTTAAAAGTGTGTTAGTAGAAGTTGTTATAGCAATGAGCAAACATAAACGCTTTAATCATATTGTGATTTTACCTCTCTTGATTCCTGTGATAATTCGTGGATTTATATCAAGATATTCCATGCCACCGATGTCTTGTCTACTTTCATTTTCGCGCCAGCAGTCAGGAGCAGGGAGCGGGTATTTCCTGCTTCCACTTATATTCTATAATTATGAAATCTGGTTCTACATTCGATTATTTTTTCTCCTTGAAATAGCTTCAAAATGACTTTATATTTATCAATATCAATCAGTTTGACGACTTCGCTTCAATATTTTTAACACGATATACACAATTTCCACTTCCCTCCCTGGTATGCTCCCCAAATAGTATTTGACGCGAGTATTGCGCCGTCTGGCGGGCAACTGAATGTAAACATGGTTGACGTGTAGAAGGTTCAGACAGATAATTTACGATAACTATGTCGTGTCAGCTGACTTCTCTAGCTCATTTCAGTGACATTTCAAAAGTGAAAAGTTACCTTTTTCCAAACTTGAAGGAGGATTCGCCTGAAAGACTTCCAAAGAATGGTAATGGATGTTAGTTTGAGTGAAGTTCAGCAGCAAGGTGGTCCAAATTGACATTTCATGTCAAAGAGATATCCCCTGGGGATTAACAAAAGTCTGTGTGATTGTTAAAACTGAAATGTTAACATGCCTTATTATAGATATACTATGAGGGTTTAATGTATTTAAGTTGTGTTGGGATCTGTAAATCAGCATGGCACAAGGCCATCTGTTGAATGAGAAATCAATATTCATTGACAGGGATGTTAAACTCTACCAGATAGTGATGTCAATCATATCACTTTTTTGTCTATATTGAGTTGAAGATGTCAAGATGGTGTATGCTTTTACTCAGTGCTATAAAATACAATCGTATTTGTTTCAGCACTTGTACTGGACTTTTCATGACTTTGAGAAGAATCTTCAGGGGAGCCTGTATTTGAAGCGTTTACAGATATCTCTTCATATAATTTTGATGTACATAGATAAGCCTATTGTTCCTGTATGCTGACTGATGAACATGAATATTGAATGTTGTGGATTTGCAAAATTGTAGATGTATTAATATCCAAATATTTCTTTGTTTTTACCAAAAAAAGACAAAACGTACCAATGAAATAAGGTCTTTAAGGAAATGTGCTGTAAAGGTCTGGCACCCTTTCAGGAATGTCAATGAGGATTATGTTTATCTATCTTCCCACTTAAGAAATATGTAATGAATCAACATAACTACCCATGGGGAATCAACATAGCTTTCCATTGATTTTTTTCTCGTCTCTGTTACTTTTAGTTTGATTGTTGGTATGACTCCATGCAGTAAAACACTATTTGTCCCTCTTAAGTTTGACATGCTCTCTCAAGTTACCTGGGAGTATTTTTCATTTCCTGTCGGGATTGGTCTGATCCTAACAGGGGATTCTAGTCTGGTCCTGTTAGGGGGTTGGTCTGATCCTAGCAAGGTGTTGATCTGATCCTATAAAGGGATTTGTCTGATCCTGTCAGCATTTGTCTGATCATGTAAAGGGGTTCGTCTGATCCTAACAGGGGGTTCTGGTCTGATGCTGTCAGGGGAGTCGTCTGATCCTAACAGGGGGTTTTGGTCTGATCCTGTTAGGGGGTTAGGTTGATCCTAGCAGGTGGTTTTAGTCTGATCCTGTCAGGTGGTTTTGGTCTGATCCTGTACAGATTGGTCTGATCTACACATGGGGTTGGGCTGTTCCTTTCAGGAAAGCACTCTGCTAATCTGTCTGTGTTGTAGAAAACAACAAAGTAACATTGACTTGTTTTGTATTTATTCTTACAGCTGTCAATGAGGGAGGAGGCTGGGATGTGGACTAGTATGACTTGTTTTGTATTTATTCTTACAGCTGTCAATGAGGGAGGAGGCTGGGATGTGGACTAGTATGACTTGTTTTGTATTTATTCTTACAGCTGTCAATGAGAGTGGAGGTTGGGATGTGGACTGGGATGATTGGAACACAGAAGAAGAAGACAGTGAGTTAGCTTCCACTCCAATGGAAGAGGAGGCAACATCTGAGTCAACAACAGACACCAAACACAGTTGGCTTCAGGACTGCATCATCTCTCTATCACCTGCCAATGACATTATTGCAATTGCCAATGAACAGAAGATTGTACTGCTCTCCCGTATGTTGCTTGTGGTTTTTCCCCATTAAATAGATATGATTAAACTCATTGCATTTCTTGGGTCCTGTGTGTTAACTGGCCTATGACTGTCCTGGTGCATGTATTGAAAACAAGAACAGATTATGGGTTCCTCATAGTGATGTTGTAACCTTATGTCTGTTAGATGACTTAAACATTTTATTGAATTATCTTCTCTAACCTATTTGTTCAGGCTAGTTGTCGAAAACTAAGAAGTAATACACACTTCATTGTTTGTTTGATCTGATAGGCCTCAGGAAAAACATTCATAGCTTAATTTGTGTGAGAATTATTTCCCTTGAGTAGACCATGACAGATAGCAAAGATATAGTGTGACAAACTGATAACATGTTCTTAAATTTGTTTAGTTTCATTATCATTTTCTTTTAACAAACAGAGAAATATGACCCCCAAAATAAGGAAGCCGACATTGATACCAAGTTGACAAAAGTATTTGAAGGCACCATCAATCAGGAGGAAGGGTAAGTTTGGTTATTATGTTAAGTGGAAGATGGATAAAGGATGATCTGTAAGTTGGAAGGTGGGTAAAAGATATTCATTTAGGTGGATAAAGGATCCACTGTAAGTTGGAAGGTGGATAAAGGATGTTCTGTTTGGTTGAAAGCAGATAAAGGATCTTCTGTAAGATGGATGAAGGATATTCTATTAGGTGGAAGGTCAATAGATAATCTTCTTTAAAGTGGGAGGTGGATTAAAGATCTGCCATCAGGTGGAAAGTGAATAAAGGATATTCTGTTATGTGTAAAGTAGATAAAGGATCTTCTGTTTTGATGAGAGTGGAGGATGGATCCTCTGTAAGCTTGGAAGATATTAGCTACCCTTCATATTAAAAGACTGCAATGAGGACTGTTGGTGAGACAAAACCTATGTATAGGTCATGTAGACAGGAAACCTGTAGAATATAATTTCTGATGTTATCTATAAGGAAAAGGATAGGTAAGAGAATGACAGGAAGTATTTAAGGGAGAAGATCAGAGAAACTTAATTATGAGCTCTGAGTATCTAAGTTGATGATCTTCGAGTCAAGTCAATCATAATAATATTTATTTAGTTGTCACACTTGGATTATTTTTCAGAGAAACCATCACAGCCATTTTGTGTTTACCGTTGGCCTCTCAGAAAAGGTTTGTATGAGTGTAGTATCACATTTTGTATTTGGATGTTAAGTCGTGTAGGAGGACTGCACCATGCCGTCCCCAGGTTGGTGTTCTTCATAGTTAACTACTTTTATCTTTTGTTTGTTTCAAAGGTCCTGCATTCTTTATTGTTGTTTCTATGTTGTGTATGCAAAGTAGTAATTAAATCATTTGCTATTTCAAATTTTAAAAGATTGTTTCATAGTGAGAAAGAAAGGATGGAAAAGGGGAATTTATTTCAAAATCTCTTTACATTGATGTTAACTGGATTATCACCCCTGGATTTGTTTTCAGAAGTACACAAGGAGGTCCAGACTGGACATGTGTTATCGTGGGTTTCTCTTCTGGACACCTGAGGATGTACACAGAGGTAAGATAGAATTATCTAACATGGATGTTCCACAAATGGGACATGGATATTTTACAAATTTGGAGGTGGGAGAAAATATTATAATTCCATTGTGTGAGAAGACAGTGAAATCTCAACCTGAAGGTGAGACAGTGAAATCTCAACCTGAAGGTGAGACAGTGAAATCTCAACCTGAAGGTGAGACAGAAAAATCTTAACCTGAAGGTGAGACAGAGAAATCTCAACCTGAAGGTGAGAGTGAAATCTTAACCTGAAGTTAAGATGTATGATGATGACCTAAAGCATCTAACAAAAAAAACATGGTCCAAAAGTTCAGAATTTTCAGCCTGCTTACAAGATAGTGATTTATTTCTCACCATAAATATACTGTCTGTTGTATTGTAGAACCCAGTACACTAGACTATTTTCATTGCTCAAGAAATATTCTCCAGAATCAGTGGCCCAATTCTTAAATGTTGAGCCTGCATTTACTTTACATAACTGTTTTGCAGTATTAATTTGCAGGTTTGATATTACAGTAACTTAAAATCCTGAAATAACTATTCTTATTTATGGTCAATCCACTATCACATCACCTGCATTTTTTCTTTTTGATATATTGAGTGATAATTCTTTCTCCTGTTTTTCAGTCTGGGACACTCCTTTTATCACAATTACTTCACACAGAACCTGTCCAGAAACTCAAGTGTCACACCTATGAGCCGCCACGCTATCTTGGCCTAGCAGAACAGGTATTTGTAGAACACCGTTAGTTCTCGGTGATATAGAGATGGCTCGGTGCATTTGTGTGTTTCTTCTTCAGCCAGCACTATGTAAAGGAGCAGCAGAAGCATGTTAAGCCAAGTCAGTTACTGGGAAAAAGGGCGGACAAGGTTCAATGCACATATTGAGGGAGAGGGTGATCGTGATTTGTGTCCTTGAAAAGTTACCAAAGGTTTAAACTTTATAATTCAAATGCAACTAAAGAAAGGAAAACCAGTAACAGCTGGCGCGAAGATGTCAAAAATAGGTGAAGCATCTCATACCTTTTACTCAGCACCTCCATGTAAATACTTATTCCAGGAACTTTGTGTTTGAATAGAGTTTGTTTGTGACTAGTCATTTAGGCTATTGTTGATGTTGTTTTACAAAATGCATTTTGTTTTGTTGAAGCATGAAGAGCTTGTGATCCTATTCAAGAAAGCACTGGTCACCATTGATGGTTTTAGCTTGTTCCAATCTCTACGAGCCTGTAGGAACCAAGTGGCTAGAGGTGAGTAGTTACTAGCCTACATCAGAGATACTATTACCCAGTATCACAGTACTCATCTCTAGCCTACATCAGAGATACTATTACCCAGTATCACAGTGTTAAATCTAGCCTACATCAGAGATACTATTACCCAGTGTCACAGTACTCCTCTCTAGCCTACATCAGAGATACTATTACCCAGTATCACAGTGTTAAATCTAGCCTACATCAGAGATACTATTACCCAGTATCACAGTACTCCTCTCTAGCCTACATCAGAGATACTATTACCCAGTATCACAGTGTTAAATCTAGCCTACATCAGAGATACTATTACCCAGTATCACAGTACTCATCTCTAGCCTACATCATAGATACTATTACCCAGTATCACAGTGTTAAATCTAGCCTACATCAGAGATACTATTACCCAGTATCACAGTACTCATCTCTAGCCTACATCAGAGATACTATTACCCAGTATCACAGTGTTAAATCTAGCCTACATCAGAGATACTATTACCCAGTATCACAGTACTCATCTCTAGCCTACATCAGAGATACTATTACCCAGTATCACAGTGTTAAATCTAGCCTACATCAGAGATACTATTACCCAGTATCACAGTACTCATCTCTAGCCTACATCATAGATACTATTACCATCAGAGATACTATTACCAGTATCAGTATCACAGTGTTAAATCTAGCCTACATCAGAGATACTATTACCCAGTATCACAGTGTTAAATCTAGCCTACATCAGAGATACTATTACCCAGTATCACAGTGTTAAATCTAGCCTACATTAGAGATACTATTACCCAGTATCACAGTACTCATCTCTAGCCTACATCAGAGATACTATTACCCAGTATCACAGTACTCATTTTTCAGTGTCTGTGCATTCTCACATTTGGTTGGAGATTCTTATAAAACTTTTCATGGAAACATTGTGTTACAGTTCTTTTTATTTTCATTCTCCTATAAAATTGCTTGATTGTCTATTTTTCCTGTATGAACCCGGTAGTTATTTTGTGTTAATCAGCTACTGCCAGTGGGACGGACTCATCCCTCCAGCCTCCTCCATTGGCTTACAAGAAGTGGGGACTCCAGGGACAGGAGCGCATCCTAGACTGTTGTAGTTGTGGTGAGTGTGTACATTACTGATGTCTGTACATGACAAATGTTGTACTGGCCATTAACTCAACCCTCTTATCACAATCAGTACCATGGGTTCTAATACCACATCCAGTACCATGGGTTCTAATAACACAACCATTACCATGGGTTCTAATAACACAATCAGTACCATGGGTTCTAATACCACATCCAGTACCATGGGTTCTAATAACACAACCATTACCATGGGTTCTAATAACACAATCAGTACCATGGGTTCTAATACCACATCCAGTACCATGGGTTCTAATAACATAACACAATACTACTGGTTCTTATAACACAACCAACACTGTACTGGTTGTGTAAGGATAATTTTTTTCCAGTTACTCCAATGTATTCTGTTTCAGGGGTGGGAACTCCAAACCCATTTGACCAGATGAAGGCTGCAGCAGTGCTGGGTGGCCCCTCTGCTACTATCCGCCCCACACCACCAGCTCATTCCATGTACCTGACGTCTGGTATTGATCATTATGTTGGATTCTTCTATGCTGTGGAGGTAAAATTTTTACATGGCAGTTTCATTTCTCTCTTCGTTACATTAATATAAAATTGTTTTTTCTTCAAGAATCGTCTTGATGACAACAATTAGGATTTTAAGGACACATTAAATCCTTGTTTCTGTAAATTAACAATACAGATAATTAAAATCGGTGTTTCTTCTACTACAGGGGAGTGCACAGCCTATATTGTCAGAAGTAGCGTTTGCTGTTGCCCACAAACTCAAGTCTGCTATCATGTCTGCTGCAAGGTAGGCACACAAGTTCATGTCTGGTATCCAATCTACAGCAAGGTAGGCACACATCCTCAAGTCTGCTATCATGTCTGCTGCAAGGTAGATACACATCCTAATGTCTGCTATTATGTCTGCATCAAGGTAGACACACAACCTCATGTCTGCGTCAAGGTAGACACACATCCTCATGTCTGCTATTATGTCTGCATCAAGGTAGACACACAACCTCATGTCTGCGTCAAGGTAGACACACATCCTCATGTCTGCTATTATGTCTGCATCAAGGTAGACACACAACCTCATGTCTGCGTCAAGGTAGACACACATCCTCATGTCTGCTATTATGTCTGCATCAAGGTAGACACACAACCTCAAGTCTGCTATTATGTCTGCATCAAGGTAGACACACATCCTCATATCTGCTATTATGTCTGCATCAAGGTAGACACACAACCTCAAGTCTGCTATTATGTCTGCATCAAGGTAGACACACATCCTCATATCTGCTATTATGTCTGCATCAAGGTAGACACACATCCTCATATCTGCTATTATGTCTTCATCAAGGTAGACACACAACCTCAAGTCTGCTTTTATGTCTGCATCAAGGTAGACATACAACCTCATGTCTCCTATTATGTCTGCCGTAAGGTAGACACACAACCTCAAGTCTGCTATTATGTCTGCATCAAGGTAGACACACATCCTCATATCTGCTATTATGTCTTCATCAAGGTAGACACACAACCTCAAGTCTGCTTTTATGTCTGCATCAAGGTAGACATACAACCTCATGTCTCCTATTATGTCTGCCATAAGGTAGACACACAACCTCAAGTCTGCTATTATGTCTGCATCAAGGTAGACACACATCCTCATATCTGCTATTATGTCTGCATCAAGGTAGATACACAACCTCAAGTCTACTATTACGTCTGCTGTAAGGTAGACACACAACCTCATGTCTGGTGTCCTGTACGCAGCAAGGTAGGCACACAGCCTGAAGTCTGCCAATATGTGTTTTTTCTAGGTAGGAACTTAAATTCAAATCTGCTATACTGTCTGTTGAAAGATAAGACATCAATTCAAGTCTGCTTTTACAGCAAGGTAGGCCCATAAAGTAAAGTCTGATGTACAGTCTAGACACATAGATAACAGGGTCCACTGGGTGGATTTATATAGTAGATCCAATAAAAGATATACAGTATGACCACAGTGGAGTAATGATTTGGTTTTTGACTTGTAGTGGCTGGCTAGGATTTGGCAGCAAACAAAGAGAAGAAGACAAACAGAAACCAAAGATAGAGCCTGAGACCCCATTGTCACTCAGGTAAGGACATTAGACTGTCAGGACAACATACTCTTTGGAAGCTGAGGCAGGGTATAGTTAGTGAGCTCAGGACAGTGTAGACTTAGTATATTTAGAACTAAGTAGATTTAATGAGCATAAGACATTGTATAATTAGTAAGCTTAGGACAGTTGCTGTGAGCATAAGACATTGTAGACATAGTAAGCTTAGGACAAGGTTGCTGTGAGCATAAGACATTGTAGACATAGTAAGCTTAGGACAGTGTTGATGTGAGCATAAGACATTGTAGACATAGTAAGCTTAGGACAGTGTTGATGTGAGCATAAGACATTGTAGACATAGTAAGCTTAGGACAGTGTTGATGTGAGCATAAGACATTGTATAATTAGTAAGCTTAGGACAGTTGCTGTGAGCATGAGACTTTGTAGACATAGTAAGCTTAGGACAGTCTCCCTGACAATGATATATAACTTGTGTGATATAATCACAGGTATGGCCTCCCTGACAATGATATATAACTTGTGTGATATAATCACAGGTATGGACTCCCTGACAATGATATATAACTTGTGTGATATAATCACAGGTATGGACTCCCTGACAAGAGGCGACAGGGAGACAATATATTTCTATCACCCAATAACAACTATGCTGCCACTACAGACAGCTTTGGGCGTGTAACCCTGATAGATGTGGAGAATGGCATTGCAGTAAGGATGTGGAAAGGTAAGGGCATAACAGCAAGGATGGCTCTTAATATCTGTAGTGGAAAATTATTTACATTTATTCAACACATCGAGTGTAAGTGATATTGCCGGTAGTCTAATGTTAATATGTGTATGGTGTCCTTATCATGTGTATGTGGTGACTAAGCAGTGTGTGACAGTATCCCATGAAGTCCCATTAGCAATAGGACTATAGAAATTTAAGATTGTTTCACAAAATTTCGCCGTAACAAACCAATGGCTTTTATTTTGAAAAAGACTTTGTCTCATCAAATTAATGTCCTCTGGCTCGTATTACATCATGATTTTAGAGTTACGGAACTAGGTTCTGTCTGTGTACGTTTGAGACTTAGTATCTCATTTCCATTTGGCTGATCTGCCAGACACCACATTTTCTCATCATCATTCAATATCCATCCCTGTCCAACCTTCCAGTAGGGTTTAAAGGTTTATAGTCTTATGTTGTCATCATGGCCCTTCAATCTTTTAATTGAAATTGCTGCATCCCCTTTTAAATTGACTTTCCTTTTTTTGGTAGGCCTCATCATAATAGTGTAAGAAGTTTTTCCATATTGTGTAAGTCGTCAGTATAAATGAAGCATTTAAAAATTACCTCCCCTTCCTCAGATCTGTCAAAATGTTTATGTGTGATAGTGTATGGTTACAAAACTTGATAGGTAATGGCATTAAGTGCAATAAATGAGGGAAATGAACATATTTAGAAAAATCTTTGTTATTTATAGTTTTTGAAATTGTTTCATTGATTGAAGCTAATTATATCACAAAGACATAAGGTGTATCATACTGAAGATTTGTATAGACCTGATACACTAGCCACATAGCCACAGTCTATCAGCCTACAGATACTTTCACACACCAGCCACACAGCCACAGTCTATCAGCCTACAGATACTTTAACACACCAGCCACACAGCCACAGTCTATCAGCCTACAGATACTTTCACACACCAGCCACACAGCCACAGTCTATCAGCCTACAGATACTTTCACACACCAGCCACACAGCCACAGTCTATCAGCCTACAGATACTTTCACACACCATTCACGCGGCCACAGTCTATCAGCCTACAGATACTTTGACACACCAGCCACACAGCCACAGTCTATCAGCCTACAGATACTCTCACACACCAGCCACACAGCCACAGTCTTTCAGCCTACAGATACTTTCACACACCAGCCACACAGCCACTCAGCCACAGTCTATCAGCCTACAGACACTTTAACACACCAGCCACACGGCCACAGTCTATCAGCCTACAGATACTTTCAAACACCAGCCACACGGCCACAGTCTATCAGCCTACAGATACTTTCATACACCAGCCACATAGACACACAGCCACAGTCTATCAGCCTATACACACCAACATCACTTGGTTTGCTGTATCATACTGAAGATTTGTATAGACCTGATACACTAGCCACATAGCCACAGTCTATCAGCCTACAGATACTTTCACACACCAGCCACACAGCCACAGTCTATCAGCCTACAGATACTTTAACACACCAGCCACACAGCCACAGTCTATCAGCCTACAGATACTTTCACACACCAGTCACACAGCCACAGTCTATCAGCCTACAGATACTTTCACACACCAGCCACACAGCCACAGTCTATCAGCCTACAGATACTTTCACACACCATTCACACTGCCACAGGCTATCAGCCTACAGGTACTTTTACACACCAGCCACACGGCCACAGTCTATCAGCCTACAGATACTTTCACACACCAGCCACACAGCCACAGTCTAACAGCCTACAGATACTTTCACACACCAGCCACACAGCCACAGTCTATCAGCCTACAGATACTCTCACACACCAGCCACACAGCCACAGTCTATCAGCCTACAGATACTTTCACACACCAGCCACACGGCCTTAACACACCAGCCACACGGCCACAGTCTATCAGCCTACAGATACTTTCAAACACCAGCCACATAGACACACTGCCACAGTCTATCAGCCTACAGATACTTTCATACACCAGCCACATAGACACACAGCCACAGTCTATCAGCCTATACACACCAACATCACTTGGTTTGCTGTACTCTAATGGTTATTTATTGTGGTGTACATTATATCCTAGGTTACAGAGATGCTCAGCTGGGCTGGATTCAGGTGAGAGAGGACAGTCCCCACGGCAATTCAGACCAGGAGCTCTCAAGAGTGGCCCAGTTTCTCATCATCTATGCCCCACGGAGAGGGATATTAGAGGTAGGTAAAAAATGTCCTCCTCCACAGCTCAAAATTTGTTCTTTTCATTATGGTTCCCCAGCTGTGAAACTGTCAACCATTCTGTGTTCCTCTAGGTTGCTGTAAAGGTCTGTAATCCAGAATCAGGCCATTTTCATTTATGTACAGAAGTTCCTTTTAATAAGTTTCTGTCACAAAATGTGTATTTCATAGTAAGTAATCTTTTGCTTACAAAATATTATAGGTGTACAATTCACTCTTAGCCTAATCAATAGTCCTTGAGGACTTTATATCAGAGGTGCAATGATGTACATGTTATTTAGGTTTTTTATGATATAGTTAAAAAATCTTGGTTTTGTATCAATAGGTGTGGACTGCAGCCAACGGACCTCGAGTGGCAGCTTTCAATGTCAACAAATGGTGTCGTCTTGTATGTCCCAGCTATGGCATTATGGGACTGAATAATGTCACCTGTCGTGGTGTCAAAACAAAAGTGTTTCAGTGTGCTCTCATAGAGCCCACAGGAGTCATCAAAACTTTGGATATACCCTTCCATCTGGCTCTCAGGTAAATCACTGATATACATCACTCAGGTAAATCATTCGAGTGAATCCCTCAGGTAAATCACTGATATAAATCACTCTGGTAAATCACTGATGTAAATCACTCGGGTAAATCACTCAGCTAAATCACTCTGGTAAATCAGTCAGCTGAATCACTCAGGTAAATCACTGATGTAAATCACTAGGGTAAATCACTCAGCTAAATCACTCTGGTAAATCAGTCAGCTGAATCACTCAGGTAAATCGCTGATGTAAATCACTAGGGTAAATCACTCAGCTAAATCACTCTGGTAAATCAGTCAGCTGAATCACTCAGGTAAATCACTGATATAAATCACTCTGGTAAATCACTGATATAAATCACTCTGGTAAATCACTCAGCTAAATCACTCTGGTAAATCAGTCAGCTGAATCACTCAGGTAAATCAGTCAGCTGAATCACTCAGGTAAATCAGTCAGCTAAATCACTCTGGTAAATCAGTCAGCTGAATCACTCTGGTAAATCAGTCAGCTGAATCACTCTGGTAAATCACTGATATAAATCACTCTGGTAAATCACTGATGTAAATTACTCTGGTAAATCACTGATATAAATCACTCTGGTAAATCACTGATATAAATCACTCTGGTAAATCACTCAGCTAAATCACTCTGGTAAATCAGTCAGCTGAATCACTCAGGTAAATCAGTCAGCTGAATCACTCAGGTAAATCGCTGATGTAAATCACTAGGGTAAATCACTCAGCTAAATCACTCTGGTAAATCAGTCACCTCTCAACAGGTATTTTGAATCACTCAGGTAAATCGCTGATGTAAATCACTAGGGTAAATCACTCAGCTAAATCACTCTGGTAAATCAGTCAGCTGAATCACTCAGGTAAATCGCTGATGTAAATCACTAGGGTAAATCACTCAGCTAAATCACTCTGGTAAATCAGTCAGCTGAATCACTCAGGTAAATCACTGATATAAATCACTCTGGTAAATCAGTCAGCTGAATCACTCAGGTAAATCACTGATGTAAATCACTAGGGTAAATCACTCAGCTAAATCACTCTGGTAAATCAGTCAGCTGAATCACTCAGGTAAATCACTGATGTAAATCACTCTGGTAAATCACTGATGTAAATCACTCTGGTAAATCACTGATGTAAATCACTCTGGTAAATCAGTCAGCTGAATCACTCAGGTAAATCACTGATGTAAATTACTCTGGTAAATCACTGATGTAAATCACTCTGGTAGATCACTTGGGTAAATCACTGGGGTAAATCACTGATGTAAATCACTCGAGTAAATCACTGATGTAAATCATTCAGTTAAATTTGTCAGGTAAATCACTCAGATAAATCACTCTGGTAAAACACTGATGTAGATCATTCAGTTAAATTTGTGAGGTAAATCACTCAGATAAACACTCTATAGGAAGTCATTCATCTTAATTACTTAGGTTGATGAATCTGATTTTAAAGTCAGTTAAATCAACAGGTATTTATACTTAGGAAAATGGTTTTACTTGAACTGTTTAAGCTCAATAGGCCTTACCTAAGTCAGTGATCTCACCGACCCATGTGATTCATTCACAAGTTATTTCACTTAGGTTCAGTAGGAAGCTTGTCCTGTTGTACAAGTGCAGGACACAGATGTACAAATTTCTTCATTCTATGTCAGCAGGAAGCTTGTCCTGTTGTACAAGTGCAGGACACAGATGTACAAATTTCTTCATTCTATGTTAGCAGGAAGCTTGTCCTGTTGTACAAGTGCAGGACACAGATGTACAAATTTCTTCATTCTATGTCAGCAGGAAGCTTGTCCTGTTGTACATGTATAGGACACAGATGTACAAATTTCTTCATTTCATGTCAGCAGGAAGCTTGTCCTGTTGTACATGTATAGGACACAGATGTACAAATTTCTTTTATTCCATGTCAGCAGGAAGCTTGTCCTGTTGTACATGTACAGGACACAGATGTAAATCAAGTTTTTATTATCTTTACTCAGTGACAAGAATAGTAAGAGAGCTCGGGATCTTCATCTGCTGAAGAAACTGAAGATGGTAATGAAGGATACATCAGAGGAGACAGGTAAATATATTGGTGTCATAAGGATCTTCCTTCTTGCCACCTGATAACTTTATGTCTGCTGGTTCTGAAAACTCCTGTCTGACCCAGGGATCTGTGATGTTGTCACAATCAGTATTACAAAAAAAATCTGATGTCACAATTGGCTAGAAGTAAAATAAGTGCTGCTCTACCTTGTCAAATACAGTAGGTTAGATAAACCAGAAATCATGGGTTTGAATCTTGGTGAAAGTTCTGCAATAAATAGTGAACTTTATTACAGGTTTATGATTATGAAGGTAGAAACGAATTTGACCCTCTCTCTGCAAATGAAACCCTATGTGATAAATAAAAAATATGGGAACAAAAACAGTTGAAGTTAACTTTTGTAAATATCTTTCATTCTTTTCCATCCAACTTTGAATCAGACATGTATGCTGCTAAGATCATGTTGAATCTGTTTCAGAATCTCTGGAGAATGTTGTGAAGAACTTGCTTAAAGACATGAGGATTGCTAGCATTAAACAACAGGTAAGAATCTTCAAGATTTCTCACTGATTTCTAGTTTAAGTAGGTAGAAACAAAATGTTAACACATGAAACACTGATTTCCCGTGGAATTTTAGTTTCTTTAGGTACTCAGAAGTGAAGTTTGTAGTCTTTTATTGTAGGGAACCAAGTGGGAGATTTGTGCTCCCTTTAGTGGTAACAGAATTTTTCTGGGTTGAATAGGATTTAAGATTTATAAAACTTATTTAATGAAAGGTTTTACCTCAAAGCAGCCTTAGCATTACTTCTCTAATGTAATATTTCCTTATTTAGACATGGAGAGTTCTTATACACTGTTCAGAAAATGGTCCTGTACAACTCTTAATTCATTAACTAGTGTATGTGTAAAGAAAAGATGAAAATGTCCATAACAATATATCACCTCGATGTCACTTACAACAGTATCTTGTTAGGCTATGATTTAAGTTTCAATAACTTTTTACTGACCATTTCTACAGGGAATGGACCGAGTGCTGGGAGCTAAGTATTTATCAGCAGCTTGTATGAGGAGGATCATGAAGATGTGTTTGGAGCAGGTTACTAGTAAAGGCAAGTTATGTCTTATTGGTCACTTCATACATTGTACCTAAATGTTTGGCACCTCATCTGTTTGCATTTACCAGTTAAATAGTTGTATAGTTCAATATATACCTTAGAGACTATGTGTGAGTGATGAAGATTGATGTTTACATCCTGTGAGGTTTTTATGTGTGTTAGAGATTGATGTTAACATCTAGTGAGGTTTTTGTGTGTGTTACATAGATTGATGTTTACATCCTGTGAGGTTTTTATGTGTGTTACAGAGATTGATGTTTACATCTAGTGAGGTTTTTATGTGTGTTACATAGATTGATGTTTACATCTAGTGAGGTTTTTATGTGTGTTACATAGATTGATGTTTACATCTAGTGAGGTTTTTATGTGTGTTACATAGATTGATGTTTACATCCTGTGAGGTTTTTATGTGTGTTACATAGATTGATGTTTACATCTAGTGAGGTTTTTATGTGTGTTACATAGATTGATGTTTACATCTAGTGAGGTTTTTATGTGTGTTACATAGATTGATGTTTACATCCTGTGAGGTTTTATGTGTGTTACATAGATTGATGTTTACATCTAGTGAGGTTTTTATGTGTGTTACATAGATTGATGTTTACATCTAGTGAGGTTTTTATGTGTGTTACATAGATTGATGTTTACATCCTGTGAGGTTTTTATGTGTGTTACATAGATTGATGTTTACATCTAGTGAGGTTTTTATGTGTGTTACATAGATTGATGTTTACATCTAGTGAGGTTTTTATGTGTGTTACATAGATTGATGTTTACATCTAGTGAGGTTTTTATGTGTGTTACATAGATTGATGTTTACATCTGTGAGGTTTTTATGTGTGTTACAGAGATTGATGTTTACATCTAGTGAGGTTTTTATGTGTGTTACATAGATTGATGTTTACATCTAGTGAGGTTTTTATGTGTGTTACATAGATTGATGTTTACATCTAGTGAGGTTTTTATGTGTGTTACAGAGATTGATGTTTACATCTAGTGAGGTTTTTATGTGTGTTACAGATTGATGTTTACATCTAGTGAGGTTTTTATGTGTGTTACATAGATTGATGTTTACATCTAGTGAGGTTTTTATGTGTGTTACATAGATTGATGTTTACATCTAGTGAGGTTTTTATGTGTGTTACATAGATTGATGTTTACATCTAGTGAGGTTTTTATGTGTGTTACAGAGATTGATGTTTACATCTAGTGAGGTTTTTATGTGTGTTACAGATTGATGTTTACATCTAGTGAGGTTTTTATGTGTGTTACAGAGATATATTTTACAAGTGAGATTATTATGTGTGAAACAAAATATGTTTACAAAAGAGGTTTTTATGTGTGTTATAATAGATTGATGTTTACATCTGTGAGGTTCAAAAATGTGTGTTACAGAGATTGATGTTTACATCTAGTGAGGTTTTTATGTCTGTTATAGAGATTGATGTTTACATCTAGTGAGGTTTTTATGTGTGTTACAGAGATTGATGTTTACATCCTGTGAGGTTTTTATGTTGTTACATAGATGTGTGTTATGTCTGTTATAGAGATTGATGTTTACATCTAGTGAGGTTTTTATGTGTGTTACATAGATTGATGTTTACATCTAGTGAGGTTTTTATGTCTGTTATAGAGATTGATGTTTACATCTAGTGAGGTTTTTATGTGTGTTACATAGATTGATGTTTACATCTAGTGAGGTTTTTATGTGTGTTACATAGATTGATGTTTACATCTAGTGAGGTTTTTATGTCTGTTATAGAGATTGATGTTTACATCTAGTGAGGTTTTTATGTGTGTTACATAGATTGATGTTTACATCTAGTGAGGTTTTTATGTGTGTTACATAGATTGATGTTTACATCCTGTGAGGTTTTTATGTGTGTTACAGAGATTGATGTTTACATCTAGTGAGGTTTTTATGTGTGTTACAGATTGATGTTTACATCTAGTGAGGTTTTTATGTGTGTTACATAGATTGATGTTTACATCTAGTGAGGTTTTTATGTGTGTTACAGTTTTTAAAATATAACAAAGATTGATGTTTACATCTAGTGAGGTTTTTATGTGTGTTACAGATTGATGTTTACATCTAGTGAGGTTTTTATGTGTGTTACAGAGATTGATGTTTACATCTAGTGAGGTTTTTATGTGTGTTACATAGATTGATGTTTACATCTAGTGAGGTTTTTATGTGTGTTACATAGATTGATGTTTACATCTAGTGAGGTTTTTATGTGTGTTACAGAGATTGATGTTTACATCTAGTGAGGTTTTTATGTGTGTTACAGATTGATGTTTACATCTAGTGAGGTTTTTATGTGTGTTACATAGATTGATGTTTACATCTAGTGAGGTTTTTATGTGTGTTACATAGATTGATGTTTACATCTAGTGAGGTTTTTATGTGTGTTACATAGATTGATGTTTACATCTAGTGAGGTTTTTATGTGTGTTACAGAGATTGATGTTTACATCTAGTGAGGTTTTTATGTCTGTTATAGAGATTGATGTTTACATCTAGTGAGGTTTTTATGTGTGTTACATAGATTGATGTTTACATCCTGTGAGGTTTTTATGTGTGTTACATAGATTGATGTTTACATCTAGTGAGGTTTTTATGTCTGTTATAGAGATTGATGTTTACATCTAGTGAGGTTTTTATGTGTGTTACAGATTGATGTTTACATCTAGTGAGGTTTTTATGTGTGTTACATAGATTGATGTTTACATCTAGTGAGGTTTTTATGTCTGTTATAGAGATTGATGTTTACATCTAGTGAGGTTTTTATGTGTGTTACAGAGATTGATGTTTACATCTAGTGAGGTTTTTATGTGTGTTACAGATTGATGTTTACATCCTGTGAGGTTTTATGTGTGTTACAGAGATTGATGTTTACATCTAGTGAGGTTTTTATGTGTGTTACATAGATTGATGTTTACATCCTGTGAGGTTTTATGTGTGTTACAGAGATTGATGTTTACATCTAGTGAGGTTTTTATGTGTGTTACATAGATTGATGTTTACATCTAGTGAGGTTTTTATGTGTGTTACAGAGATTGATGTTTACATCTAGTGAGGTTTTTATGTGTGTTACATAGATTGATGTTTACATCCTGTGAGGTTTTATGTGTGTTACAGAGATTGATGTTTACATCTAGTGAGGTTTTTATGTGTGTTACATAGATTGATGTTTACATCTAGTGAGGTTTTTATGTGTGTTACAGAGATTGATGTTTACATCTAGTGAGGTTTTTATGTGTGTTACATAGATTGATGTTTACATCTAGTGAGGTTTTTATGTGTGTTACAGAGATTGATGTTTACATCCTGTGAGGTTTTTATGTGTGTTACATAGATTGATGTTTACATCCTGTGAGGTTTTTATGTGTGTTACATAGATTGATGTTTACATCAAGTGAGGTTTTTATGTGTGTTACAGAGATTGATGTTTACATCCAGTGATTGAATCATCAGTACATCTATATTTTAAAAAGATATATTAGCCTTGAAACAAAATAGAAAAAGCTATTCTGATTGGTCAGTTATAAAAGTGATTTATTTTTAACTGTATTAAAAAAAACTGATACATTGGCACATTGGGTAAGAAACTAGATATCTTCTCATATTTCTTGGATATGAGTGTAATAAAAATGTATAAAAGATGATGTACTATAGAAACCATTGTTGTTTAGATGAGGACACCTGGGACATTGATACCAAGCTGTTTGTGCGTTACTGTCATCTCCATGACAACCTACTGAAAATTTATGAAGAGGTGAACACCATCAACCAGACGGCTGATAAAAAAAGTGCAGCAACAGACTTGTCAGAGGTAGTCATTATAAAATAGCTCTTCACAGTCATGGTTGAGTCAATGTTTATGTGTCAATCTTGATATTAAACCTTGAAGCAATTTAACATATATGAGTGTTCTATTGAACCATTTCACGCTATCTGTAGGAATATTTTATGTTTTCTGTATTTCAAAATTATAAGCGCATGGTATCTACTGTAATAATTACCAAATTTCTGGTCATTTTGTTGTGATCACGTTCTTTTATATCTATAACTCAGGAGCTAATGCAGACGTTTCACCTGAGTGAGTCGGAAGCTGCCCACATCATCACTCAGATGGAACAATGTCAGGTACAGGTTGGTTGTGAGAAAGTGAGTCGCCGTGTTCAGTTTGATGTGGAGAGTAAATTCAGTGCAGCTTCCTTCATCAGCTGTTTCCACTGTCATCTTCACTGCACTGATGACCGAGAGTCCAGTCAACATGGGTCGGTCACCATAGCAACCAGAATTAATGACGAGAAAAGATCAAATTTAGGTAAATTCTACAAATTAGATAATTTACTCTTGACAACCAAGAGTCCATTCAACCCTTTATAGCAATGCTCTGGTAACAATTGTCACCTCTGTATTTCTAACTGATCTAATAAGTTTTTAAAATATAACAAATATTTTAATGTCTCTTGTTCTTTTTCAGCCAATTTCTTTTATCAAAGTATATTGTGTGAGACAACCTGTCCTAGTAAACTCAGCACAGTACTACAAGATAGCAAATTATCACCACTACTGCTAATGGTAAGAACCTAGTGTTTTATTGTAAGGTCTATTAAGATTCCTGTTCTTAAGCACTACATTTTTTATATAGTTTTTAGAATGAAAGAAATTTATATTCTTTCCTTTTTATCAACTTTCTGAAAAATATGAATACACTGTAACTGCAAAAAGAAGTGATGTTTTGTGTTTTACAGAAACTGTTAGTGATGTTTTGTGTTTTACAGGAACTGTTAGTGATGTTTTGTGTTTTACAGGAACTGTTAGTGATGTTTTGTGTTTTACAGAAACTGTATGTGATGTTTTGTGTTTTACAGAAACTGTATGTGATGTTTTGTGTTTTACAGAAACTGTATGTGATGTTTTGTGTTTTACAGAAACTGTTAGTGATGTTTTGTGTTTTACAGAAACTGTATGTGATGTTTTGTGTTTTACAGAAACTATTAGTGATGTTTTGTGTTTTACAGAAACTGTACGTGATGTTGTGTGTTTTACAGGAACTGTATGTGATGTTTTGTGTTTTACAGAAACTGTACGTGATGTTGTGTGTTTTACAGGAACTGTTAGTGATGTTTTGTGTTTTACAGAAACTGTTAGTGATGTTGTGTGTTTTACAGAAACTGTACGTGATGTTGTGTGTTTTACAGGAACTGTTAGTGATGTTTTGTGTTTTACAGAAACTGTACGTGATGTTTTGTGTTTTACAGAAACTGTATGTGATGTTTTGTGTTTTACAGAAACTGTTAGTGATGTTCTGGCTGTCTGATGACAATAGGAAGCTGAACATGGTATTTAATCTGTATCACATAGTAAAGAGTTTAACCTCTCTAACAGGTAAGACCTTTTCGTCATAGACCTGGTGTATTTGAAGGATGTATTTTTGTATACTGTCTGTTTCAATCCATCTGGTGGCCGTTTTTAACTTCAGTCAATGTATTATTTATTTTAGCATGAATGTTTCATTTTAGCTTAGATTTAATTGATGCAATTAATTTCTAATTGATTTCAATTTTTTTCAAATGTTTGACATGCTTGGGACTAAATTTTTTTTGGGCAATTATTTTGACAAAGTTTTGGTGCAAATGCAAGTATGTTATTATCCTAATTTTTAGGATGAATGCTCTTCTGGGGTTGAACAAGGATGATATGGATACGAATCGGGAAAATAGTTCATACATTTATATATTTAGACATGACTGTAGCTGTTGGGTATTTAAAATATCATACAATCATAAACATTGGATAGGATCATACACTGTTTGTGATACTCTAGTTTAGATTGCTCTTGCTGACTTTAGAACTGAGATCTGTTTCTACATTTCAGGGAAGAGCTCTCTGATAGCAGAGCCTGGAGAAGTATGTTCCTGGTGGCTCAATATTAGAGAAGCTTGTCACCATAGCAACGCTGTACAGGCAGCTTACATCCTGGCACTTGTTTGTAGGGCTGTGGTAAATGAAGTCATAGACAGTCAACTGCAGTCAAAGGTCAGTATTTGTGAGATGTCATCCATCAGTGTTGAACAGACATTGTTTGTCCTTATTGGCTAGACATTATTAATTGTTTTGATACCAGTTAAATATCTGTGACCATGAATCATAATGGCTGCAGGGAAGTTTATCTAAGTCCACTATGAATTTAAATAGGTATTATTAACCATATGACGTTCCTGTCAAAATCTTACCAGTAAGGCCCTTAATATTAATTTGATTGGTTGGTTGTAGCTGTGGTAAGTCTAGATGTACTGATACGGTTGGTTAGTTGTAGCTGTGGTAAGTCTAGATGTACTGATTTGATTGGTTGGTTGTAGCTGTGGTAAGTCTAGATGTACTGATTTGATTGGTTGGTTGTAGCTGTGGTAAGTCTAGATGTACTGATTTGATTGGTTAGTTGTAGCTGTGGTAAGTCTAGATGTACTGATATGGTTGGTTAGTTGTAGCTGTGGTAAGTCTAGATGTACTGATTTGATTGGTTAGTTGTAGCTGTGGTAAGTCTAGATGTACTGATTTGATTGGTTAGTTGTAGCTGTGGTAAGTCTAGATGTACTGATTTGATTGGTTGGTTGTAGCTGTGGTAAGTCTAGATGTACTGATTTGATTGGTTGGTTGTAGCTGTGGTAAGTCTAGATGTACTGATTTGATTGGTTAGTTGTAGCTGTGGTAAGTCTAGATGTACTGATTTGATTGGTTGGTTGTAGCTGTGGTAAGTCTAGATGTACTGATATGGTTGGTTGGTTGGTTATAGTTATGGTAAGACTAGCTGTACTGATATGGTTGGTTGGTTATAGTTATGGTAAGACTAGCTGTACTGATATGGTTGGTTGGTTGGTTATAGTTATGGTAAGACTAGCTGTACTGATATGGTTGGTTGGTTATAGTTATGGTAAGACTAGCTGTACTATATGGTTGGTTGGTTGGTTATAGTTATGGTAAGACTAGCTGTACTGATATGGTTGGTTGGTTATAGTTATGGTAAGACTAGCTGTACTGATATGGTTGGTTGGTTATAGTTATGGTAAGACTAGCTGTACTGATATGGTTGGTTGGTTATAGTTATGGTAAGACTAGCTGTACTGATATGGTTGGTTGGTTATAGTTATGGTAAGACTAGCTGTACTGATTTGGTTGGTTGGTTGGTTATAGTTATGGTAAGACTAGCTGTACTGATATGGTTGGTTGGTTATAGTTATGGTAAGACTAGCTGTACTGATATGGTTGGTTGGTTATAGTTATGGTAAGACTAGCTGTACTGATATGGTTGGTTGGTTGGTTATAGTTATGGTAAGTCTAGCTGTACTGATATGGTTGGTTATAGTTATGGTAAGACTAGCTGTACTGATATGGTTGGTTGGTTATAGTTATGGTAAGACTAGCTGTACTGATATGGTTGGTTGGTTATAGTTATGGTAAGACTAGCTGTACTGATATGGTTGGTTGGTTATAGTTATGGTAAGACTAGCTGTACTGATATGGTTGGTTGGTTATAGTTATGGTAAGACTAGCTGTACTGATATGGTTGGTTGGTTATAGTTATGGTAAGACTAGCTGTACTGATATGGTTGGTTGGTTATAGTTATGGTAAGACTAGCTGTACTGATATGGTTGGTTGGTTATAGTTATGGTAAGACTAGCTGTACTGATATGGTTGGTTGGTTATAGTTATGGTAAGACTAGCTGTACTGATATGGTTGGTTGGTTATAGTTATGGTAAGACTAGCTGTACTGATATGGTTGTTTGGTTATAGTTATGGTAAGACTAGCTGTACTGATATGGTTGGTTGGTTATAGTTATGGTAAGACTAGCTGTACTGATATGGTTGGTTGGTTATAGTTATGGTAAGACTAGCTGTACTGATATGGTTGGTTGGTTATAGTTATGGTAAGACTAGCTGTACTGATATGGTTGGTTGGTTATAGTTATGGTAAGACTAGCTGTACTGATATGGTTGGTTGGTTATAGTTATGGTAAGACTAGCTGTACTGATATGGTTGGTTGGTTATAGTTATGGTTATAGTTATGGTAAGACTAGCTGTACTGATATGGTTGGTTGGTTATAGTTATGGTAAGACTAGCTGTACTGATATGGTTGGTTGGTTATAGTTATGGTAAGACTAGCTGTACTGATATGGTTGGTTGGTTATAGTTATGGTAAGACTAGCTGTACTGATATGGTTGGTTGGTTATAGTTATGGTAAGACTAGCTGTACTGATATGGTTGGTTGGTTATAGTTATGGTAAGACTAGCTGTACTGATATGGTTGGTTTGTTATAGTTATGGTAAGACTAGCTGTACTGATATGGTTGGTTGGTTATAGTTATGGTAAGACTAGCTGTACTGATATGGTTGGTTGGTTATAGTTATGGTAAGACTAGCTGTACTGATATGGTTGGTTGGTTATAGTTATGGTAAGACTAGCTGTACTGATATGGTTGGTTGGTTATAGTTATGGTAAGACTAGCTGTACTGATATGGTTGGTTGGTTATAGTTATGCTAAGACTAGCTGTACTGATATGGTTGGTTGGTTATAGTTATGGTAAGACTAGCTGTACTGATATGGTTGGTTGGTTATAGTTATGGTAAGACTAGCTGTACTGATATGGTTGGTTGGTTATAGTTATGGTAAGACTAGCTGTACTGATATGGTTGGTTGGTTATAGTTATGGTAAGACTAGCTGTACTGATATGGTTGGTTGGTTATAGTTATGGTAAGACTAGCTGTACTGATATGGTTGGTTGGTTATAGTTATGGTAAGACTAGCTGTACTGATATGGTTGGTTGGTTATAGTTATGGTAAGACTAGCTGTACTGATATGGTTGGTTGGTTATAGTTATGGTAAGACTAGCTGTACTGATATGGTTGGTTGGTTATAGTTATGGTAAGACTAGCTGTACTGATATGGTTGGTTGGTTATAGTTATGGTAAGACTAGCTGTACTGATATGGTTGGTTGGTTATAGTTATGGTAAGACTAGCTGTACTGATATGGTTGGTTGGTTATAGTTATGGTAAGACTAGCTGTACTGATATGGTTGGTTGGTTATAGTTATGGTAAGACTAGCTGGTAAGTACTAGCTGTACTGATATGGTTGGTTGGTTATAGTTATGGTAAGACTAGCTGTACTGATATGGTTGGTTGGTTATAGTTATGGTAAGACTAGCTGTACTGATATGGTTGGTTGGTTATAGTTATGGTAAGACTAGCTGTACTGATATGGTTGGTTGGTTATAGTTATGGTAAGACTAGCTGTACTGATATGGTTGGTTGGTTGGTTAGCTGTACTGATAGTTGGTTGGTTATAGTTATGGTAAGACTAGCTGTACTGATATGGTTGGTTGGTTATAGTTATGGTAAGACTAGCTGTACTGATATGGTTGGTTGGTTATAGTTATGGTAAGACTAGCTGTACTGATATGGTTGGTTGGTTATAGTTATGGTAAGACTAGCTGTACTGATATGGTTGGTTGGTTATAGTTATGGTAAGACTAGCTGTACTGATATGGTTGGTTGGTTATAGTTATGGTAAGACTAGCTGTACTGATATGGTTGGTTGGTTATAGTTATGGTAAGACTAGCTGTACTGATATGGTTGGTTGGTTATAGTTATGGTAAGACTAGCTGTACTGATATGGTTGGTTGGTTATAGTTATGGTAAGACTAGCTGTACTGATATGGTTGGTTGGTTATAGTTATGGTAAGTCTAGCTGTACTGATATGGTTGGTTGGTTATAGTTATGGTAAGACTAGCTGTACTGATATGACTGTGATTGGTTATAGTTATGGTAAGACTAGCTGTACTGATATGGTTGGTTGGTTATAGTTATGGTAAGACTAGCTGTACTGATATGGTTGGTTGGTTATAGTTATGGTAAGACTAGCTGTACTGATATGGTTGGTTGGTTATAGTTATGGTAAGACTAGCTGTACTGATATGGTTGGTTGGTTATAGTTATGGTAAGACTAGCTGTACTGATATGGTTGGTTGGTTATAGTTATGGTAAGACTAGCTGTACTGATATGGTTGGTTGGTTATAGTTATGGTAAGACTAGCTGTACTGATATGGTTGGTTGGTTATAGTTATGGTAAGACTAGCTGTACTGATATGGTTGGTTGGTTGGTTATAGTTATGGTAAGACTAGCTGTACTGATATGGTTGGTTGGTTATAGTTATGGTAAGACTAGCTGTACTGATATGGTTGGTTGGTTATAGTTATGGTAAGACTAGCTGTACTGATATGGTTGGTTGGTTATAGTTATGGTAAGACTAGCTGTACTGATATGGTTGGTTGGTTATAGTTATGGTAAGACTAGCTGTACTGATATGGTTGGTTGGTTATAGTTATGGTAAGACTAGATGTACTGATATGACTGTGATTGGTTATAGTTATGGTAAGACTAGCTGTACTGATATGGTTGGTTGGTTATAGTTATGGTAAGACTAGCTGTACTGATATGGTTGGTTGGTTATAGTTATGGTAAGACTAGCTGTACTGATATGGTTGGTTGGTTATAGTTATGGTAAGACTACCTGTACTGATATGGTTGGTTGGTTATAGTTAAGGTAAGACTAGCTGTACTGATATGGTTGGTTGGTTGGTTGGTTAGCTGTAGATATATGGTGGTTATAGTTACTAGCTGTACTGATATGGTTGGTTGGTTATAGTTATGGTAAGACTAGCTGTACTGATATGGTTGGTTGGTTATAGTTATGGTAAGACTAGCTGATATGGTTGGTTGGTTATAGTTATGGTAAGACTACTGTACTGATATGGTTGGTTGGTTATAGTTGGTTGGTTGGTTATAGCTGTACTGTATGATATGGTTGGTTGGTTATAGTTATGGTAAGACTAGCTGTACTGATATGGTTGGTTGGTTATAGTTATGGTAAGACTAGCTGTACTGATATGGTTGGTTGGTTATAGTTATGGTAAGACTAGCTGTACTGATATGGTTGGTTGGTTATAGTTATGGTAAGACTAGCTGTACTGATGGTTGGTTGGTTGGTTGGTTATGGTTGGTTTATGGTAAGACTAGCTGTACTGATATGGTTGGTTGGTTATAGTTATGGTAAGACTAGCTGTACTGATATGGTTGGTTGGTTATAGTTATGGTAAGACTAGCTGTACTGATATGGTTGGTTGGTTATAGTTATGGTAAGACTAGCTGTACTGATATGGTTGGTTGGTTATAGTTATGGTAAGACTAGCTGTACTGATATGGTTGGTTGGTTATAGTTATGGTAAGACTAGCTGTACTGATATGGTTGGTTGGTTGGTTATAGTTATGGTAAGACTAGCTGTACTGATATGGTTGGTTGGTTATAGTTATGGTAAGACTAGCTGTACTGATATGGTTGGTTGGTTATAGTTATGGTAAGACTAGCTGTACTGATATGGTTGGTTGGTTATAGTTATGGTAAGACTAGCTGTACTGATATGACTGTGATTGGTTAGGATATATTTGATTAGTATCTATTTTCATAAGGACCATGATGCTGACACAGAGAGTGGAGACCTGACATCTGTCCAGCCAGCAGGCGAGTCATGCCCAGACACACATCCTGTAGAAGATTGTCAACAGTGGAACACGAGTGTGAAAAAACTGGAAGATGTCTTGTGTCTCAGTTGTCTGCTTCATATCGCTCCGTCAGAGGTTAAAGGTCAAACCGTACCAGAACCACTCACAGTATCTGTTACAAAGCTAATGGAGGGAGGTAGAGGTAAGTCAAACCACATTGTTACCTCTGTGTGTGTGGTTTAAAGATCAAATGTCAGACAGTACCAGAACCACTCAGTGAGTTTTATAAAGCTAATGGAGGGAGATGGAGGTTAGAAACATTATACATCTATTTTTGTTTGTGTGGTTGATAAATACAGTCGAAACTTGTTATCTTGAAATCCAAGGTACAATGGAAAATATTTTGACTTATTGAAATTTCGACTCAAATGAAGTGTCCAAATCAGGTTGATGATATACTGATGTTGATGACAGTTGTACAAAGTAGAGGTATGCACAGTACACTGTGGTATAAACAGTCTGTTATATCTGTTATCTGAAATGGCAGTAAATAAACAGAAGCAAATAAATTTCTAATTTCTACTTTCCCCTTCTATTGTTTATTCATCCAAACAAGAAAACATGTAATAACAACTCCAATCAAATGCATTTGTGCTCACGACGTTCCGCCCTGCACACGTGTACAATACCCTTACTGACCAAGCACATACAGATTTATACATCATATATTTTACAGAATGACAACAAAACAAAAATAAAATTTTGATATTCTACATAGGTATGTGGTTAGTATGTGGACAGTATGTGGTTAGTGTATGGTCAGTATGTGGTTAGTATGTGGACAGTATGTGGTTAGTATGTGGACAGTATGTGGTTAGTGTATGGTCAGTATGTGGTTAGTATGTGGACAGTATGTGATTAGTGTGTGGACAGTATGTGGTTAGTGTGTGGACAGTATGTGGTTAGTGTATGGTCAGTATGTGGTTAGTGTATGGTCAGTATGTGGTTAGTGTGTGGACAGTATGTGGTTAGTGTGTGGACAGTATGTGGTTAGTGTGTGGGCAGTATGTTGTTAGTGTGTGGTCGGTATGTGGTTAGTGTGTAGACAGTATGTGGTTAGTGTGTGGACAGTATGTGGTTAGTGTGTGGGCAGTATGTGATTAGTATGTGGACAGTATGTGATTAGTATGTGGACAGTATGTGGTTAGTGTTTGGACAGTATGTAGTTAGTGTATGGTCAGTATGTGGTTAGTGTGAGGTCAGTATGTTTGTTAGTGTGTGGTCATGGAGTGTTCAATGTGTGGTCACAGTGTGATCAGTGTTTGGTTAGTGTGTGGACAGTATGTGGTTAGTGTATTGTCACTGAGTGGTCAGTGAGTGGTCAATGTGTGGTCACAGTGTGATCAGTGTTTGGTTAGTGTGTGGTCAGTATGTGGTAAGTATTTTGTCAATCAGTGGTTAGTGTGTGGTCAATGTGTAGTCACAGTGTGATCAGTGTTTGGTTAGTGTGTGGTCAGTATGTGGTAAGTATTTTGTCAATCAGTGGTTAGTGTGTGGTCAATGTGTGGTCACAGTGTGATCAGTGTTTGGTTAGTGTGTGGTCAGTATGTGGTAAGTATTTTGTCAATCAGTGGTTAGTGTGTGGTCAATGTGTGGTCACAGTGTGATCAGTGTTTGGTTAGTGTGTGGTCAGTATGTGGTAAGTATTTTGTCAATCAGTGGTTAGTGTGTGGTCAATGTGTGGTCACAGTGTGATCAGTGTTTGGTTAGTGTGTGGTCAGTATGTGGTAAGTATTTTGTCAATCAGTGGTTAGTGTGTGTTCAATGTGTGGTCACAGTGTGATCAGTGTTTGGTTAGTGTGTTAGTGTGTGGACAGTATGTTGTTAGTGTGTGGTCATGGAGTGTTCAATGTGTGGTCACAGTGTGATCAGTGTTTGGTTAGTGTGTGGTTGGTATGTGGTTAGTGTGTGGACAGTATGTTGTTAGTGTGTGGTCATGGAGTGTTCAATGTGTGGTCACAGTGTGATCAGTGTTTGGTTAGTGTGTGGTCAGTATGTGGTAAGTATTTTGTCAATCAGTGGTTAGTGTGTGGTCAATGTGTGGTCACAGTGTGATCAGTGTTTGGTTAGTGTGTGGTTGGTATGTGGTTAGTGTGTGGACAGTATGTTGTTAGTGTGTGGTCATGGAGTGTTCAATGTGTGGTCACAGTGTGATCAGTGTTTGGTTAGTGTGTGGTCAGTATGTGGTAAGTATTTTGTCAATCAGTGGTTAGTGTGTGGTCAATGTGTGGTCACAGTGTGATCAGTGTTTGGTTAGTGTGTGGTTGGTATGTGGTTAGTGTGTGGACAGTATGTTGTCAAGTGTGTGGTCATGGTTAGTGTGTGGTCAATGTGTGGTCACAGTGTGATCAGTGTTTGGTTATTGTGTGGTCAATGTGTGGTCACAGTGTGATCAGTGTTTGGTTAGTGTGTGGTCAGTGATCAGTTAATGATCTATAAACTATCTGCTACAGGTGCTGTATCAGAGTTGGTGGGTTGCTATGTCACACAGTCTGGCTTACATCCTAGTGATCTCTTCCTTCCCTGTCACATGTCGGAGAGTTCAGAAGTCCACGGAGAGGCCATGGAAGCCACAGAGACTACCTTCCAGTCATTTTTAGAGAGAGTTCAAGGTATCTATTGTCATGACTTGTGGCATTGAACTGAAACATGCTAGAAATTATCCTGAAATGGACCTGACCAAGTCTTGGTATTTTTTTGGTCAGTCTGTCATTCAGTGTGACTGCCATCACAATAAACACATTATAAAACTTTTTCTCAATTCCACGGGTGCATTTGAGCAGAGATTTTGTGGGAATGTCAAGAGACTGAAATGAGGAGTGTCTTTTGCCTTTGCTGCAAAAATATGCCAAACTGTATAACTGTTTGATCATTGTTACGACTACCACTAATGTTATATATGTTATCAATAACTCTAAATAGGCTAGAATGGCCTACAGGTATGGCAGCTGAAATGTAAAAAACTAGTGTGTTCACTGACATGCTTTGTGCTTCAGTGTGAGATAAACCTACAAGTGTATATTCTGTATGTACCATACAGGTAAGTCATTATTTATGTAAGATAAACCTACAGGTGGGTATTCTGTATGTACCATACAGGTAAGTCATTATTTATGTAAGATAAACCTACAGGTGGGTATTCTGTATGTACCATACAGGTAAGTCATTGTCTTTTTATTGCTTACTGATTTTTATTTGGAATATTTTCTTGCTAAACTTTGATCCTATTTGTTTCAATTGAACTGTAAGTCAGTAACCAAATTTCAACATCTATTGAATCAGTATGGAATAGCTTGTTTTGCGTGATGTATCTGATTATCTTGTTAATGAACCAGTAACCTTCTGACTGACTGAGATAAACCATAACTTAGAATGGTTTTGTTCCGTAGGTAAGATGGAGGTACTGAAACAGCGACTACCTCATAGTATGGAATCTGATGTGCTTCTGGCCAATTGCTGCTGGGAGAACGCTGTCCAATGGAACAAAGATACAGAGGTTGGGATACTGACAATGGTTTTATGTAGAGATATGGCAGTTGAGACACTGACAATAATAATGATTTATAAGCTAGAATGGTTGAAAGGCCTGTCTTTTGGAAAAGATTAATTCAGATTGTGACTTGTGAGAAAATAAACTCTAAGTGTGACTTATCAAATGGTGTTGAAAACCTTCCTTGGAAAGTGGACTAGAACCTCATTTTTCTTCATCACTCAATTTTAATTTTTTTTACTTCAACTTTAGTTTTCTTCTGTTTGCAGTGTATGAAAAATTTTGAGTACAAAATTCCTTAGAATTAAGGACCCCCAAATACTGTTTATAGATACTGTTTAAAATGCCATCCTCACACAAGTTAATGAGCCCCCATTTCAGTTTTTAGATACTGTTGATATAAAATGCCATCCTCACACAAGGTAAGGACCCCCAAATACTGTTTATAAATACTGTAGATATAAAATGCCATCCTCACACAAGGTAAGGACCCCCAAATACTGTTTATAGATACTGTAGATATAAAATGCCATCCTCACACAAGGTAAGGACCCCCAAATACTGTTTATAGATACTGTAGATATAAAATGCCATCCTCACACAAGGTAAGGACCCCCAAATACTGTTTATAGATACTGTAGATATAAAATGCCATCCTCACACAAGGTAAGGACCCCCAAATACTGTTTATAGATACTGTAGATATAAAATGCCATCCTCACACAAGGTAAGGACCCCCAAATACTGTTTATAGATACTGTAGATATAAAATGCCATCCTCACACAAGGTAAGGACCCCCAAATACTGTTTATAGATACTGTAGATATAAAATGCCATCCTCACACAAGGTAAGGACCCCCAAATACTGTTTATAGATACTGTAGATATAAAATGCCATCCTCACACAAGGTAAGGACCCCCAAATACTGTTTTTATAGATATAAAATGCCATCCTCACACAAGGTAAGGACCCCCAAATACTGTACTGTAGATATAAAATGCCATCCTCACACAAGGTAAGGACCCCCAAATACTGTTTATAGATACTGTAGATATAAAATGCCATCCTCACACAAGGTAAGGACCCCCAAATACTGTTTATAGATACTGTAGATATAAAATGCCATCCTCACACAAGGTAAGGACCCCCAAATACTGTTTATAGATACTGTAGATATAAAATGCCATCCTCACACAAGGTAAGGACCCCCAAATACTGTTTATAGATACTGTAGATATAAAATGCCATCCTCACACAAGGTAAGGACCCCCAAATACTGTTTATAGATACTGTAGATATAAAATGCCATCCTCACACAAGGTAAGGACCCCCAAATACTGTTTATAGATACTGTAGATATAAAATGCCATCCTCACACAAGGTAAGGACCCCCAAATACTGTTTATAGATACTGTAGATATAAAATGCCATCCTCACACAAGGTAAGGACCCCCAAATACTGTTTATAGATACTGTAGATATAAAATGCCATCCTCACACAAGGTAAGGACCCCCAAATACTGTTTATAGATACTGTAGATATAAAATGCCATCCTCACACAAGGTAAGGACCCCCAAATACTGTTTATAGATACTGTAGATATAAAATGCCATCCTCACACAAGGTAAGGACCCCCAAATACTGTTTATAGATACTGTAGATATAAAATGCCATCCTCACACAAGGTAAGGACCCCCAAATACTGTTTATAGATACTGTAGATATAAAATGCCATCCTCACACAAGGTAAGGACCCCCAAATACTGTTTATAGATACTGTAGATATAAAATGCCATCCTCACACAAGGTAAGGACCCCCAAATACTGTTTATAGATACTGTAGATATAAAATGCCATCCTCACACAAGGTAAGGACCCCCAAATACTGTTTATAGATACTGTAGATATAAAATGCCATCCTCACACAAGGTAAGGACCCCCAAATACTGTTTATAAATACTGTAGATATAAAATGCCATCCTCACACACACAAGGTAAGGAGCCCCAAATACTGTTTATAGATACTGTAGATATAAAATGCCATCCTCACACAAGGTAAGGACCCCCAAATACTGTTTATAGATACTGTAGATATAAAATGCCATCCTCACACAAGGTAAGGACCCCCAAATACTGTTTATAGATACTGTAGATATAAAATGCCATCCTCACACAAGGTAAGGACCCCCAAATACTGTTTATAGATACTGTAGGTATAAAATGCCATCCTCACACAAGGTAAGGACCCCCAAATACTGTTTAGATACTGTAGATATAAAATGCCATCCTCACACAAGGTAAGGACCCCCAAATACTGTTTATAGATACTGTAGATATAAAATGCCATCCTCACACAAGGTAAGGACCCCCAAATACTGTTTATAGATACTGTAGATATAAAATGCCATCCTCACACAAGGTAAGGACCCCCAAATACTGTTTATAGATACTGTAGATATAAAATGCCATCCTCACACAAGGTAAGGACCCCCAAATACTGTTTATAGATACTGTAGATATAAAATGCCATCCTCACACAAGGTAAGGACCCCCAAATACTGTTTATAGATACTGTAGATATAAAATGCCATCCTCACACAAGGTAAGGATCCCCAAATACTGTTTATAGATACTGTAGATATAAAATGCCATCCTCACACAAGGTAAGGACCCCCAAATACTGTTTATAGATACTGTAGATATAAAATGCCATCCTCACACAAGGTAAGGACCCCCAAATACTGTTTATAGATACTGTAGATATAAAATGCCATCCTCACACAAGGTAAGGACCCCCAAATACTGTTTATAGATACTGTAGATATAAAATGCCATCCTCACACAAGGTAAGGACCCCCAAATACTGTTTATAGATACTGTAGATATAAAATGCCATCCTCACACAAGGTAAGGACCCCCAAATACTGTTTATAGATACTGTAGATATAAAATGCCATCCTCACACAAGGTAAGGACCCCCAAATACTGTTTATAGATACTGTAGATATAAAATGCCATCCTCACACAAGGTAAGGACCCCCAAATACTGTTTATAGATACTGTAGATATAAAATGCCATCCTCACACAAGGTAATGATCCCCAAATACTGTTTATAGATACTGTAGATATAAAATGCCATCCTCACACAAGGTAAGGACCCCCAAATACTGTTTATAAAGGAGTAATACCTGTTAAGTAAATTAACCCTCAGTAAGTTAAATAGCCAATCATCCAGTAAAAGTTTTGACTAAATGTTTGACATATGACTGTTGTGTGTTATACAGGTGTGGGCAGTCTACTGTGGCATATGTTCATTGCAAAGACTTTTTCTGCTGCAGCTCATCTGATGGAAAAGGTAACTTTTGTAATATATACATTGTAAAAGGTATTAAATACAGCCTCTGTTACTCAGTGGATGGGTCAGTGGGCTTGTACATAGTGTTAAATACAGTCTCTGTCACTCAGTGGATGGGTCATTGTGACTTTACATAGTGTTAAATACAGTCTCTGTCACTCAGTGGATGGGTCAGTGGGCTTGTACATAGTATTAAATACAGTCTCTGTCACTCAGTGGATGGGTCAGTGGGCTTGTACATAGTATTAAATACAGTCTCTGTCACTCAGTGGATGGGTCAGTGGGCTTGTACATAGTGTTAAATACAGTCTCTGTCACTCAGTGGATGGGTCAGTGGGCTTGTACATAGTGTTAAATACAGTCTCTGTCACTCAGTGGATGGGTCAGTGGGCTTGTACATAGTGTTAAATACAGTCTCTGTCACTCAGTGGATGGGTCAGTGGGCTTGTACATAGTGTTAAATACAGTCTCTGTCACTCAGTGGATGGGTCAGTGTGACTTGTACATAGTGTTAAATACAGTCTCTGTCACTCAGCTGATTTATCAGTGGGCTTGTACATAGTGTTAAATACAGGTTCTGTCACTCAGCTGATGGGTCAGTGTGACTTGTACATAGTGTTAAATACAGTCTCTGTCACTCAGTGGATGGGTCAGTGGGCTTGTACATAGTGTTAAATACAGTCTCTGTCACTCAGCTGATGGATCAGTGTGACTTTACATAGTGTTAAATACAGTCTCTGTCACTCAGCTGATTGGTCAGTGTGACTTGTACATAGTGTTAAATACAGTCTCTGTTACTCAGCTGATGGGTCAGTGGAGCTTGTACATTGTGTTAAATTCAGTTTCTGTCACTCAGTGGATGGGTTAGTGGGCTTGTACATAGTGTTAAATACAGTCTCTGTTACTCAGCTGATGGGTCAGTGGAGCTTGTACATAGTGTTAAATACAGTCTCTGTTACTCAGCTGATGGGTCAGTGGAGCTTGTACATTGTGTTAAATTCAGTTTCTGTCACTCAGCTGATGGGTCAGTGGGCTTGTACATAGTGTTAAATACAGTCTGTCACTCAGCTGATTTATCAGTGGGCTTGTACATAGTGTTAAATACAGGTTCTGTTACTCAGCTGATAGGTCAGTGGGCTTGTACATAGTGTTAAATACAGGTTCTGTTACTCAGCTGATAGGTCAGTGTGACTTGTACATAGTGTTAAATACAGGTTCTGTTACTCAGCTGATAGGTCAGTGGGCTTGTACATAGTGTTAAATACAGTCTCTGTCACTCAGTGGATGGGTCAGTGGGCTTGTACATAGTGTTAAATACAGGTTCTGTTACTCAGCTGATAGGTCAGTGGGCTTGTACATAGTGTTAAATACAGGTTCTGTTACTCAGCTGATAGGTCAGTGGGCTTGTACATAGTGTTAAATACAGGTTCTGTCACTCAGTGGATGGGTCAGTGGGCTTGTACATAGTGTTAAATACAGGTTCTGTTACTCAGCTGATAGGTCAGTGGGCTTGTACATAGTGTTAAATACAGGTTCTGTTACTCAGCTGATAGGTCAGTGTGACTTGTACATAGTGTTAAATACAGGTTCTGTTACTCAGCTGATAGGTCAGTGGGCTTGTACATAGTGTTAAATACAGTCTCTGTCACTCAGTGGATGGGTCAGTGGGCTTGTACATAGTGTTAAATACAGGTTCTGTTACTCAGCTGATAGGTCAGTGGGCTTGTACATAGTGTTAAATACAGGTTCTGTTACTCAGCTGATAGGTCAGTGGGCTTGTACATAGTGTTAAATACAGGTTCTGTCACTCAGTGGATGGGTCAGTGGGCTTGTACATAGTGTTAAATACAGTCTGTCACTCAGTGGATGGGTCAGTGGGCTTGTACATAGTGTTAAATACAGTCTGTCACTCAGCTGATTTATCAGTGGGCTTGTACATAGTGTTAAATACAGTCTGTCACTCAGCTGATTTATCAGTGTGACTTGTACATAGTGTTAAATACAGGTTCTGTTACTCAGCTGATAGGTCATTGTGACTTGTACATAGTGTTAAATACAGGTTCTGTTACTCAGCTGATAGGTCATTGTGACTTGTACATAGTGTTAAATACAGGTTCTGTTACTCAGCTGATGGGTCAGTGTGACTTGTACATAGTGTTAAATACAGTCTCTGTCACTCAGCTGATGGTCAGTGTGACTTGTACATAGTGTTAAATATGGTCTCTGTCACTCAGCTGATGGGTCAGTGTGACTTGTACATAGTGTTAAATACAGGTTCTGTTACTCAGCTGATGGGTCAGTGTGACTTGTACATAGTGTTAAATACAGTCTCTGTTACTCAGCTGATGGATCAGTGTGACTTGTACATAGTGTTAAATACAGGTTCTGTTACTCAGCTGATGGAGAATACTTGTTGGCTGTGTTTATGAATTACCACATCAGAGACCTTGGTTTAATTCCTGTCAGGACACCCCTATTATCAGTTATATTACAATTTAATCATATGAAAAGGCTGCAATTTCAACTCTGAAGGTAAACAGTAGATAACAACACTAGAAACATACAAGTGCAGAGTGTGTGAAGATAGACACACAGAGTACATGATGATTTAGTCACTTTAGAGAAACAGGGAGACACAGAATTTTCTATGTTTAGAAGATAAGAAAATAGATTTGTGTTTAGATTGTAGCTCCTCTTATTTTATTCACAGGTTGGGAAGGTACCTAAAGACAGACTTTGTAGAAAGGTAAGAATCCGATCAAAAGCATAACTATAACTTATCACCTATCAGCACGGTAGACATGGAAACATGTCTTCAGGAGGTGACAGTAGACATGGAAACATGGCTTCAGGAGTCGACAGTAGACACGGAAACATGGCTTCAGGAGTCGACAGTAGACACGGAAACATGGCTTCAGGAGTCGACAGTAGACACGGAAACATGGCTTCAGGAGTCGACAGTAGACATGGAAACATGTCTTCAGGAGGTGACAGTAGACACGGAAACATGGCTTCAGGAGTCGACAGTAGACACGGAAACATGGCTTCAGGAGTCGACAGTAGACACGGAAACATGGCTTCAGGAGTCGACAGTAGACACGGAAACATGGCTTCAGGAGTCGACAGTAGACACGGAAACATGGCTTCAGGAGTCGACAGTAGACACGGAAACATGGCTTCAGGAGTCGAAAGTAGACACGGAAACATGGCTTCAGGAGCTGACAGTAGACATGGAAACATGGCTTCAGGAGTCGACAGTAGACATGGAAACATGGCTTCAGGAGTCGACAGTAGACACGGAAACATGGCTTCAGGAGCTGACAGTAGACACGGAAACATGACTTCAGCAGTTGACAGTAGACATGGAAACATGACTTATCTTGTTTGAATATAAACAGAAAGGAAGGAAAATTGTAACTTTTGATTAATAGTGAATTATCAAAGTAGTATCTCCTGAATCTATGAGACCTTAGGTTTGTGGTAACAATATCAGATGAAGATGCTGTGAAAATCTTGTGAATTTGAATCTCAATATCAGCAAGACATCTTTTATTTTTACTTTCTCCATGAGACATTTCTGATTTGTACATCAATTGAAATATCAAATTTGTTAAAAAAATTTACTCTTCATAAAAAAACATTCGCCATAACATAAACATTATTGAATTGTTATTTGTTACCAGGAGGTGGGACTGAGTGAGGGAAGCATGGCTGGCTTTGTGGGCTGTGTTTGTGACCTTTTAGATATTATCATGGAGGTGAGTAAGCTTTATTTCTGTCTTCCTGTAAATTTGATGTTGTTTTTGTTAAGTTTGTATACAAGTTGGATATATAAGTGTTCCTTTGATATTTAAATAGTAGTATACTACATGGCTCTTCTGAGTCTATTGTATCCTTTTCTGGTGCTGAATAAAGTTGTTCTGTCTATGTTGGGATAGAAGATTTTAGAGTACAGTGTCGCTTACTTTTACAAACATTTAGGAGACTTGATAACAGGAGTAGCAATGTACACCTGGATTTCTTAAGAGTTATGTCCCTTCTGCCATGTCATTCTAACAAAGTAAAAACACCAGTGTTCTCTCAGGGGATTGTTGTCATTGTTTAAGTTATTGAAGTTTTGTTTGGACTGTATCACTATATGAGGAAATATTTGATGGTTTCAGTCGTCATCAACACCTGACTTTGGGGTACAGTATACTTGTGTCTTGTCCCCAATTTTAACATGGTTGGTTGTGTGTTGAATGCATGATGTTGTTGGCATGGTAACAGTATATTTAACTCCATTACACTAAAATCACACAGAATGCATTACAATGTGGTACACATATGTTCCGTCCATCTCATTAACGTTCTAGTCTAGAAATGTCCTTTCTCAATTTTTGACTGATCTGTTTGAAACACCTAGACATCCAGGGTTCAAATTCCTAAGCAATTGTAAAAAATTGTCACCTGCCTGACCACTTGGGTTTCCCCATAATCTCTAGTTTCCTCTAATTGTAAGACCCCTTGCACACTTCCAAGAGTGATAAATATACCTGGTAAACTTAGGCCACAAAAAATGTTTTTGGTTTCCCAGCTGTCCAAATCCTTTTGCAGTCAGCTCTAATTTTAGAATAGGACAAGAGGAGCCAACACAATGTTCCTTTTTTGTGTTGTATCAGATAAGTGGTCTAGGAGTGGATAACCTCAAGTAGACAGAGTGATTGCATATGACTAAGAGATATAAATACAGAGGTACAACCACAACACAACCTGACGTCATCAGGACTCCTGAGTGAAAACCAGTTGGCATGTAGTTAAGTAACTAAAGTACCCCTAAATGAGGATGTCAAGTTGTCTGGTATTTCACTGCTGTGGTCAGCCTTAATTTTTTTCAACATTTTGACAGAAGAATTTCTCTAAATTCTCTGTTGATTTTGCTCATGTTTTAATGTGCAATCCCAAGAAATACTTGTACACTGAGGCAAATTCTTTGATGCTTGACACATTTACATTGACTGATGTCATATATTGGACACTTTTCTAAGAAGACTAAACTAACAGTTACAATGACTGCCACTATATGGAATCTCTCAGGAATTGTCTTTTTAAACCTACGAGAGTAAACTCTGAATAGATTGGCAGAAATGATACATATGCACTGTATGTTCATTTTCTGGTAACTCTAATTTGATCGACGATGACATAATAGTGAACTTTATAAATTAATCTTTATATCAAACAGTTCTTATTTCCTGTATTCATTTGAGGGTAGAATGGATTTCTATAGACATACAGGACAGTGGCAATTTATGACAATTAGAGCTCATAGGGTGACTGGATCGTATACTGGATTAGAGGACTTGGTCAGATATTTAGATGATGTAACCGTGTATAGTTGATGTTTACATCCTGCTCTTTATACTTGGTAGTTAACGTATAAAACAATTTCCATGTTTGTGTTTTGGTAGGCCAACTGTGAAGCCAATGAGGTTCCAGTATTCAACATTGAACATCTGTGGCAGGATGTCAGGGGTCCTGCCTCACTTGTAGAACTTGCCATTGACCAAAAGTCTACAAACTACGGTCTGTTACGGCTACACTACCAGCTGGCCGTTATGATGCATGCCATCTTGGTGTTTGGAATGAAGTCAGTCAAAGTCTTGTCCTTGTTTGATTCAAAGGTCTGTATATATTGTATATAATGTGATGTGGTTACAGTTTATATAAAGAAGAACTTTTCAAACATTTCAAGTCTGATTTTTTATGATCATTTTCCAGTAGCAGTACTTGTACCGGTACTGTAATTCTGTCAATTTAAATGATATGAACATTACAGTTTTTTTTTATGTTAACTTTCTTTTCAGGGAAAGAACTCCCTATTTCTGGATCTGCACCAACATCCTCTACTTCCATCACAAAACATAGATGCCTTTATATCCAACAGCCGCAAAAATGTAAGTATCCTTGTCAAAGAACTCCCTATTTCTGGATCTGCAACAACATCCTCTACTTCCATCACAAACCATAGCTGCCTTTATATCCAACAGCCGCAAAAATGTAAGTATCCTTGTCAAAGAACTCCCTATTTCTGGATCTGCAACAACATCCTCTACTTCCATCACAAAACATAGCTGCCTTTATATCCAACAGCCACAAAAATGTAAGTATCCTTGTCAAAGAACTCCCTATTTCTGGATCTGCAACAACATCCTCTACTTCCATCACAAAACATAGCTGCCTTTATATCCAACAGCCGCAAAAATGTAAGTATCCTTGTCAAACTCCCTATTTCTGGATCTGCAACAACATCCTCTACTTCCATCACAAAACATAGCTGCCTTTATATCCAACAGCCACAAAAATGTAAGTATCCTTGTCAAAGAACTCCCTATTTCTGGATCTGCAACAACATCCTCTACTTCCATCACAAAACATAGCTGCCTTTATATCCAACAGCCACAAAAATGTAAGTATCCTTGTCAAAGAACTCCCTATTTCTGGATCTGCAACAACATCCTCTACTTCCATCACAAAACATAGCTGCCTTTATATCCAACAGCCGCAAAAATCTAAGTATCCTTGTCAAGGGAGGGAGTGAGTGGGTGGGATCTGATCATCATTAAATCTACTCCAGAATAATTAGTATAAAAACATAACTATTCCTTGTAAAGCAAATGTAAAAGTGATTCAGCCCTTAACAAAAAGTTGGCCTAAATATTGAAGAGATAATTATTAAATGAAATTAAATTGGCAGGTAAAAATACATCTTATTGAACAAATGAATTTGTATAAATGTATGACTGAATTATCTAATTTGTGTATGTGTAAGACTGAATTATCTAATTTGGTATGTGTATGACTGAATTATCTGATTTGTGTATGTGTATGTCTGAATTATTTGATTTGTGTATGTGTATGACTGAATTATCTGATTTGTGTATGTGTATGTCTGAATTATTTGATTTGTCAATGTGTAAGACTGAATTATCTAATTTGTGTATGTGTATGACTGAATTATCTGATTTGTGTATGTGTATGACTGAATTATCTGATTTGTGTATGTGTATGTCTGAATTATTTGATTTGTCAATGTGTAAGACTGAATTATCTAATTTGTCAATGTGTAAGACTGAATTATCTAATTTGTGTGTGTGTATGACTGAATTATCTAATTTGTATGTGTATGACTGAATTATTTGATTTGTGTGTGTGTATGACTGAATTATCTAATTTGTATGTGTATGACTGAATTATTTGATTTGTGTGTGTGTATGACTGAATTATTTGATTTGTGTGTGTGTATGACTGAATTATTTGATTTGTGTGTGTGTATGACTGAATTATTTGATTTGTGTGTGTGTATGACTGAATTATTTGATTTGTGTGTGTGTATGACTGAATTATCTAATTTGTATGTGTGTATGACTGAATTATCTAATTTGTATGTGTATGACTGTATTATTTGATTTGTGTGTGTGTATGACTGAATTATCTAATTTGTATGTGTGTAAGACTGAATTATCTAATTTGTATGTGTGTAAGACTGAATTATTTGATTTGTGTGTGTGTATGACTGAATTATTTGATTTGTGTATGTGTATGACTGAATTATCTGATTTGTGTGTGTGTATGACTGAATTATCTAATTTGTATGTGTATGACTGAATTATTTGATTTGTGTGTGTGTGTATGACTGAATTATCTAATTTGTATGTGTATGACTGAATTATTTGATTTGTGTGTGTGTAAGACTGAATTATCTAATTTGTATGTGTGTAAGACTGAATTATTTGATTTGTGTGTGTGTATGACTGAATTATCTAATTTGTATGTGTATGACTGAATTATTTGATTTGTGTGTGTGTATGACTGAATTATTTGATTTGTGTGTGTGTATGACTGAATTATCTAATTTGTATGTGTATGACTGAATTATTTGATTTGTGTGTGTGTATGACTGAATTATCTAATTTGTATGTGTGTAAGACTGAATGATTGAAGTTTTGTTTTACTTTGAATGGTTTAGTATATCTGTGATCAATCCACATGTGGCTCCCAAGCCCCACTTATAGAATTTTGATGTGACTTGAGGAATTTCTGGAAATACTTCAATATCATATTGTGAGGCCTATTCTTTTTAGCAATAAAGTTGAACAGGACTCATGACAATAAATAGTACATTGATCGCTGGTATATGTGTGTTGATTGATTGTTGAATATCGTTTGTGTGAATTACTGTATAGGTCTGTCTACATGCCCTGTTTCTGTTCACATAACTATGTTATATATTTGTGTGATTAAAGTGACAGAGCCCAGTTGTCACTGAAAGGTATCTCTAACTGTGTGTAGGTTTTAAAGTCACACAGACAAAAATTTGTGAAATGGTTTGTATGCTGTATATATACTATGTAGTGATAACTCTACCTGTCAATCATTATGTCTGTGAAGTCGCTGAGAATAAATCATATTGTTTTAGAGTGTGTGTCCCTGTGTCAGTTCACAATCACAATGCTTCTGATGTTTGTGTCTGGCAGAATCTTCACCCATAAGCAACCTGGAGGAAACACACATCAAAGGCTATATTTAGATTTTAAATAATTACTTGAATAGTGATCATGACACTCAGTATCAAAACTATTATCTTACTCCTTACTCACCAACGTCAAAAATATTGTCTTTGTCACTTACACAAAACTGTTGTCTTTCCATCCAACACCAAAACCAGTTTTACTCACTAACATCAAAAGATTTGATTCAGACAAATCACCGGCCCTGATCTCCTGCAGTTTAGGTACACCTCTAGGTTCCACGGCAAAAGTTATACTGGGCATTGTTATACTGGGCATTGTTAGGCCTTTACACATTGTGAGTTATACTGGTCATTGTTAGGCCTTTACACATTGTAAGTTATACTGGGCATTGTTAGGCCTTTACACATTGTAAGTTATACTGGACATTGTTAGGCCTTTACACATTGTGAGTTATACTGGTCATTGTTAGGCCTTTACACATTGTAAGTTATACTGGTCATTGTTAGGCCTTTACACATTGTGAGTTATACTGGTCATTGTTAGGCCTTTACACATTGTAAGTTATACTGGGCATTGTTCGGTCTTTACACATTGTGAGTTATACTGGTCATTGTTAGGCCTTTACACATTGTAAGTTATACTGGTCATTGTTAGGCCTTTACACATTGTAAGTTATACTGGTCATTGTTAGGCCTTTACACATTGTAAGTTATACTGGGCATTGTTAGGCCTTTACACATTGTAAGTTATACTGGGCATTGTTAGGTCTTTACACATTTTGATTTATACTGGGCATTGTTAGGCCTTTACACATTGTAAGTTATACTGGGCATTGTTAGGTCTTTACACATTGTAAGTTATACTGGGCATTGTTAGGTCTTTACACATTGTAAGTTATACTGGGCATTGTTAGGTCTTTACACATTTTGATTTATACTGGGCATTGTTAGGTCTTTACACATTGTAAGTTATACTGGGCATTGTTCGGTCTTTACACATTGTAAGTTATACTGGTCATTGTTAGGCCTTTACACATTGTAAGTTATACTGGGCATTGTTAGGCCTTTACATATTGTAAGTTATACTGGGCATTGTTAGGCCTTTACATTGTAAGGCCTTTACACATGGTAAGTTATACTGGGCATTGTTAGGTCTTTACACATTGTAAGTTATACTGGACATTGTTAGGCCTTTACACATTGTAAGTTATACTGGGCATTGTTAGGCCTTTACACATGGTAAGTTATACTGGGCATTGTTAGGCCTTTACACATTGTGAGTTATACTGGGCATTGTTAGGCCTTTACACATTGTAAGTTATACTGGGCATTGTTATACTGGGCAGTGTTAGGTCTTTACACATTGTGAGTTATACTGGGCATTGTAAGGCCTTTACACATGGTAAGTTATACTGGGCATTGTTAGGCCTTTACACATTGTAAGTTATACTGGACATTGTTAGGCCTTTACATATTGTAAGTTATACTGGGCATTGTTAGGTCTTTACACTGGAAATGTGTATTTCTATCATCCAAGAACAACTTAAGTAACAAAAAATGTTATGCAGGGCTCAGTTTTGAGGATACATCTGTGCAGAAGTATGTTAGTGCTCCGATAAATCAAATCCAACTACAACTATGTTTGCCTTATGGTAACATCACTGAGGTTTTTGACATAGAGGGAAGGGATCATTATGTCAATGCTGTCCTTGTTTGCATTTGAAAAAAGACACTAAAAACTTTGACAGATTTATGAGCAGTTTGAACTTGTAACATATTGGTACTTTGTGAACACCTGTAGATTCCATGCCAGGAATTGGACATGTGAAACTAATGAGTTTTGTGTGAAAGTATTGTTAATGATATTGATAATAACTATTTTTCCTGGATAGATAAAACTCTCAATGTAGTCCACGACTTAATATCAAAATAGTCAGCAGTTTAATACCATCTTCCATCCCTATTCTGTTGTAGTTCTTTGCGCGTGTCATCTCTAATGCGATTCTGTCACTTGATGTTGCCAAGCACACCCAGTCTTCATCATCATCTCCAGTTTCTCCTACAAGTCCAAACAAGAAGTTTGTTGATGCTGCAACTAAATGGCCAGCACTTGTACTTGAACTTGCCAAGGACTTTGGCCTAGATTTGGATTTCTTCAAACGACACCATGTGTGTGAACTGTACTCGGGAGGTCACGACAGAATGGCTGAGGAGGTTAGTATAGGTTGTAACTGGGCTAACAGATAAAGGTGTTAACAGATAAAGGTGTTAACAGATAAGGGTGTTAACAGATAAGGGTATTAACAGATAAGGGTGTTAACAGATAAAGGTGTTAACAGATAAGGGTGTTAACAGATAAGGGTGTTAACAGATAAGGGTGTTAACAGATAAGGGTGTTAACAGATAAGGGTGTTAACAGATAAGGGTATTAACAGATAGATAAGGGTGTTAACAGATAAAGGTGTTAACAGATAAGGGTGTTAACATATAAAGGTGTTAACAGATAAGGGTGTTAACAGAATGACTGAAGAGGTTAGCATAGGTTGTAACTGGGCTAACAGATAAAGGTGTTAACAGGTAAAGGTGTTAACAGAAAGGTTTTAACAGAATGACTGAAGAGGTTAGCATAGGTTGTAAGTGGGCTAACAGATTAAGGTGTTAACTGGTAAGGGTGTTAATAGATAAAGGTGTTAACAGATAAAGGTGTTAACAGATAAGGGTGTGAACATATAAAGGTGTTAACAGATAAGGGTGTTAACAGAATGACTGAAGAGGTTAGCATAGGTTGTAACTGGGCTAACAGGTAAGTCTATTAACTTTATTAATCCTAATGTAAACGTCAGAGTACCAATATTTTTCAGGTTGCAGGGTGATATCCATTATAGGAGGAAAGTGGGAGTGAGAAGTGTTACCCATGTCTGTTTGTCCAATCCCATCACATCCCATTCTGTATCATTGTCATATTTTTCAACAGATGTGGTTCATATTCATAAAATAATACTATCAGATTCAATGCCTTAACATTAGATGCTGGGAATCAGTATCTGTAGGGGAGACTCTTACAAGTCAATTTTTCCCTACATAAAACACAACAACACACATCTTCTTCCACCTAAGTATGTTAGTGTTTTAACATTATACCATATGTTTCATGCTGTCATATGATTGGTAACATTATAACCAGATAAATGAATAAAAGTGTATAATCAGCCATAATAATGCTTTTTATTTTCCAGTATGTCAGTTTTTTTCAATATTTTCAAGTAATTATGGACAAGGGGAGGCTACTCCAATAAAATGAAATAATTTCAATGTTCATCCTTCTTGATGATTTATGCGAGAAAATCTTCATTCGCAAAGTTCTCACTTGTGGGCAGTAAACTTTACCTTTAATGAAACGCAATAAGATTTTAAGTGACCTCTTCCTTTAAACTTTTCTTTTCCGTAAATTTTTGCTGTCATATATTGATCTGGGGTGCTGAAGTAGTCTAACCTGACCAGTGCTCAAATTGGAAAATGGGAAAAATACATGTTTTATTTTTGACTCTCGATCCACAAAGCGACTGACTTATCCACTCATGATGCATGATAACTAAGGAATGTGAATACTTTTCTACCACACTCGATCCACAAAGCAACTGACTTATCCACTCATGATGCATGATAACTAAGGAATGTGGATACTTTTCTATCACACTCGATCCACAAAGCGACTGACTTATCCACTCATGATGCATGATAACTAAGGGATGTGGGTACTTTTCTAGTTATGCAAATGCATCATAGGCTTTTCAAAGTCACTGTTTGAAATCAAAGTCTCACCCAAATTTTATCATAAGTTTACATTGTCATTGGTCATGACAATATATATAGAAAACACCCTTTCCTGGTAATTTCCAGTTGGAGGAGAGATTTATATTTACACTTCATAAAGTTATGTTCTGATAACCACTTATTTCTGTATAGAAGGGGAAGGGAGGGAGGTGGAAAGCACTCATGTTTTATTTCTGTATAGAAGGGGAAGGGAGGGAGGTGGAAAGCACTCGTGTTTTATTTCTGTATAGAAGGGGAAGGGAGGGAGGTGGAAAGCACTCGTGTTTTATTTCTGTATAGAAGGGGAAGGGAGGGAGGTGGAAAGCACTCGTGTTTTATTTCTGTATAGAAGGGGAAGGGAGGGAGGTGGAAAGCACTCGTGTTTTATTTCTGTATAGAAGGGGAAGGGAGGGAGGTGGAAAGCACTCGTGTTTTATTTCTGTATAGAAGGGGAAGGGAGGGAGGTGGAAAGCACTCGTGTTTTATTTCTGTATAGAAGGGGAAGGGAGGGAGGTGGAAAGCATTCTTGTTTTATTTCTGTATAGAAGGGGAAGGGAGGGAGGTGGAAAGCACTCGTGTTTTATTTCTGTATAGAAGGGGAAGGGAGGGAGATGGAAAGCACTCGTGTTTTATTTCTGTATAGAAGGGGAAGGGAGGGAGGTGGAAAGCACTCGTGTTTTATTTCTGTATAGAAGGGGAAGGGAGGGAGGTGGAAAGCATTCTTGTTTTATTTCTGTATAGAAGGGGAAGGGAGGGAGATGGAAAGCACTCGTGTTTTATTTCTGTATAGAAGGGGAAGGGAGGGAGGTGGAAAGCACTCGTGTTTTATTTCTGTATAGAAGGGGAAGGGAGGGAGGTGGAAAGCATTCTTGTTTTATTTCTGTATAGAAGGGGAAGGGAGGGAGGTGGAAAGCACTCGTGTTTTATTTCTGTATAGAAGGGGAAGGGAGGGAGGTGGAAAGCATTCTTGTTTTATTTCTGTATAGAAGGGGAAGGGAGGGAGGTGGAAAGCACTCGTATTTTATTTCTTTATAGAAGGGGAAGGGAGGGAGGTGGAAAGCATTCTTGTTTTATTTCTGTATAGAAGGGGAAGGGAGGGAGGTGGAAAGCACTCGTGTTTTATTTCTGTATAGAAGGGGAAGGGAGGGAGGTGGAAAGCACTCGTGTTTTATTTCTGTATAGAAGGGGAAGGGAGGGAGGTGGAAAGCACTCGTGTTTTATTGATATTTTCCTTAAGCCTAACTTCTAATAAAGAAAACAAAGTGGTTGTCATGTTGCTGATATCTTCCCCGATCACCAGAAGACATTACATATATTCTATATATTCTACTTCTATACTGATCAAACTAATCCTTCCTCTTCAGGTACTTCTGACTGTGAATGACCATGAGTTGATTGGCTCACAACTGCTATTAATTGCTGGACACAGGACGGCACATTTCCTCCTAGACTCACATAAATCTAAAGGTGTGGAATTACTGACCACGGTGTCCCCAGCTCTGTCCACCTGGCTCAAGTCTCTAGTAAGTAGTGGTGTGTATAAATATATAGGGTGGACTTACTGACCACGGTGTCCCCAGCTCTGTCCACCTGGCTCAAGTCTCTAGTAAGTAGTGGTGTATATAAATATATAGGGTGGACTTACTGACCACGGTGTCCCCAGCTCTGTCCACCTGGCTCAAGTCTCTAGTAAGTACCAGTGTATATAAATATATAGGGTGGACTTACTGACCACGGTGTCCCCAGCTCTGTCCAATTGGCTCAAGTCTATAGTAAGTACCAGTGTATATAAATATATAAGTGGACTTACTGACCACAATGTTTACAGCTCTGTCCACCTGGCTCAAGTCTCTAGTAAGTACCAGTGTATATAAATATATAGGGTGGACTTACTGACCACGGTGTCCCCAGCTCTGCCCACCTGGCTCAAGTCTCTAGTAAGTACCAGTGTATATAAATATATAGGTGGACTTACTGACCACAATGTCCCCAGCTCTGTCCACCTGGCTCAAGTCTCTAGTAAGTACCAGTGTATATAAATATATAGGGTGGACTTACTGACCACAGTGTCCCCAGCTCTGTCCACCTGGCTCAAGTCTCTAGTAAGTACCAGTGTATATAAATATATAGGGTGGACTTACTGACCACGGTGTCCCCAGCTCTGTCCACCTGGCTCAAGTCTCTAGTAAGTACCAGTGTATATAAATATATAGGGTGGTATATAAATATATACTGGACTTACGGTGTCCCCAGCTCTGTCCACCTGGCTCAAGTCTCTAGTAAGTACCAGTGTATATAAATATATAGGGTGGACTTACTGACCACGGTGTCCCCAGCTCTGTCCACCTGGCTCAAGTCTCTAGTAAGTACCAGTGTATATAAATATATAGGGTGGACTTACTGACCACGGTGTCCCCAGCTCTGTCCACCTGGCTCAAGTCTCTAGTAAGTACCAGTGTATATAAATATATAGGGTGGACTTACTGACCACGGTGTCCCCAGCTCTGTCCACCTGGCTCAAGTCTCTAGTAAGTACCAGTGTATATAAATATATAGGGTGGACTTACTGACCACGGTGTCCCCAGCTCTGTCCACCTGGCTCAAGTCTCTAGTAAGTACCAGTGTATATAAATATATAGGGTGGACTTACTGACCACGGTGTCCCCAGCTCTGTCCACCTGGCTCAAGTCTCTAGTAAGTACCAGTGTATATAAATATATAGGGTGGACTTACTGACCACGGTGTCCCCAGCTCTGTCCACCTGGCTCAAGTCTCTAGTAAGTACCAGTGTATATAAATATATAGGGTGGACTTACTGACCACGGTGTCCCCAGCTCTGTCCACCTGGCTCAAGTCTCTAGTAAGTACCAGTGTATATAAATATATAGGGTGGACTTACTGACCACGGTGTCCCCAGCTCTGTCCACCTGGCTCAAGTCTCTAGTAAGTACCAGTGTATATAAATATATAGGTTGGACTTACTGACCACGGTGTCCCCAGCTCTGTCCACCTGGCTCAAGTCTCTAGTAAGTACCAGTGTATATAAATATATAGTTTGAATTACTTTACTGTGTCCCCAGCTCTGTCCACCTGGCTCAAGTCTCTAGTAAGTACCAGTGTATATAAATATATAGGATGGACTTACTGACCACGGTGTCCCCAGCTCTGTCCACCTGGCTCAAGTCTCTAGTAAGTACCAGTGTATATAAATATATAGGGTGGACTTACTGACCACGGTGTCCCCAGCTCTGTCCACCTGGCTCAAGTCTCTAGTAAGTACCAGTGTATATAAATATATAGGGTGGACTTACTGACCACGGTGTCCCCAGCTCTGTCCACCTGGCTCAAGTCTCTAGTAAGTACCAGTGTATATAAATATATAAGTGGACTTACTGACCACAATGTCCCCAGCTCTGTCCACCTGGCTCAAGTCTCTAGTAAGTACCAGTGTATATAAATATATAGGGTGGACTTACTGACCACAATGTCCCCAGCTCTGTCCACCTGGCTCAAGTCTCTAGTAAGTAGTGGTGTATATAAATATATAGGGTGGACTTACTGACCACGGTGTCCCCAGCTCTGTCCACCTGGCTCAAGTCTCTAGTAAGTACCAGTGTATATAAATATATAAGTGGACTTACTGACCACAATGTCCCCAGCTCTGTCCACCTGGCTCAAGTCTCTAGTAAGTACTAGTGTATATAAATATATAGGGTGGACTTACTGACCACGGTGTCCCCAGCTCTGTCCACCTGGCTCAAGTCTCTAGTAAGTACCAGTGTATATAGATATATAGGTGGACTTACTGACCACAATGTCCCCAGCTCTGTCCACCTGGCTCAAGTCTCTAGTAAGTACTAGTGTATATAAATATATAGTGGACTGTCGGTGTCCCCAGCTCTGTCCACCTGGCTCAAGTCTCTAGTAAGTACCAGTGTATATAAATATATAGGTGGACTTACTGACCACAATGTCCCCAGCTCTGTCCACCTGGCTCAAGTCTCTAGTAAGTACTAGTGTATATAAATATATAGGGTGGACTTACTGACCACGGTGTCCCCAGCTCTGTCCACCTGGCTCAAGTCTCTAGTAAGTAGTGGGGTATATAATTATATAAGATGAACTTCCCCAGCTCTGCCTGTGGTTCAAGTCTCTTGTTATGACTTGTAATTTTTCTTCCAGAAGGACAACTAACCCTCCTGTTACTTCTTATAATATCAATTCAGTATCAGAAGTCATATAATTCAAAGTTGATTAGAAAGTAAAGAGAAAAAAAGACAGAAACTGACTATTTGAAAATTCCAAATGTGTATTGAATTTTAGAATCCCAGTCACATTAACAGTTTACAATAAAGAACAACATTTGAATGTTTCAGGACAAAGGACATTTGCGTGAGCCTAAAGTGTCAGCAGGAGACATCGCCATGCTAGTCCAGCATGTAGCCAACAACCTTCCTGAGGGATACCCTGAGTATGACCTAGCCATCTCACTAGTGGACTTAGTGCAATCCATGTCTTCCATATCATAACACTGGTTTCATCCTTAACTTTGCCCCCTCTGACCTCATCCCCTTTGCCCTCTGAATCTATCCCCAATGATCCCTCTGACCTCATCCCTCTGCCCTCGATGATCCTTCTGATCTCAACCCTCTTACTTTGCCATCTCTAACCTCACCACCTCCCCACCTTACCTCCAACCTCAACCTCTCTGGCCTCTGCCCTCAAAGGTCCTTTTGATATCTTTTCTCTGACTTTGATACCTTTGATCATACCTCTCTTCTGCCCTTCCCCCTCCGTCCCCCCCATCCCCCCCCCGCCCCACTCTCCCCCATTTAGTACAGTTTCAATATCTCACATGTTGGTCTATTGACCACAGTTAACTCATATCTATTTTACATGTTTAGTACCATTACATGTTGTGTTTATGTTTCAAAGACTTTATATTTGGATGCAAAAATGCTCATTCTTAAAGTTGATAGTTATAATCTACAGAAATGGAGAAGATTGCTGTAATTCTATTCTGTAACATCCATACATTTGTTTGTTTAACTTGAGGTATTAGAGATTGTATGGTATAAAATGAATTAAAATAAAATAATTGCTGCTGTGTGTTCTGGTAATATTACTGATGATAATAAATGTCCTTTATTAGGACATCTGACCTCTAGGATCAGGATGACCTTTAGCCATCATGTTTCATGTGCCGTGCATGAACTTTTTACATTTTAAACTTCTCAACTTCCACCCTTAGAATTTTGCTGTAACAAACCTGAGATGATCCTGACTAAATGATGTAATTATTTGGTATTGTCTGAAATCCAATATACCTGCCAACTTGAAAAGCATTTAAAACTTCTTCCTCAGATACACTGATGCCATAGGTCTGAAATTTTGTGGTAGTGTTAAAATGAAGTATGTGTTTTGCTGTTACCACTAAAATCTTCTGAACTGCTTTACTCATTAAATGATTGTTCTTACTACTGCTGTCTCTAGTGTATCAAATAGAAGTCTTTATCATCGGGATGAGCGTTAAGGCCCATGAGCCTCCTTTTTAACTGATAGTGGTTACCTAGTTTATTGTACACTCAGCACAAATATTACATTAATGAGTTCAATAAGTATTGATTTCAAGAAATAAACATATTATGGTGTAGGTCTATTTTTACAAAATTAACGCCCTACTTTATATTTAATAAATAGTACACTCTTAAAAAATATAGCAAAAAAAAAAAACCAAAGGTAATCCAGTGATTGTATTTATCTGTAAAAATATCACTTCATTTTATATTTAGCATTATGGAATTTAGCAGTAGTTGACAATGACCCCTTCTATGTATAAGGAAACCAGGGGGACCAACATTATAATTAGCAGTCAAGTACACTGTATCAGTTTTAATGTTACATTTCATGAATTAATAAGCAGTTGATAAAGTGAAACAGGACCAATAGGTATGAGTTATTACTGAGGATTTTTAATCTGTATAATGTCGTCCTCGATACCCCCGGGGGTTAGGATCACTTTCGCTGTCTGCACCTCTAGAACATTTCCTGGCAAAATTGAAGGCACAAATGAAGTAGTTTGATGGTCGTTTTTTTTTCTCCTGGAACCAATCACAGGCTGATACATTCCATTTGAAGATTACAAAGGAGTGACACCCAATTTCAAAGCCATTGCAATATATCAGGATCAAACTAGTCTTGTCCACAAGGTGTTGCACATGGAAGCTCCAATATTGCCATGACATATTGTAGGGGTCTAGAGAGTGATTTAAGCCCCTGAAGTATTGAGGATGAAGATCTGTTGATGTGATGCTGGTTATAAGTATTAAATATTCTATGCATTATATCTGTTGTGGAGACATCAGTTATGCATACATTGTATGCCTATGAAAATAGTTGAATGATACCAAAGATTAAAAGGCTACTGAACTTTGTGCAAGTCTTTTTAGTTATTAAATCTCTCGTCAGTTGTAAGATAGTTTGAGGCTACACAACTCAGATGAGAGAATACAGTTGCTGTATCTTTTGTGCATGGACAAGGGGAGATAACTTGTAACGTCTGTTAAGTCAGCCCTCCATACAAGTTAGTCTGTTCTACTGAAATTGGTGCATTTGTCATACTTTCGACAAATCCTCTTTATCTATAGCTGCACAAAACATTTCCGTTCTTTCAGCTTCTGGCTCATGTGAGCAACTTGAAACACTATTCAATCCTCCTCCTGCAGGAGAACTGCAGAAAGTAGGGTGTGTTTGAAGTAAAGCAGTCTGTTAGTTTAAAAATAGTCCTTAAAACAGTACAGAGGGATTTGGTATCCAGTTAGATGTTAGAAACCAATGTTTGTGAAATATGTAAGACTTGAGAATTTTGGACCTGTTTTTATTACATCAAGACATCCTTTGTTGATGTTTGGTAGATAATATTTGAAAACCATAAGCTTGTAATGATTAATTAAATTTTTATGATACTTTGAATTTAGAGAAAGTAAAGGTTCTCAAAATAACATAATTGTTATTTTATTGTACATGGCACAGAGAAAGCCCCCTGCTTTAATTCTGTGATAGATTTCCTTGTCCCAGCTAATCTGTCCTTTACCTTCACAGGACAGTCAGTGCAAAGTGATGTCATAATTAGAACGTCCAAGTTGAAAAATGCAGATGATTAATCTGACACATTGAGGAAATTGGAAATGAAAAAGTAAAAATTGATTTATGTTTACGTAATTTGGTTTCAGATATGTATGTTTAGCCTCTTTTCTGCTTGAGGTTTGCCTCAGATGAGCTTTTGTTATAAAATGTCAGTTGTAGACAGCTAAATCAACCTCAAACACGTACTGGTGACAGGATTTTTAAATTACTTGGTATAACCTATCTTACTGCAGTTTTAATGTTTCCCTTGCTTTCAAGTAATGGAAACTTACTTTTGTAGTTACAAATCAATAGCTAATTAATAACAGGGATTAGTCCTAAACATGGATAAGTCCTAAACATGGTCAGTCCTGAACATGGATTAGTCCTAAACATGGATCAGTCCTGAACATGGATCAGTCCTAAACATGGATCAGTCCTGAACATGGATCTATCCTAAACATGGATCAGTCCTAATCATGGATCAGTCCTGAACATGAATTAGTCCAAAACATGGATTAGTCCTGAACATGGATTACTCCTGAACAGGGATCAGTCGTAAACATGGATCAATCCTAAACATGGACTAGTCCTGAACATGGATCAGTCCTAAACATGGATCAATCCTAAACGTTGATCCGTCCTATCTTAATGCAATTTTAATGTTTCCTTTGCCTTCAAGTAACAGAAATTTACTTTTGTAGTTACAAATCAATAGGAGAATTTTGTAAACATAACGTTTCTATAACAAATGTTACATTGTATACATAACATTTCTATAACAAATGTTACATTGTATACATAACATTTCTATAACAAAGGTAACATTGTATACATAACATTTCTATAACAAAGGTAACATTGTATACATAACATTTCTATAACAAATGTTACATTGTATACATAATGTTTCTATAACAAAGGTCACATTGTATACATAACATTTCTATAACAAATGTTACATTGTATACATAATGTTTCTATAACAAAGGTTCACATTGTATACATAACATTTCTATAACAAAGGTAACATTGTATACATAACGTTTCTATAACAAATGTTACATTGTATACATAACATTTCTATAACAAAGGTTACATTGTATACATAACATTTCTATAACAAATGTTACATTGTATACATAACATTTCTATAACAAAGGTAACATTGTATACATAACATTTCTATAACAAAGGTAACAAAGTTTCTATAACAAATGTTACATTGTATACATAACATTTCTATAACAAATGTTACATTGTATACATAACATTTCTATAACAAATGTTACATTGTATACATAACATTTCTATAACAAATGTTACATTGTATACATAACATTTCTATAACAAAGGTAACATTGTTAACAAATGTTACATTGTATACATAACATTTCTATAACAAAAATGTTACATTGTATACATAACATTTCTATAACATATACATTTCTATAACAAATGTTACATTGTATACATAACATTTCTATAACAAATGTTACATTGTATACATAACATTTCTATAACAAATGTTACATTGTATACATAACATTTCTATAACAAATGTTACATTGTATACATAACATTTCTATAACAAATGTTACATTGTATACATAACATTTCTATAACAAATGTTACATTGTATACATAACATTTCTATAACAAAGGTTAACTTGTATACATAACATTTCAAATGTTACATTGTATACATAACATTTCTATAACAAATGTGACATTGTATACATAACATTTCTATAACAAAGGTCACATTGTATACATAACATTTCTATAACAAATGTTACATTGTATACATAACATTTCTATAACAAATGTTACATTGTATACATAACATTTCTATAACAAATGTTACATTGTATACATAACATTTCTATAACAAATGTTACATTGTATACATAACATTTCTATAACAAAGGTTAACATTGTATACATAACATTTCTATTACAAATGTTACATTGTATACATAACATTTCTATAACAAATGTTACATTGTATACATAACATTTCTATAACAAAGGTCACATTGTATACATAACATTTCTATTACAAATGTTACATTGTATACATAACATTTCTATAACAAATGTTACATTGTATACATAACATTTCTATAACAAATGTTACATTGTATACATAACATTTCTATAACAAATGTTACATTGTATACATAACGTTTCTATAACAAATGTTACATTGTATACATAACGTTTCTATAACAAATGTTACATTGTATACATAACATTTCTATGACAAAGGTCACATTGTATACATTGCTTTATTTCCTGCTGTAGTCGACTATTTGATCATGGACATTTTTTTTAAATGATTTAATATTATTGGGATATTGTTTGGTGTTGACAGATAATAGATACCTTTATATTAAGTATGACAATTGGTTATGAGTGTAGGGTCAATTCTGTCCTGGTTACACGCTCCCTTGTTTTTTTACCTGGTATTCTGGAAATATGAATTCATTATAAATTTTAATTACTCTTACATTTGTAAGATTAAGAATATGAGAATCTAAGAATGAAAAATAATGCAGGATGAGAGGAATTTGATTTTGAATATCTTTGAATTCTGATGTTGTGTTCGAGATGTGCAATATTTTCTCACCAGATTATATGGTTTTGTGTCACAATAAACTATTACTGATTAAATCAGCAGTGTTTTTTATTATTTGTATTTGTTACATATCAACTAATGCCAAATACCATTATTTATCCATCAATGACCTACAAATACAGTAATCAGACATAATCGGGAATTAAAACAAAGTTTCCTGTAGGAACAAATGATCTAAATAAAGGTTCCAGGACCACTATACGGGAAAGGTCAGCCTTTCCTGTGGAACCAGATATTCATTTATACCAAGCGTTTCGTTTTGGACCTAGTGTGAAGCACGGTATACTTCAGCTGGAATGCTATTACCAAAGGAGTCTGACATTGGAAAGCCACCAGTGTTGTGATCCTACGGAAACATTAACAGATAGATTTACAAGGGAAAACCTCATGGAATCAAAATGTCATCTGTAAAGCTTCATCAAACTCTCACAAATCATGTAACATGCGGATTTAATGAGAAAATCTGGCAGTATTAAAATACGTTAACTGTAGCAAAGTATGGAACCATACGAGAAATGAGTTTTGAAAATCGTTTTGCAGAGGTTTGCTTACCTCACTCACAATGCAGTGTTATGCTAAAACGATGAAAGACGTTGTTACGACAAGATAATACATACATAGTAACAAAATACTTAATCTAACTCGAAAAAAATTACATGGAGGTCATCAGGTTTCCTCCGTAAGTGTAAGTGTTCCATTGCCAATACAAGTTATGTCACGTTCTTCAAATGAGAACCGAGTTTATAATAAAAATATCAGACGCACTAACATCAAACAACATCAATCCCACAAGGAAATGGGAATATTTCAAAATCGGATCATGGTGGCGACCACTATGACTTCAACCTACATACGCATTGGTTGTCGACATTCTTCATGAAACAGTGTAGTTTATTGGGAACAAGCTGTTGAATGTGCAATCAACTGCTACGTGTAAACATCGTAATTTGGGGAACAGGCTTGGTATCATTTTGAAACCCAGCAGGGGAAATCGAAATCATAAAGGCTTTTAATATACATCTTGATGTCCATGTTGGTTTCGCTATAGGAAAAGATTGAGGTAAGTGGCTGATGTAGAAGAGCGTACCGTGTCAATGATTTCCAAATTCGATGGGTATATACCATAGACATGACCAATAACATTCTTATCAAATGACAAGACATTATCAATATATCTGAATTTGAAATTTAAGGACTTTGCAAGGTCTTAGTAACCTGTTGTAATAAGCTCTTCAATAAATTTAGCCTCGTATGAAAACAAAGAAATATGGGTAAGGGAGGGTATACCATTTCCATGGGTATGTTGGATGGTCCTACCACCGAACAAGGAGAAGTTGGTCAACTTGAAGTTTGATCATTTTCATGATTTCATCCGAAGTATTTTTTCTTCACTTTCGTAGTACTTTCCCATGAAATACGAGCCAGTAAAGTTGACAACGATATAAATGTTACACTGTGTATATGATCCGAAAATTTGCGGGGGAGAATATTATCATCGCTTTGTCCGTCCGTTCGTCCTTTCGTGCTCGGAGTATACCTTTACCCACAGTTACGTAAGGGTGATGAATACATTGATCATACTAAAAAGGTATGTCATGTACCAAATTCAGAGCCTGCAACCCCTTAATTACAGAGTTATTGCCCCTTGTTTAAATTTATGTCTGAAGCATGACTTTGCTTTTATTTAAAATCTGTAACTGAAAGCGCTTAATTACATAATTACTGCCCTCATTTAAAATTTTTGTGTCCAATAAAGTCATATTCGAGAAGCTTACATTAGTTTTACAGATACTCTCGTTTTTGAAAATAATGCTCTCCAGACGAAAGAATGAAGGCGTTTCTTCGGTTTGGAATATGTTATGCTAGTGTAAACGGTGGAAAATCAATTATTTTAATTGAAGATATGTCTTTAAGAAGAGAGTGCTCTCGATTGTTAAAAAGTTCTCCGGAGTCCTTTAAAATCCACAGACCTCTGAAAAGAAAGCTCTCGAGAGAACGAAGGCGTGCCTTTATTTTGAATGGGGTGTGGTAGTGTATAGGGTAGCAATAAGTGCATAAAGTGAGTAGTGTTTCCTTGTATATCGAGCATCCCAGGACCGAATTGGATGCTTGATCTGTTGGTACAAATGAGAGAAAATACTGGTCAATCATGTTTTTGTACTACAAACATGTCATTTAAACTGCCTATGAATGATAAGTATACGAATACCCTTAAGAATCCATATCAACGGAAACAAAACGGCTTTTAATCAATCTTCAACACCCTGTTTTGAAACATTTATTATAAAGAACTTTTTTTTAATTCTGTACACACCAAGCCCCTATTCTAAACCGGAGGACCCCCTGCACCTTTTTGTTATCATAGCGATATTTTCCAAGAGATGTAAATGACGGTAAAAATGTATTAATTTAAACCATACTGGAGCGTATGTTGGGAAACATCCGTCCAAATCAAAAAAGAAATATACAGAGATCGAAATAATAAAAATGATTAAGTTTTAGAGTGACGATATCTCATTTTGGAATTTTCTTTTTCCTTAGCGATGAGAAGCTGGATGTGTTGGGATGCTCGTTAGTTTGCTTAGCAGTTTCGTTGATGTTTACCGTGAATGTGACAATATTAATTTGGATTTACCAAAGTTTACATGATTGGTGTCGTTAATGAAGGAGAAGACGCTTACCCTTCTGGAACACCTGGTCTAATTCTCCATATACTTTTTCAGAAGTCGCCGTGTACATTTACCTTTGTTTATATCATGCGCTGGCTGTCTCGAATTTGTGATCCACCGAAGGAAGCATGGCTTTGTTCACCTACTTTTTAGCATAGCTTTTCACAGAATCCAGACATTTCTTGAAATCCCTATTGTTGCTGAATGACATTTAAATACAAGGTTACGTTATGATAATTTGCTATGCCGTTGTAGCCATGTCATATCAGATCAAAGTAAGTTATTCTTCAGAGCTTTCATCCTCTTGTTAATTAATATCATCATTCTATTCAAGTGTTTGTGTGTTGTCAAAATAAAACATAAATATTGAACATTTTCTAAAAATAACAAATTATGGTTTTAATTATGTAAATACAGTTATTATCATAATCATTCAAAGTAGAACATGGTCTTCAAATTCGAATTTAAAT